TTTACAAACAGGAACTCAATTCCAGCTGAGCTGTGGCAGGGGCTCTCCCATTTCTGGGGGCAACTCAGGTTTCCCTCATTCCTGGCACATTCTCTGTCCCTGTACAAACCCCTCCATCAGCCCAGTAATCACACAGGCAGTGGCACCTGGAGCCAGCACCTGCTATCAGCTCCCTGTTCCTTCTGCACATGGGCCTCTGCCACAGCCCTGCCCTTCCAGGTGGGCACACCACCAGTCCAGCCACCCAGGGCCCCTTTGGGCAGAGTACTAAGCAACCACATTTTCTACCTCCATGCTGTGCCCCACGCTCAGTGAAGATAGCCTTTTCCCTGTGTTGGTTATAGTCTGAAGCTCAGTTTCTCCTCTTCCCCAAGCATCCCCACTGATACTTCCCATCCGCAATCAAGACTCAAAACCTTAGAAACTGGATAAAGCAAAAACCCTGAGGCAACATATAGCCAACCGGCTTTGACATGTGAGAGTTATTTTTCTTTCCAAAGGGCCCACCTCGGGTGTTGATGTTGCAAACTGAATCTTAGGAAGGTCCCTCCCAAAGGGAACCAGGAAAAGACAGCTGATCTGGGAGCACAGACACTAGATCTGGGCACACAAGCAACAGACTTGGGAAGAATGGTGGGAGGAAAGGCACCATGTGGCACAATCAGCAGCCAACAGGACAAGATCCAGCTGGAGATGTTTGCTTTGGTTCATGCAATATTTTTAATAAAGCTATTGCAACATCTAAAAGTTAGAAGGTTCACACAGAAGTCTGGATTTGCACTGGCTTTTCTTGAAAAAGTTGGGAAGCTGGCACTAGGCCTGTCCTGCATCATGACAGCTCCTGAGTGAGGCTGAGCCAGGGCTGCCTACTCTGTGTCTGCTCACTTTTCCCCTCACTCTCTGTTGTGCACAGCTGCCCCCACCCAGCCTGACCCTTGACCCTTAGGTCATAATATCAAGAAACTGAGTTTCCCTGAGGGCCGGGCCAGCCAGAGCAGTCTAAAGGTCAGCCATGGACCGAGAGGCAAATGGGCAGTCTGGGAGTCCTCCAGCAATCACCCTGGGCGAGCCTGCAGGGCCAGGCTTCAGGAGGAATTGAGTTCACAGAGGGCAAAATAGCAATAGCATCTAGGGAGGACCACCATGGAAGTTCCTTTCAGGTGGGGGCCATCCCGACAGAATGACCTGGAAGTGCAGCCCACCTCACGGGAGCTCCACCACATGTCCAGAACGATCTGGAAAGACTAAGTGCTACAGCATAGTCAGCCTTGTGAGGAAAGGAAACTCCGAGGAAAGAAGTGACATGACTTTAGACTTGGGAGCTTGATAAAAGGAAGAAAAGATTGGGACCAAGAAGTGATGGCTGCACCTACCAAGGCCTTGGTTACTCCTGTTGCTTCTCTCCACGCCAAAGAACCAGTGGTGTGCTAGAACCAGTTTCTACAAACTTGCAGGAGCCAGTTGTGCACATTTCTTCCCAACTTCACAGTGAGTGTCAGTGGCTTCACACTGGTAGCTTGAAATCAGCCACTCCGGGAACATTTATACCACAGAAATTGGCAAATGCTACCAATTTAGAGCTTCCTCCGTGCAAAGAGCTGGTTGTTAACTATTTACCAGCCCATCACTGCCGATTCTCCTGTGCACCTCCTGGCCAGTCAGATCCAGGATGTGTTTCTGGAAACAGGTAATATCTCAGCAAGAGAAGCCCCCAGACTCAACATTGTCCCATAGATCCCAAACTGGAAATGGACCAGGCAGGCAACAAGACTGGCCTCTTCCTTTCTAATTGCTTCCCTAGAGAGCCCAGGTCTGGGGAGACACTTTCTTTTCTCTGGTTGTTTGATCTCTTTGAGTTCACAGAAGAATTACTGGGCCAGAGCCCAGGTAACAGAAACCACTCAAGGCACTAGTCAAGCACCTTCCCATCTTTCTGGATAGCTGACCCCCCAGTCTACATCTAGAAATGGATCACTGTTATAGGGAGAATCCACAAGATCTGTGAAACAGTGGGCAAAGAGTCAGAAAAGGGGAAGAGTGCTTTCTCCACAATTCTAATGTTTCTCTTCCAAGATGGCCTTCACCGGCCTCCTCCATGCTTCTCCAGCTACCCAAATCAGGGCCTCATCCATGGTTTGGCCATCACCATCAATGTTCTCTCAGACACTTTTTTTCTAATTATCTTCAATTGGCCATACTCTTGAATACATTATGTCTGCTCTTCAGTACCACAGATCTGGCCAGACCTTCATTTTCTTTTCCTTTCTCTCTTGGACTCTCTTCCCTCCCAGCTGGTAGATGACAGTTGATCACCTCAACCACCAGTCAACTCCTTCAGTTCCCCTGTATTCCCCCAGACCAGAGCATCCAGCCAAACCTTGGTAATTATCAGCTCAAGGAAAATAAGAGTTATACAAGAAAGGAAATAGAACTATAATATGTGCTAAGGCCCAGAGCAAAATGTACATAACTCATAATGATGTAAATACTTGAAACTTGATTTAGCCAAATATTGTGAAACAACTAAAGTGGAAAGGTATCTATAAGAAAAATTTTGTGTTTCTCCTTTACTCTCCACACAATACTTCTGACACCAGATGTGGGAATTATTCCCTCACAGCAAGTAATTCTCTGTGACTCCAGCTGGACGGATGCCCCACATTTTAATTCTAATACTAACCAGAATAAGTGCAGACCCACAACTGAGTTGACATCATTTCAGATGCCAACTATAAGTGGTAGGTCCCCAGGTTACCCACAACTTCAGACTTGGCTACAAATCGGAGGTTCCCACCATCCTTGGATTCAATCATTTGCTAGAACAGCTCACAGAACTCGGAGAAACACTTACATATGTTTATCAGTTTATTATATAATAAAGGTTACAATAAAGGATACACATGGACATCCAGAAGGAGAGATACATAGGCCGTGGTGTGCAAGGCTCCCAGCACAGATGTTTCTGTCTCCAAGGAGCTGGGGTTTGCCAACCTGGAAGTTCTGTAAACCCCACTTTTGGGATTTTGTGGGGGCTTCATCACAAAGGCATGATCAATTATTAACTCAGTCTCCAGTCCCTCTCCCCTTCCTGCAGGAGGGGAAGTGAAACTAAAAATTCCAAGTTTCTGATCATGGATGGCTTGGTCCTTCTGGTGATCAGCTACATCCAGGAGCCCACCCAGAGTCCTCTCCTTAGAACAAAAGACACTCCTGTCACCCAGGGAATTCTAAGCCATCTAGGAGTTCTGTGCCAGGAACACGGGGCAAAGACCAATCATCTTCTCTTGTTTCCCAGAAGGTGTTACTCCTCTAGTCAGGCAACCAGAGATGGAGATTCCACTGGGATGTACAATCTGCAAAGAAAGTCTGGCCACAGAAAGGGTGATAACCCAGCTCCCAAGTGGTTCCGAGGCAATGAAACAAGAATTCCCTTTCCCAGGTACAACTACTGACTCTTGGGAGAATAGCCCTTGCATCTCTCCTGGGCAGCCTTTCTGAGATCAGCTCCCAGTTTGGGGGGGCCCCTGTGGAGATTTTACTCTCCCCTTTTCCTCAGACTCCTCTTGTCTCCTCCTCAAGTCTCATCTTCCAAATCAAGAATCTCACACAGGGGCAGGCAGAGGGAATGAAGAAATACCCAGTACCCTGGAGGCCCCAGGGCAAACCAGAGGGCAAACCAGAGGGCAAACCAGAGGGCACGGGGCGTCAGCTCCAGCTAGCTACTGCTGCTGCACAGGAATGAAGATGCACCCTTGCCAGATCTTCCCACTTACCTGGAGATACCTGACCTTTTTGCTTTGTATGAAACTCCCTGTTTTAGTGTTGACAACTAATTCACATATTCACATATTTTTGGTTAGAACCAGAACCAGGATAGATAAAAAAAACAGTTCCTCCAGTCCTTGAGGAAGTCTCATTCAAAGCTTCATAAGAGGTGAGGAAATATTTATATTCTAGTCTTCTAGGGCAGCCAAATCCAGAAGGTGGGACAAAACTCTTAAATTTCCATGTTAAATCAGTTTGCTCTTTCAGAACCTGCCAAAACGTCATCACCATTATTATTCTCATAACTCTACATTTGTACTGTTCTGACCTTTAGAATATGCTTTATTCTAGTGAACTAGAAACTGGGACTTTTACTTGAAAACTGGCAGCTTTCATTGAAAAGAAGAGACACCACCAGAGGAAAGAAAGTCCACAACCTGCAAATGCTGGCTGAGCACTGCCAACCCCCAACTCAAACCTTCCTCTTTTCCAGGCTTAGCGGTGACAAAGTTTCCCCTGCCCCCTCTCCATGCTTCCCCTCACCCTCAGCATTTTCTGTTTGCCATCGATCGTCCCCTCCCTGGAGTTTCCCAAGCCATGGAGCACCCTTGCTAAGCTGCTTCCTCCCACATGATTTTCTGTCTCCCCCTCCAAGTCCTTCCCCTCCCTGTCTATCCCTGCTGGGGACCAGCAGGCAGGGGATTCCCGTGCTGCTTTTTGCCTGGCGAAGGGCTCTGGGTGGGTTTTCTGAGTCCCAGAATGGTAACAAAGATTTGAGAGCAGACACCAACATACACTGACACACCACCAACACCCTATAAAGAAACAGGCTTCCTTTAGCTTTCTGGGAATTCTTTTGGGTTCTCCCCGCAGAACTCCAGGACAGCTCTCCGCACCTCCATGTACTATTTATTCCTCTATGCATTTTTTTGCTTCTTTAACAAATACTTCTTTCTGGACTCAAACCAGCCCTGCTACACATTCATGCCCTAACAGCATCTGCTCCTCCCCAAGCCCTGGGTGGGGCTAAGGCCCCAAGCACCTATGGGTGTTTCTCAACCAACCTGATCTTGTCTGGCCTCCTACAGTGGAAGGTTGCAGAGGAAAGCTTGGTGACAGAAAGGGGGAGGCCTGAGAGCAGGCTGCGCAGGCTCCAAGGTGCTGCTGAGAAGTCCTTTCACCTGCTGCTTCCTCAAGAGTCAGCCAGCAGCTCTGCCAACCGGACCCCAGTGCTCAGCCATGATAAGAAGAGGCCTCCAAGGGGCAGCAAGACTCAGCCACCACAGAGCCCTTCCTGGTGCCCCCCACATGCTGCCCAGACTCAACCCTGCCTCAGCATTCGGATCCTCCACAGACTCCCTGGTGAGTTCCCAGCTCGGCCAATGGACAGCCCTTTCCCTGGGGGCCTAGAACATAAGGAGCACCCCAATCTCCTCTTCCTAGACTGTGGCCAGGGCAGGTGGACATGTGTTGGGGAGCTATTTGATTTGGCAAAGGGAAGATGCTCTGGGGATACCAAGTAGCCTAGATCAAAAACTAAGACCACCAGGACATTGTCGTACAGGCCCGAATTGTGTGTGGCCATCCAGTGAGTCACTCTCCTCCTGCTACCGCTGAGCTGGGGTGTCCCCAGTGGGAGGACCCTGTGTGTGATCTTGGCAAGCCCCTGGCTCACTGCCTACAGCTGTGACTGCTGCATAAGCGTGTGAAGCCACAGGGGATCCCTCATCCCACAGGCTGTACCATGCCTCTCTGCCTCTCCTGGCATTCAAAACCCGTTTCAAAGGAGCCACCCTGCTGGGGCAGGTCCACAGCTGTGGACAAGCTGGAGTAGTCCGAGGAGGAGAGCTGGTAACCATGGTCCTCCGCAACTGCGGTCGGCCCCCAGGGAAGACAGTCTCTCAGAAAGGGCTCTAGTCTGACCATCAGCTCTCACACTCACAGGCTTGGCAGCCTTACCATATTTCCTCAGTTTCCCAATCTCTACAGTGGGATTAATACTGGCAATTCACAGCTTTAAAGAACAGCTCACAGATTTTAAAACAAGATAATTGCCAGGCACAAACCACAAGCAACATGCCCCTAATTGTTAGCCCCAATTCCTTTTCTCCCCTTACTTTGTGCCTTAAGGTCTCCTAGCCCAGTCACCCAAACCCCCTGCAAGGAAGATGGGCATTTCCCTCAGGTCACCACTGGTGGAAGGGATTAAGGAAACCAAGAATTCAGGAGCGCACTAGTCTAATCTCCCTGATTTTTCTCACTCAGGTCTCAAGATTCTGCCCAGAGAAGACAGATTTAAAGGATTATGCCCTTCCCAATGCCAGCTGGTGTCCAGACATGCTGAGCCTTTACCAGGAATTTCTGGAGAAGACTAAGGCCGATGGCTGGATCAAATTGCCTTCCTTCAAGTCCAACAGAGATCACATCCAGGGGCTCAAGCTCCCATCTGGGTTAGCAGTCACCTCAGGTAAGGCCTGGCCTGAGAGGGCTCATCAGCACAGCTGTCCCAGCCACTGGAATCGGGTCAGCCAGCCCCTTCCCCTGTGTTCAGAGAAGCTGGGGAAGGAAACTTACCGGCTCCCGACTCTCAGCCAGAAGTTTTTGTTTTGTTTTGTTTTGTTTTGCTAACCCCACCCCTTGTGCTACAGCCCCAGACAGGGAAGGCATCCTCTGCTTGTCTGGACTCTCTCCTGCCATCTGGAAAGAGCTCACCCTAGACTCCCCACAGGAGAACTGCCATCTCAGCCCTCCGCCCTTTGGCCTCACCCCAAATCCTCCTCCCCCAGCCCAAAAGGCTGCGGGGGGGCCCCCTCCCGCACTGCAGGCATGGCCCACATCAGTGCTCTGCTAGGCCCAGGCCGACTCTCCTGAAACACCCACCAGATTTACAGAGTTTTCCACCTCCATCTTTTTGCTCGTATATGTGTGTGCGTGTGCCTGGGTACAAGCAAGCGTGTGTCCATGTTTTCTTGACTCTCTCACTCATGTGTATGTTTTTCCTGCCCAGTAATGAACGGGTGGTATGATACACAGACTACCCTTGGGTTTATGGCACAAAAAAAGCAAGGGCACCAAAATAATTTTTAAAAGAAGTTGATACCCATCCAAAAAGGATATAGCTGTAGTTGTCTTTGGCGGGGGGTGGGGGGAATCAGAATTTTGGTGAGCTTCTCTGCACTTATTTTGCTGTTTAGTATTGTTGTTATTTTGAATTACTATAGATGAATTACATGAGTTGCATTTTTTTAATTTTCAGTGTATAGAGTCTGTTAAAGTCTTGACCTGATCCTGATCCTATGCCCACTCTTAGCCAGGGAACTTCCTGAATGTTTCTCCCTCCAGACCAAGGGCTCCCTGAGGACATGGCTGTGCCTCTGGCCTCTGATGGAAGACTCCTGGGTGTGGAGCCTGGATGTCCTCTGGTTCTCTCCTTGACCCTGTGCCTGACTCAGGCCTCAACCCTGTGGTGCTGAACGACTGGCACTCCATCCTTGCCCTTGTGCACTCCCTTCTCCAGCTACTCCAATGCCCTCTCTCCCCAGACAAAGGTGACTGGCGCCTCTTCACCAGGTGCATCCCAGTGGAAGGGCAAGGCTACGAGTATGTCATCTTTTTCCACCCATCCAAGAAGAAGTCCGTCTGTCTTTTCCAACCAGGCCCCTACTTGGAGGGGGCCCCCGGGTAAGACTACAGACAAGGCTGGGGTAGACACCCTTGGCTGCTTCTGGGGCTTGGTAGATCGGGCATACACCAGGCCCTGCGACTACCTCTCCCTAAGGAGCTGGGTGGGGTTGCACTAGACTGCAAGGACATTTGAGTCACTTAATCCAGTCCCATTGTGCAGATAAGGGAGAGACTCCTTATCTCCCTCCCAGCTGCAGGAATTCCTCCCAAGTGAAAAAATTTTCCAGCAAGAAGTTTTACAGGCCACTCTGAGAGGGATGCAGTGAACTTGGAAGAGGAGCCAGGCCTCCAGTCCTGTTCTGCCACTGCTGGCCTTGGAAGCCCAAGCAAGCAATTTAACCTCTGGCTCTCAGTCGTCGTACCTAAAACCTGGGGCAATAATACCTACCTACCAGCGTGGCCGATAGGTATAATATCATGGGCCTATGTGCTCATTAACCATAAAGCACAAAATAGCTATCACACACCATCTATCCACACTTAATGTTCTACCCATGTTATATCCACCAGACGCGAGAATAATTTTTGAAGACGTTTCAGGGTTTTGATCTTATTTTATTGGCCAAGCTTAACCTGCGCAGGGGCGAACTCTCAGAGTGTCCTGAGACACGGTGCCCAGAGGGCTGCAGATGAGAGTCGCACTGAGCGATTACAGCTAAGTCCTTATATAGGGGCGAGCAAGCAAGCGTTGAACAGAAGCAGACATGGCAGTTAGCTATTTGCTGACAGAGACCGAGCGCGGGAACAGGGTGGGGTTTCAAAATTCAAAACTAAACAGATTACAATCAGCCTGTTTTGCTGTGGTCAGGCTATGTTCTCCATTTCCCAGATCTCAACACCCACAGGCAAACTGATGCACACAGAGGTAAGGTAACTTAACTTGCCCAAGGTAGCACAATGCAATCAAGGTCAGATGCAGGACCCTAGTCCAGGAAGTGGGGCTCCAAGTCCATTGCTCTCTCCACTGCATTCTGCTCCCTCTAAACTTGGAAGGGAGCTAGGAAAGACCTCACTCTGGACATAAATACATCCACAAGGAATATCTGGGTGGCCTTGGCTGGGTGGCTGGGTTGGAGCATCGTTCCACACACCAAAAGTTTCCGGATTCAATTCTTGGTCAGGGCACATACCTAGGTTGTGGGTTCAATCCCTGGTCAGGGTGCATACAGAAGGCAATGGATCAATGTTTCTCTCTCACATTGATGTTTCTTTCACATTGATGTTTCTCTCTCCCTCTCTCTCAAATCAATAAACATATTCTCAGGTAAGGAATTTTTTAAAAAATCAGGCTGTCCCTGAGCCTCTTGCCTAAGGCTAGTGAGCCACCCAATCCATAACTTTCTACCTTCTCCTCCATCCCAGTGCCTGCTTTGGACAGTCACTGAAGGTTGTTGGGGTTACTGGCATTCCTACAAGGGAGAGAGAGGAAGGAGAGATAAGAAGCTCAGGGTCCCAAGGCCTGAGAAGGACCCAAATGTAGTTAAAAAGAATTCACAGAGTTTGGTGGACGTAACCCCTTCATGGGTGGTACGTTCAGACTGCAGCCCTTGGCACCTCCCAGGGAGACACTGACTTCCACACTAGTGTATGCAGACCCGGTGGACGAGGCCGGGGCCCTGCCCAGCTCAGGAATCCCCTCCTTTCTGAAGAGGAAAACCTCAAGGAGGTGGGGATGGGGGTTACGTGTGGGAGGCTTTTATTGGAGGACCACCCCACCCTGAGGTCAGTGTACTGCAGGGGTCCAGAGAAGAGATTACTACTGAATTAGAAAATCCCAGTTCAGTCGACCTCCTGTGCAGGGAAAAACACAGTTCTTACGTCTTTCTTTCCCCTGCGTCTCCCATGCTGCTCACACTGAACGCTCCACTTCTGACACTTCTGGCCACCAAATATGTGGAGGTTCTTCCCCACACCAATACTCTGGGACACCAGTGAAGTATCCCACAATTTACCTCAATTCCAACACTGTCTACCTGGACAGAGTGTCAGATCCCACAGGTTAAGGACTCAGTCCTACAAGACCGACCCCCTTCAGATGCCAATCACAAGTAGTAGGTCCCCAAGTTACTCATAACTTCTGATTTGGCTACAAATCTGAAGTTCCCACAATCTCTTCCTAGGGTTTGATTAGTTTGCTAGAGTGACTCAGAGAACTCAGGGAAACATGCTCACCAGTTTATTAAAGGATTTGAGAAGAGACAGGAACATTCAGATGGAGAGATGTGTGGGGTAAGGCTTAGGAGGGTCCTGAGCACAGGAGCTTTTGTCTTGGTGGAATTGGGGTGCATCACCCTCCCAGTCTGAGTGTGTTTGCCAGCCTGAAGGCCTCTGAACTCCATACTTTCGGGATTCCATGGAGGCTTCCTTATGTAGGCATAATTAATCATTAACTCCATTTCCAGTCCTTCTCCCTTCTCAAGAGAATGTGGGGGTGGGGGGCAGGGGAGGAGTCAGGGCAGAAAATTCCAAGTTTCTAATCACGCTTGATCTTTCCAGTGACCTGCTGCATCCAGGAGACATCTGCCTAACAAAAGATTCCTATCCACCTGGAAATTACAAGGGTTTCAAGAGTTCTGTGCCAGGAACTGGGGGCAGAGACCAATCTATAAATTTTCTATTGTCTCACAAGTACAGTACCCACCCAACCCCTAGGCAAGGAGAGGTAGGTTGCTGGCTGGCCGAGAGCCATCCTGCAGAATCCAGGTACTTGCCGATGGTCCCGGCCTGGCCAGTGAGGACAGTGAGGGGAAAGCGGCAAGCTTATGCTCTTTGACACCAACCCCTTTCTCCCTCTTTCAAGCAGTGTGGGGAGTGGAGTGACCAGAAGTGTATATGAGGCTTTGAAACCATTACCTCAACTGATCTGATAAGAATTTTTTTTCACAATTCATACTGGAAAACTAGGGCTCAGAAATGTTTAACAAGTTGCCTCAGATCAAACAGGAGTCACAGCAGGTGGGCGTGGTTCCATGGTGAGCCTGCTGGTGGGAGGAGCTGTATCACAGCTAACCCATGAGGTGCAGCCCGGACACATGCCCGGGTCCATGGAGAATTGGAACTGTGCTTTTGAATGTCAGGAACTGGAATCTGTGTTGTGTTATCTGCATTCTAAAGCCAGGTGCCTTCCAATTTTCCCCAACTTAACCAACAATGAAGTAGTGTTGGCATAAAAGTCAGCCTACAGAGAGAGAATAATTGTTTTCTGCACTTCAAATAATCAGACACTGGCCACACCCTGTGAAGGGGATCCTGGGTTTTCCCAGGCAGCGGCGCTGCTCAAGAGCCCCCAAGGCTCAAGAGCCTTATCGGCACTTTATGTCATAAGTTTGAGTCATAAATTAGCTTTCACAGTTACCTGTCTTGAAAAGGTGGGCTCAGGCCCTGGCCAGTGTGGCCCAGTTGGTTTGGTGTCCTCCTGCCAAGCAAAAGGTCACTGCTCCAATTTTGGGGTGCATAAGAGAAGCAACTGATCAGATTGATGTTTCTCTCCCTCTATTTCTCTCTCCCTTCCCTTGTCTCTAAAAAAATAAACAAACAATACTTTTTTAATGTGGGCTCAGCACGGGCTCATAAGGTGGAGCTTGCCTGTTCCTCAGAGACTAAGCCAAACAAGTCTGGGTTTTCCTTCCCCTCTGTGAGTGTGCCCCTCAAATCCTGGCAACTGCTACCAGCAATTAGGTGATGAATCAGAAAAATGTTTTCCTATTAACTCTATCAGGAAAATAAACCTTTTTTCCTGGTGAAATAAAATAACTAATTGTACCTAACACATGCTGAAGCAACATTTGATTTTGACTGATTCTATTAGCTGGGATCCAGCTCCGTGTCCTTTCTTCTCCCGGGAAAGGTAGAGGCAGGGTGGTTGTGCCTGAGGGCGGGGAAGGCCAGGAAACCAGTCTGCCTAGCGCTGCAGCCCAGCCTTGCTCCCCACCCCCACCCCAGGTTTGCCCACGGAGGGTCCCTGGCAGCTATGATGGACGAGACCTTCTCTAAAACTGCCTACCTGGCTGGAGAGGGACTGTTCACACTAAGCCTCAACATCAGGTTCAAAAAGTAAGTACAGATGCTCACGGTGCTGGCCGTGAGTCATGGTTCTTTTGATCATGGGGGATGGCTGTCCCAGGCAGTTGGGGTACAGGAGCCCTGCCTGTCTCTCACCTTCCCCAGCTCTTGGAGCTGGTAGGCGGGTCCTGAGCCCAGAGCCACTTAAGTCCTTGAGGCAAGGTGGGGTGAAGAGAAGGATGGGGGATGACAGGGGTGAAGGAGTGAGGGCCAGGGGTTTGTGTGAAGGCTGAGCTAAGCCTCCTCCTCTCCCAGCTTGATCCCCGTGGGCTCTCTGGCTGTACTGAACATTGATGTGGAAAAGACTGAGGACCAGAAGCTTCACATGTCCTGCGTCGCCCAAAGCAGAGACCAGAAGACGATCTATGCCAAGTCCTCAGGTAAAGAGGTCCTTCAGCCCCAGGCCCTGTCCTGCCACCACCAGCCCCAGAACAAATGGAAGAAAGAATACTAAGGATCCAGTCCCAAGCTGAGGTCCTGCTTTTCAATCTGGGATTGGATACCTGCTGTAGACAGGGCGAAGTGAGGGAGAGATCAACTACGATATTTTTTCCGGTGTGTGATTGCCCAGCTTGTACCACAGGATCCAGGCGCTGGGTGACTGAATGCAAATGGTCAGGGCACCTCACCAAGCTCCCGCCGTCTCCGCCCTCATTCCTGCCACCTGTTTGCCCCTCTCTTGCAGGTGTTTTCCTTCAGCTGCAGCTGGAACAGGAGTAGCAGTCCCTCTACCTTCAGGAGAGCCTACCTCTGACTGTCCTGCCTGCCTGGGACCCACTGCAGGGCAGGGAGGGCTCCCCAGGGAAGCCGCTGATGAGGTGAGGGAGAGGGCACTTTCCTCTGAGCAAATAAAGTCTCACAACCCCGCTCTCAGCCCAAGACCCTTCTGTAGTTGGAAGTCAAAGCCCTTCCAGGGCCTCCCACACACCCACTTTCCCAATCTGCACCAATGGAAGAGATTTACCGAGCCCCTGCCAGGCACCGGCGCTAAGTGAGGCACCGACCACACAGTAATAAAAAGAGAGGACCCGTGGCCTTGACGTGCACAGCTGGAGCTGAGTCACAGAGCGCCCCTTGCAGGGCTCCAAACTAGAGAGAGTAAGGGCCTGACAGGGCTCAGAGCCAAGAAGATGAAAGATATGGGTGATGTTACAGACCACAGAGTGCAGGACTTTGCCACTACTTGTACACGGTGGATCTGGGCAGCGGAGCCTTCAGGGGTGACTCCAAGTTTCTGGCTTGATGGTTCCAGGTGACATGATTGGGAATATAAAGGAGCAAGTTTGAGGTGGGCAGAGATAATAAGTTCAGTTTCACATGCATTGAGCTTGAAGTGTCCGTGGAACTTTCATCATGTGGCGAACACAGCAGGAACCTGGTTATGATGGCTTGGAGCTCAACATTGATGACTGACTGATTTCATTTGCAAGTCATCAATATAAAAACTGACATGGAGCTCCTGGGGGGTGGATCATGCAGAGTGCAAGTGAGGAGGAGGAGAGGGGAATGAGGGTGGGGGGGAGAGAAAGGAAGGACAGGAAAGGGGGTCGGAGATAGAACCACTGGTCACACTAAGGCTCGCAGCTGGGGCAGAGGACAAAAAGCCTGTTAAGGCGGCACAGGAGTGATGGTCCTTACAAGGGTGAGGTCAGCTGTATCAAATGCTAAGAGAAGGCAAGACAGATGACAAGTAAAAACAGGCCTTCGGATGTGGCCATGGGAAAGGTGCTGGTGTCCTGTGCTAGGAGGTGGGAGCAGAATCCAGATTATGATGGATAAAAAAATGAGTGGGAATGACAAAGTGAAACTAGATGATTCTTTCCAGGAATTTTGTTGTTGAAATGTTATTTAAAGAAAAAGGTTTGGGTGTATTTATAAACTGCTTTGGAAGGAGCCAGTGGAGAGAGGCTGAAACTCTAGTCTAGGGGAGAGAGCGGTGTCATCCAACAGAACAGCCATCTGGTCTTAGAGATGGGTCAAGGGCACTTTGGAGACAGTAGTCATGGGAGAGCATCAGCATGATTCTGAGACCAAAGGGAAGGAGTGGGCAGGGGAGGGGCGGAAGAGGAGGGGAAGTTGACAGGGTTCATCCAAGAGTGCCTTGACTTTCTCAGTGAAATAGGAGGCAAGACCATCAGAGGGGGAAAGTTCTAGAGGGAAGATAATGAGTTGGATGAGTCACTATGAGGACAAAGAAAACAAATGCCCAAGTACACGTAGGCTGAGCATGCCAAAGGCCTAGCTGCTGCTGGAAACCAGGTACCTGGAGCGCCACCAACCTGGGGTAAAAGGAAGGTGCAAGCCAGCTGGCAAGACCCAGGGGGACTGATGAATAAGTCAGTGAAAACAGTGGTACCTCTGGAGGACAGGGGTGGGAAACAGCTTCTTCCGCAGGAAGAAGGTGAAATCCTTCCACTGGACAGGATTCCAACCAGGCCAGTATATGGAGGTGATATCCAGGAGTGTGTCAAGGACTAGAGAAGTTTTACCAAAGACTGAAAGGTCGAAGTAGGGAAAAGTCAGGTATTTCTCCTCTTCTCTTTGCTTTGGGAGGCAACTCAAGTAGTAGCTGTGCCTCCATGGTTACAGATCCTGCTAAACAACCCTCGCCATCCTATTTGACTGTTTAGCTCTTCTAATACCTCTGTAACAAGTTCCCTGTGTTAAACTCCCTCTGTTGAACCGCCTAGAAAGGTGCTAAATTCCTGATTGGACCTTAACTGATCCAGCCAGGCTGCAGATTATCTCCTGTTGGTTTTCAATCCCATTGCTGTGCAGCTCGCGGAGAGTGAGCGCTCTGGTAGGCACCCTTGACTTCATTAACTTAATATCCACCAAGAGAAGGAAATGGAAGGAAAGAGGGAGCAGGAAGGTAAACTGTCAAAGACTGAGCACACTCCTGGCTAAATACGAATCTCTGTTCATTTCCCCTTTCACATTGTGCAGCCAAGCCCAGCTGGAGAAAGAACAGTACCACGCTGTCCAGTCACTTTAAAGTCATGACCACTACCCTCAAGTGGGACTGTGGGACTGCCCAGTGGTCATCCTGCAGCTTCCTACACCATCCACTCTCCTGCTCTCCTAGGTGACCGCTTTATTCCTGGTCCTCTCTACTCCAGCCCCTAGAACCACCTCCTCTCTGCTGACGACCTTGCTTCCTGTTTCACGGGGAAATCAGAAGCATCTACGAAAAATAAGCTTCCACCACCATAGCTCCACCCATTTTTTTCACCGTTTCTCCAGTAACTGTGGGTGAACTGTTCCCACAGCAGGCACGGTCTGTCTTATGCGCCACACCTATTTCTTCTTGTCTACTCAAGAATATTGCTCCCAAAATTCTCCTCTCTTCTGTGTTATCAATTTCCCCCTTTCTATTGGGTCTTTCCCATTTGCAGAACAGCACAGCATTAGTTCTGTCATTGAAAAAATTCTCTCTTGATTACCCCTCCCCCTCTGGCCATTACCCCACTTCTCTCTTCTCTTTCAGCAAACTCTCCAAGAGCCTTTGCTCTCCCTCTTCCTCCTACTCTTTCTCGGGGCCACTCCAGTGTGCCTTTTGCCTCCACCACTCCACCAAAACTGCTCCTGTCAAAGTCACCAGTGACTTTGCATTGCTAAATCCAATGGTCAGTTCTCAGGCCTCATCGTACCAGACCTTGCCACAGCATCTGGAACAGCTGGTTCCTCATCCTCCCCACCTCTAAATGCTGGAGAGCCCAGGATTCGGTCCTTGGATCCTTTTTCTTTGCTACCTACACTTCATCAAGTCTTGTGACTTTAAATTCCATCTACATTTCTCTTGGTGCCCACATTTATACTTCCTGTCTGGATCTTTCCTCTGAGCTCCAGATTCGCATATCCAACTGCTTACTCCACATCTCTAGTTAGATGTCTAATGGGCATCTCAAATTTAATAAATCTAAAACTGAGCTCCTAATACTTCCCCCTCTCAGTAAATGGCAACTCCATTCTGCCAGTTGCTCAGGCCAAAAACCTTATCATTCTTTTCCTTTCGATAGGGATAAGAACCCTATTGACTTCATCTTCAGAATATGACCAGAAACTAACTGCTCCAACCCTATCCATGCCCCAGTTATCTCATGCAAAGATTACTTCAAAAGTCTATCTCATCTCCCTACTTACATCCTTATCCCCCTACTTACAGCCACCAGAGCAACGCTTCCAACACTTGTCAAGTTACATCACTTCTCAGCTCACCAGAAGTAAAAGCTGAAATTGTTTCAGTGGTTACAGGCTCCACCAATTCTAACCTCATCTTCCCCTCACTCATTCTGTTCCAGCTGCACTGGCCTCTTTGCCTCCTCCACACTCCAGGCATGCTTCTGCCTCAGGGGCTTTGCGTTTGCAACTTTTCTACATAGAACAGTTTAGCCTCACATATCCTCCCTGCCTCCTTCATATCATTACGGAAACATTATGTTCCCAAAGTGGCCACCCTGACCACACTATTGAAAATTGCATACTCTTCTGATACTGTCTGTGAGCCTTCCCTACTTTAATTTTCTCCCCAACACTGACTTCCATTCAATATACTATTTTCACTAATTTATCTATGTCTATTGTCTTTCTTTCCCCAGTGAATTATAAACTCCATCTGGCCAGGAGATTTATCTGTTTTCTCACTGTTGTGTCCCCAGAGTCCGGCACAGTGCCTGCCACAAGGTAGTAAAGAACTATGGGTGACTAAATGAATGAATAAAGGCACAGAATCCAGCTCCCCTGAATTCTACCCTACCTCTGGACTTATTACAGAAGCCAAACGTGTCCTTATTGTCAGGGCAGACTTGAGTTGGGGCTTCTGTGGTCTCGTGCTTTACCAGAAGTCAACCTCATTGATGCCCATGTGATCTCATGTAACCACCATGCCAGCTCTGAGGGTTAGGTATATTTTCCCCACTTTCCAGATGGGGAAGGTGGACCCTAGAGAGATGAAGGTGCCTCTCAGAGGCCACACAGTACAGCTAGTGTGTCACAGGGCCCAGGGCCCAGCCTGACTAATGCCAAAGCCGTGATGTTCTTGGCTGCAGCATGACACAAAGACCACCTGCCCCGGACAGGACGCCAGGGCCAGGGCTGAGCAGAAGCGGGAGGCGTGGGAATGGCGGGCCTGGGCGTGGCCATGAGTCTCCACAAAAGAAATGCTTGCTCCCTCAAAACCCTCAAATATCACAGGTCAAAATAATTATCTTGTTTATTTCCTACATTTCACAATCTTTTTTGTTGCTCTCTGCACATTTATTGTCTGTCTCTCCCCTTAGACTCCTCTCCCCCCATCTACCCCCAACACCTGGCACAATGAATGGAGGAAAGAAGTGACCCAAGTACAATTCTGCTTAATATCATTAATTCATTTAACAATCCTGATTGAATACCTGCCTTGTTCTAAGCACTGTCCTCATGATGTGTACAGTGTAGTAAGACATTAAATAATCACAGGCATAAATCACAGGGAAAAAAATGTGATCGATGCCACAAGGGAAAATTATGGGTGCTGGGCGTCAGAGAGGGCCTCCAGGCCTGAAGGATGAAGGGGCGCTGTCCAGGGACGGAGGAGAGCCTCCTAAAAAGGAAATTAGCTCAATGCGTTGAGAGACTAAAGGATGATGGGTATGCCTGGCCTGCAGTTGACGTCTGTCTCACACTGTCAGCAGTGGCCTGTGCGTCCCAGGCTCCGCCTATGGGGAGAAGAGGGGAGGGGAGACATCCTCCATGTTCACAATTTAACAGCCCTCCACTAAGCATGGGGTGGGGGAAGTTGTAGACAAGCCTGACCTGGGCTACTGGCAGAACCAGCTCTTTCCTAGTGTTTCTATGTTCAGAAATCCTGACCCTGGTCACTTTTCCTTGGGCCACTGCAATTCGGAGAACTAGTCACTGCCAGTGACTCTGTCTGGGAGCTATTGGGATGGCTCCAGAACTGTACAATGGGGACCAAGACACGACTCCAGCAGGAGGGTTTTGCAGAAGACGTGATTGGTGTGGGCTTCACCTAGGAGGGCTGGGTGGGGCCAGCGCGACAGAGAGGGTTGGAGGCCACCGCACGCTGAGGGCCACCTCCCTCTTCACTGAAGCCCTCTCCAACTCCCAAGGAGCCCGGGCCCAGAAGAGGAGGCGGGGGCACCGGGCTGGCACGCTGCTAGAAACCTGGCTGGAGGAAGGAGTTAAGAAGGCCGGGCTGATGGCCACAGAGACAGAGCGCTGTTTATCCAGGAAAAGAGGTCGTACGTAGGCAACGGAGGCCCCTGCCAGCTCCTCCCAGAAGGCCTGGGCTATGGGAGCAAGCTAGAGAGGAAGCTGCTCCCTCATGCTCTGAAAGCCTCCGGACCAGAGACCAAGACCCAGAGGCCGCCCAAAGGTGAGGCCTGCCCTCTGGGTGCCCGACAGAGCCCGCATGGGCCCAGACTCCCAGGCAGACCGTCGGAACCCCGCGCACACAGGGGTGCGGCGAGCGCAAGGTGGCAGTAGCCTCCCGGAGCCCGTGCGGGTGGCGGAGAATCAATGCTGCCTTTGTGCTCGGTGCCAGGGAGAAAGGAGTGGAGAGTGGGAGGGGCGGCCCAGGCCCCTCCCGCCCTGCACACTCTGGTTGCGGTGGGGCCGAGCGGGAGGCAGCCGGACCTTCGGGGCTTAAAGCGGGTGGGATTCTGTGTCCCAGGAGGGTGCGTCTCTTGGATTGGCCCTGGGTGTCGGTCTGCAGCAACTGGGTGTGCCGCGAGTCTGCTTCTAGCCTGGAGCGACTCCGGAAGGCGAGGGAGGAGCAAGAGGAGGCGATGCAGGTGGGGGTTTGCGGGAGGGTGCTGCGGTTGAAGGATTGCTCAGCCTGGAGAAGCTTGCGGTGGAACAGGGAATATAGCAGCCCAGGCAGCGGGGGGGAAGGGGTTCCAGGGGCTCCAGAGCAGATCTTGGAGGAGACCCCGGATCTAAGGAATGGGCGGGGGAGAGCTGGAGATGGGCGAGCCGGCCAAGGGCCACGGTGTCTCTTCAGGGTGAATGTGTGTATATGAAGAGGGTTAAGGACCTGGGTCCGTTCGTGACGACATACCTTGATAAGCAGGTGTTACTCTAGTCTCACAACAGAAGTCTAGGACTCCAGTGGGTGTGTTCGGCTTTCTAACTCTAAAGTGGATGACATCTTTAGTACTAATGGGTGTGTACTCCGAGGTCCCAAGGCCTGCATCTGAAAACGTATCTAGCCCCCGGCTCCCTCCATTTCTCCCCGAGCCCCCAGACTTCGCCGCCCTTGGATTTTCCTGCTCCAATAGGGGCCCGTGCGCACCGTGGGCCCCGGGCGAGGTCGCGGTGGCGGACGGCCAGGTGTTCTTTCCAGCGACACCCACCTCGGACTCCTCTCCTCTTCTCTCTTCGTCCAGCCAACTCCCCAGACCGCCACTGAGACCCTGCATTTGGCACCTTCTGGCCTCTCGGAGCTCGCACTTTCATTACCCCCATCCACCGCATGTGGCTGTTGGAGAAAGCTGGCTACAGGGTGGGGACCGCGGAGCCCGAGGCCCGGTGGGCGACCTGCAGCCTGTTCTCTAAGCGCCGCGACCCGGGCCCTACCGCGCGCGCCTGCCCCAACGTGCTCACCCCCGACCGCATCCCTCAGTTCTTCATCCCACCTCGGCTCCCGGGCCCCGGAGGCGCGGGACCCCAACCCGCGCGCGAAGCGAGCGGGCGGGGCCTCCGGGCGGCCTGCTCGCTGCCGCACCTGGCGGGCCGCGAAGGCTGGACCTTCCTGCTGGAAAGCCCGCACACGCGCCGGCGCGAGTCCCTGTTCCACTCGCCGCAGCCCGCCCCCGCCGAGAGGCTTCCCCCCGCGCCGGACCGGCTGCACGGCTCCGCCCCGGACCTGCGCCTCTGCTGGGCCCCCGACAGCGACACGGCCTCGTCGCCGGAATCCTCGCCCTTCAGCTCGCGGCGGCCTGGCCCGGGCCAGGCCCGGCCGCCCAGGCCGCGCTCGCTGCCCCGGGAGGAGGCGAGCTCGGCCGACACCAGCCCGCGCGCGCCGCCGCTCTTCCACCTGGACTTCCTGTGCCGCCAGCTGCGGCCCACGCGGTACAGCGTGGTGCGCGTCGGGCCCCGCGGCGGGCAGCTGCGGCTCTGCGCCGAGTACCCGGCGGGGCCCGGGCAGCTGCGGCTGCGCCTCGTCAGCGCCGAGGGGCTGCCCCGCCCGCGAGCCGGCCCCGGCAGCAGCGGCGGCTGCTTCGTTGTGCTGGGGCTGCGGCCGCGCGTCCGGCCGCGGGACCAGCGGAGCCGCGTGGTCAGATGCAGCGCCAACCCCATCTTCAACGAGGACTTCTTCTTCGACGGGCTTGGCCCGCCCGACTTGGCCGCCCGCAGACTGAGGGCCAAGGTGCTGGAAAGGGGCGCAGGGCTGCGCAGGGACGCACTGCTGGGGGAGTGCGAGACGCCCCTTATTGCCCTGCTGCCCCCCTTGGGTGGGGGGCTAGGTCCAGGGGCCTCCTTGGCACCTACACACCACAGCCTGTAGTCTGAGACCGGTCTGCAGTTCCCATTCCTTTCCATCTGCCTGGCGAGTATTTATTTTTTGCTAATAAAAGGTCTGTTTATCTCTAGTGAGATATCTCCACTTTTTGCACCCTACAAACTCTCAGGTCTGCCTCCCAGCCCCCTACCTCTGCCCTGGCCATACAGGTATGGAAGGAGCTCATCGACATGGTCTAAGTTGGAGCAGACCTACAGTAGTTGCCCTCAAACTCGAAAGAGCATCAGAATAACCAGACATCGGAAAACCAGGGTAGCTTGTTAAACACGCAGAGTCATGGGCTCCATGCCCCAAGAGACGCAGAAACTAGTTTCAGTAGATCTCAACTGAGGAGGACCTGGGGCCCCTGTCCAAAAAGGCCCCCGCCCTCTCAGGGAGCCCTCCAATCGCTGAATCGCTCCAGAAAAAGTTCTGTGAGGAAAGCCACCTTCCCCTGAGGGCTCCTTGGGGCCACGCTGGGGAAATCAAAGCTCCCTCTCTGAGCTCCACCTCCCTCCATGAGCCACATCTGTCCTGAAGAAAGGTGAAATGTGTGGGTCTTGGGAGCGCCTTTAGGTGTCCTCTCTCTTGCCTGTCCCTTCCACACCTGTGCCATCCTGGGGGGGCAAAGCCAGAGCCCAGAGCCAGAGTAGCACTGTGGTACTGAATGACCGAGATCTGATGTCCCAGGAATTGAGATCCTGGGTGAGGAGGGGGTCCTATGGGAATGTGAGAGCTGGGGATGCCCAGAAAAGGGCGCCCCCGTGAGTGGGGGGAGGGCGTGGAAGGTGGATGAATGAATGTAGGTCAGATTGTGTTTATCTCCTACCTGAATGTCTCTGACGTCAGCAGTGACCTTATTCTGCCTTTCCACCTTCCTTGGAGCTGGTTCCTCTTGGCTCAGGCCAGGCTTGGAGGAGGGTAGGAGGGAAGGAGAGAGGCACTGGGCCAGCTTCTTTGGCCCTTTCCTTTGAGCCCTTTCTCATTTTCCAGAGCGCCCTGATCCAGGGCCGAGCCTGCTGGATCTTGATACACCTCTGTGTGTGTAAAGCTAATACAACACACACACACTTCTCCATTCAAACAGCTCCCTAGTTCCTTTGCTTCCTGAAGTTAGGTTCTTCCGCCCTAGCCCTAGGCCACCTAGGCCAGGGACATGACCTGCTCCAGGTGTCCACCAGGTGGTAGCATTGACCAACAAGATTATCACCAGGCAAAGAACTATGGTTCCAACAATTTAAGTCATTTATTCCTGTCAGCGACCCCCATGAAAGCTAAGTACTACTGGGTTCAGTGTGACTTTGGACTTATCTAGTGAGGAGTAGAATTAGGGTTCCAACCCAGAGTCTGGCTCCAGAGTCACTTCACTATAATATCCCTCAATGCCAGCTGCTGCCTCCCTACCGGGTCACTCTGAAAGGGGTCTCCTCCTTCCAACCATTTCAGTCTATGAAGGCCACACACCCCCACCCCCCACCCCCCGCTGTCTAATGCTATCTCTAGTACAGTCCTCTACTTCAGCCCCAAATCTTCCTGCAACGACCATTTGAAAATAGCTGGAAAGAAATGTTGAGGTCACTTAACCTTTGTTGGTGCATTTCTCCAACAAACACTGAAGGACAACAGGCATGGCTTCAGCAGTGGTCCAGTCAGGTGTGGGGATTGGACAAGACACAGAATAAATAAGTTACATGGGGAAAAATGTAACTAGGTGATATGTTACAGAGAAAAATGAAACAAAAAAGGAGGGCATAGGGAAGGAGAGTCAGGTAAAGGGAAGAAAGGAAAGTTATAAGGATGGAGGAAAGGAGGGAGGAGAAAGGAACCAAGTTCTTTGTACCAGGTCCTGTATTTTCCTTGTGTCACCCAGCTAACTGCCACCTGCACATGTACACATTTGACTGAGGAGCTGGATCAGAGAGGAAAAGGAAATTTACCTGGGAATCAGCTTAGCTACAGGGAAGACTGAGGATTGTAGCTCCACCCGGGCCCTCACTGCCCCCTGCCTCCCGGAGGAGGCTGCGAGGTAGTACCCAAGTCCACCCTATCACGGAGCATTGCACCCAGAATTCAGAGCTGTGAACTGTCCCCCTGTGATGGGGGCCGCGGTGTTCCTGGAGGAACTTCCTGGCGAGCTAGCAGCACAGGTATCGCCTGGGGCAGATCAGGTCCTAAGAACACCTCCTGCCACAGACTGCTCTGGCCTCCAAGCACAAGCACTTTCACAAACACATACGTCAGACCCCTTTGTAACTGAGGACTAATAAATGGCAGGATGCACACATTCTTGACCAAGCTTTTTGGTTCCCAAATTCAGAGCTCCTGCTTTTCAACCCTTCTTGAAGTTCAGGGCCAGGAGCTGGGGTCAAACTCCAGCTGTTCCCTCCACCCACAGTGGCCTTTGTGACAGGAAGGGGGGGAGGGGTGGAAGCTGTAAGATCTACAGATGTTAATAAAGAGAGGGTTGTTCTTTTTAAATGGATGAGGGGGAGGGTACCGCCCGCTCCCTGAATCACTCCAGTAGGTTGAGGGGTCCCCAGGCACGGACCTGCTAGAAAGGACCCAAAGAAAACTGGTCTCTAATCATGAGATCAGGCTTCCCAGAGCAGGTGGCCCCTCAAAGGGTGGCACCAGGGTGGTAGGGCAGGCAGGCTGCCCAAGACCCACATACGTTTCCCCTTCACAACCCCAGGCCCTCCCTAGAAGGACAGGCTTGCACTGAGCTTTAAGTGGTTTCTGTGGTTTAGGGGGTGGGGAGGAAGGGAAAGAAGTTGGTGACTGCTCCCCAGTTCCAAGCCACCACCACCACCCTCCACCCGCTCCAGGCTGCTTGCCCCCTGCTTTGAGATGCCCCAGCCTGATAAAGTAACTTGGGCACTGTGGGGGGTAAAATGATTCTCTCGATCCTTATCAGCCTCCTCCTTGCATAAGAAGATAAAAATGTATTCGAAAAGGAAACACCCGGCTTTGAAAGGACTGATTCATTCAGAAAAGGGGCTGTGATTGGAGCAGAAAGGAAGGTCAGGCGTGAGGGGCACTTCCCAAAAGGATGACCAAGATGCCTTCCTGCCCTGGGAAGAAAGAACCTCGGTCATCCATGCTCTTTAGGGATGGAGAAGCGTAGAGACAGGAAAATATCTGAGGAGCATGTGACTCACCTAGGCCGAGAGGCCAGGACCCTGTCTTCCCACCCGCTGCTCCACCCCTCACTTCCTCCGCATCCTACACAGTGTACGAAGTGGCCCAGCTGGGAGAGGCAGCCATACCTGTGGTATCTGGGGCAGGCAGGGCTGCCTGGCACGGCGCCACGGCCAACAGCCCATTCCCGGGCACTCTGCATGGTCTCACTCTGTGTCCATGACTGAGAGGTCAGGAAGGGCCTGGGACCCAGAGTCACAGAGGTAGAGGGGCTTAAAGAGAAGAGACAGAGAAAGAAGACTTGGAAAGGACAGAAAATGGAAGAGCCACAGACAGGGAAAGGCTCAGGGAGAGACAGAGAAATGCTGAGTGGAAGCAAATCCAGGCACCAGAGGGCAGGGGGAGGGGGACATCATGGCCCAGCACCCTGTCCCTCTGCCCTCTGTCCCTCTACTCCTCTGCCAGAGGGTGCTGGGTGGGGTGGCATTTTGGAGAGCTCTGCTTCTTATTTCAAGCCTGCCTAAGGACAGAGCCCCCAGACAGACCAACATCCTGTTTTGTGCAGGGAAGTGCACAGAGATACGTGGGCCACGAATTTACCAAAAGGACACGGGGATAGTCAGAGGCTCAAACATACAGACATACACCCTACTCTCCATACAAGATGGTCCCCCAAAGTTTCCACTCCACTCTTCCCCATCTCCTTTGTCAACCATTTGGGGAGTTGGAAATTCCTCCTCTACCTCTAACCTTTGTCCCTCAAGCTGCAACCTTTGGGAGACTCTGGGAGCTACCCAGGAGCAGAGGTGCTGATGGCAGCAGAGTGGGAAGCTCCAGGGCCCGGCAGGAGCAGACTATGGCAAGACGGGAGGGCCCAGAGGGAAGGGACAGCTGCCTGCCCTCTCCACGCCAGGTGCCACGTGCACCAGGTGGGGGGGAGTGGGAAGGTCACGCGGCTGTGGCGTGGCCGGCTTTCGCTCTGCTGTTTACCAGCTGTGAGGGAAAGCAGGAGGAGGTGCCCGGAGCCTCCCCGCTGCAGGCTGGCCCCTAGCCAGCTGGCCTGTTGGGTAACGAGGAGAGCCAGGCCCAGCTAATCAAACTCTGGGCCAAGGCTGCGTGAGAGAAGTGGCATCCAGGACCCGCTGAAGCCTCCCCACCCTGCAGCCCTCCCTCCACAGAGCCCTTCTTTGGTGCAGGTGCCAGTGTGGGCCCACGCAGCCTGGGGGACCTTCTGCCCCGTGACTAGTGAAGTGTAGCACCCCTCGTCCCCACTCCCCTCCCACTGTTCCTCTGCCTCCACACTCTCCCCCAGGCCCAACAGCCCAGGAGGATGCAGAGGCATTAAGGAGTCCAGGAATTCTAGGGAAGGGCAGTGAGGGGACGGGACTAAGCAGGCAGAGGCCTCAAGGAACCAAGGAACCACTGGGATGACTGATCGCATCCTGAAGAAGAGGCACAGTCCCTGCACATAAGCCTACCGCTCCCTCCCATCTCCTCATCTCCTGTCATCTGTCACCTGTCAGGGAGAAAGCACTCTGTGATTTTGAAGTCACAAAGACCCAGGTTCAAATCACAGCTCAACCACTTACTGTCCTTTTGAAAGTGTGTTAAATCACTTAGCTTATGGGTAAATCTGGAGTAAATATGTTTGCCTCCTGGTGGGTGTTGTGAGGATTGAAAAAAATAATGAATTTACATAAAATACATGGCAAAGGGCCAAGCACCCAGTAGGTGAATGCTAGTCCCCTTCCCTTCCCTTCACCTGCCCTGTTGCTCCTCTGAGCTCCAAAGTCTATTCCTTTGGTCCCTCCCCTTGTCCCCTCCTGGTGCCAGGACGCTCTGCCAGCCACTCCTTTCCCCTGCCTGCTGACGGGCCAGGTGCTCCCTGCCTCCTCCCTCCCCCCTCCCCTGGGCCCTGCTCCCTGCCCTCCTGGGCAGCCAGGGCAGCAAGGACGGCACTCAGAGAGTTGCCCCAGGGACAGGGCCCCACAGAGACACCACCGAGCCACGAGGGGTAAGAGGCCCTACGCCCTGCTGGCAGGTGGAAGGGGCTGCCAGGAGGTTCAGAGGAGAGGGACAGACAGATGGGACTGGTCGAGAAGTGAGGAAGGGAGGAGGAACAAGACAAGGGAGGAGAGAGATGGGACTGTCAGGGGAACACAGGCAGGTGAGACAGGACAGGTCTTGATAGAGGCGAAAGGAGGGGCTGGAGACATGACAGAGGAGTGGAAATAAGAAATGGGAAATACATGAAGGGAAAAGAAAGGGAGAAGTGAGGAAGGAGGAGAGGAGTGGGGTGGGTGGAGGAGATGGGCACAGGCAGGGAAGCTAGATCAAGAGAAGGATTAGAATGTGGGCAACCCCCCCCCCCAATGTCAGCAGCCCCTGGTAGCAGTGGGGACACTGCTGCACAGGCTCAGCTGTCTGGGACTGGGGAGCGGTGGCTGGAAAGGTGGCCACTCCAATTCTGTTCATTCACCAGTGGAGAAACCTGTCCTGCCTATGAGGATGACAGACAAAGCTGGGAGGAGGAAGAAAGGTGCCCATGCCCACTGGCCCAGGGGCATGCCATTTCACTTCTGCAGAGAATGTGGGGCACCGAGCCCAGGGAGGTAGGGGACAGAGAGTCAGGCAGTCTCTATAGCCCCACCAGTGGTCTAACTCGGAGACCCCCTTAGAGCACATTCTATGGCCACATGCTTGGTCAGCTGCAAGCACTGAGGGGAAACCGTGAGTGCCGGGCTGCCAAGCTCTGAGGCCCCCTAGTGGAGGAAGGACGCCACTGCCAGGCATGCAAGGGATCACCCCCCCACCCCAGGACTGCCCCGAAAGTGCAAGGCTGGAGGCCAGAGAGCAATGCCAAGGTGCCACGTCAGAGAGGAAGCTGGGTGGGGCTAGGCAGGATCAGCGGGGCAGGCGGGAAGGGCCGGATGGAACCACTCCCACCCCCAACCCAGCAGGGGCCAGGCCTTCAAGTCCACTCAGCCCAGCGGAGGAAGCCTGCCAGAGGGACAGTATGGGGGCTGGAGGTGGGGGGTGTCCAGGATGGAACCACAGAAGGACAAAGATAACAGAAAAGTGCATTCGGAGGCTAGGGAAAGTATGGGGGGCATAAGGCAGAGCTGCAGGGTTTTCTGGGACAGAAGACTGGCCCTGTACCCTGTGAGGAGCTGTTCTACGGATGTAGCAAATGGACTGATGGGGGGGGGGGCCTTCAGGGGCTCCCTGGGCAGATATTTAATAAAAACCACATGAAAGAACAACCCTCAGTGATGCTCTAGCTCAGGCTTTCTGCTCAGCAGCTGCCCCTGTGGAGGTCTGCGCCTCCCTGCTCACCCCACATCAACTTACCTGTGCTCCCTGCTGCCCACCTGCTCTCCACCCAGACAGATGCCACAGAGCAGGTGGGAAGGGCGTCCTCCCTGGGCAGCCTGGTGTGTGGGGGAGCCAGGGAGGCAGAGCGAGCTCTGTGCTTGCAGCTCCCCAGGCCTCTTCCTCCAAACATCCTCACCAACCTGCTCTCAACCCCCACACCTCTGGGGTTCCCAGGTGCCCTCAGGCACAAAGAATCCCAAGAGACTGAATGCCCACGGAGATTTAACTCTGGCCGAAGAGTATTGATTGAGTACCTCTAATGGCCCACACCGATAGAAGCTCTGGGAAGAACAGGGCGAACGAGGCAGACACAGTCCCTGCTTCCCCATTGGGTTTACTATCTAGCAGAAAGCCCCGGTTCACGCAGGTAATGACACAATTCTATCAGTTAGGTGATGCAGTGAGTGCCAGGAAGTCTAATGCGAGTGCTGAGTGTGTAAACACCAGGGCAGGGAGGGGGCACATACAGCTTCTCCAAGGAGGAGGCGGAATGAGAGACTTGGGGGCTGAGGAGAAGTGGGCCAGACTGAGGGGCTGTGAGAGAAGGGCATCCCGGGCAGAAGGGGTAGCTTGGGCAGTCCCAGAGCTGGTGAGGAGCCTGCCACTCCTGAGGACTGGGAAGAGGGCCGGCATGACTGACGGGCAGAGAAAGAAGAGGAGGTGCTGTGGAGGACGGTCCCACCTTCTGGGACACCAGGCTCCACTGGGAAGGAATGGGGTGAGGATGGGGGCTTGCGTTTGGGTGGAGGAGCATCTCTCGGTTCCCGTGGTCGTAAACTGCTGGCCCTGATCCCTCCCTTCTCTTCACAGTGGTCTTCCGCTGGCTGCAAAGAAGACCCACAGCTGTGAGTAGAGCACTGGGGCAAGGACTGGTGCTGGGGTGTGGAGAGATGGCACAGAATCCAGCAAGGGCTGTGGGAGGTTCTCGTAAAGGTATGTAGACGATGCAGAGCTGAAGGAGCCACGCAGAAGTGGCCCAGCCCGAAGAGAGGTGGAGCCCAGAAAAGCAAGGAAGATGGGGAGATGGGGAAAGGAGAGGGGGGGATGGAGAAACCTCAAGATCAGGGCAGTGGTAGGAGATAAGGAAGAAAGCTGAAGATAGGGAACATTGCAAAGAAACTAGGAGACCAATGAAAAGGGAGCTGTGGGGGAAGGACGGAGAGGAGCTGGAAAGAGACTCGGGAGATGGAAGGGGCTAGGGCAGGGAGGCAGGGAGGCTGCACCAGGCTTTGCGGCAGCGGAGCCAGGTTTGGTGTTCGTCTCTGTGGTTAACACATACTGAGGTGCGAATGAACCTGGAGCCAGGCTGTGCAGGGCTGGAGAGCAGGAAAGCCTTCATCTCTGTAGAAAATACAACCGAAAGGGACACCCTGGGTCCCAGGGCCCTGGAAGACTGAGGCTACAGCATGTAAGGAGGGGCTAGAGTTCGGGAAGGACTTCCCAGTGGATACTAGGGAGTAAGCAGTGCCCTCTCTAGGAACCTCCCAACACATCAGATCTGCCCTCTTGGTTTGTGGGAGAAGCTTCTCCTTCAGAAAACGCACCCACTCCACCTCAGCCCCAGAGCTCATATCCCATCAGAGCCATGCTCACCCTAACAGCAGGAGGACACTCAGGGGCAACCCTCCATGAGCGTGGGTCCCTGACTTGATGAGGACAACTCTGGGGCAGGAGACCCTACCTCTCCGGCCTTCCCTTGAATGGCCCACCAGTTTCTCCTGAGGACTCGCTCCCGCCCCTTCTGCTGCCAGAATCACCTAGAACCTCCCTACTTCAGGTGGAGGAACCAAGGAGGGCAGCAGCATCGCTCTCTGCCTGAGCTGGACGGACAGGGGCTGGGGGCCATCCAGGATGCTACACCCTCCTGGGTGGGGGCTTGCTTTGCTCAGCACAATCCTGATCAGTGCCTCGCCTGCCCCTAGCCACAGGGCCCCACGGAAATGCTGAGCAGGGCCCTGGGAGGAAAACGGGTCAAGGACTGACGTGTGAGCTGGGGGAGGAGAGCTTGGGACCTTATGTGGGTGGGGGGTGAAGGGGGAGTTTTGGAGCAGCTAGAACTGGAAGAGGCTAAACTCCATTCCTACCCTTAACCCCTTACCACAGAAACCTCAGCCAGGGCCACACACCCTTATGCCCTTCCCAACCCACTGGCCCTGAGCAACCCTCACCCCCTGAATGTCCTCCCGAAAACCCGAGCTGGCAGCCCTTCGCCCAATCCGGGTCCTAAAAGCTGAAGAAGCCCAGCAGGGAAAGGCCTGTACCAGGCTGAGGAGCTACTGGAGTTCCGGCAAGATCAGAGACCTCTTAGGAGACTGGACCCAGAGAAGCCAGGAAAAGTTAATGCCTCACCCAGGCAGAGGGCCTGAAAAAGGGGCTCTAAATTGAGAAACCCTAAGAAGGGAGAAACTCAGGAGGGACCACCAGACCAAGAGAGGGCCTGATTAATAAGGGGCCCTGAAAAAGGAAGCCCCCCCTCCACAGGCTGAAGTGCCCCATGGAGCAGGTATGAGCCTGAGAGAGCCTCTAAAATTGACCAGGCCCTCAGAAAGACCCCCAGACCACAAGAAGCCCTCCCAAGCTGAGACGCTCACAAGAGCAGACTTGAACCAAAGAAACCATACCATGTCTCAAGTGGGATCTGAGGCCAGTCTGCTTGAGTTTCAGTCCTGACTTTACCACTTACTGGCTGTGTGACCTTGGGCAAGTTACTTAACCTCTCTGTGTCTCACTTTCCTCATCTTTGAAATGGGGATAATGGTACCTGCCTCATAAAGTATCTTATGAGGATTAGATAATCCACATAAAACGTTAAAAACCATTTCTGGCACATAGTAAATATCACCCTCATCCTCCTCCTCATCATAATCATCATTCTAATTTCAACAATTTTGCTCCTAAGGAAATGTCTGGCGGACTAAGCCCTCCTACAGAGTGTGGGCATTTGTCTGATTATTTCTGCTACTATTATAACTTATTCCCTAGCCCAGGGCATACACCGTCTCCGCAGTGAGGCCATGAGCATGCTGGGTGGCCGGCCAGCCTCCAGACTGCACCTCAATGGGCACCGCTCTTGGCAGTCCACAGGGTCTCGGGTGGAACTTGCCACTACCCCGGGCAGACATCCTGTGACTTACCTCTAGAAACATCCCTGTCCCTGGAGTCACCTGGCAAAAAGAGTCAGAGTTGGGGGTCCTCAAAGGGAGGAGGAGTAGACCACTGGCCCCAGGCTCACGTGAGCTCCCCTCGGGCTCCCCAGCCCGAGCCACCCTGTCAGGTGGAAACAGCTTTTACCGCGTGTGGCTGTCGCATGTGGTTTTGGAATTTTCCAACGCCCCCTGTGATTGGCTGCCCCGCCCCTCACACCCTGCTCCAGACCCAGATTGGCCACGTGGGGCGCCTGTCATCCTACCCGCTGCACCCCAGGGAGTGGTGGGGGGTGGCAGGTTGGGGGGGGTTGTCAGTCAGCCACCTGTGTGGTGCTAGCTTAAACCCCCCTGCCCAGAAGCATTGGGGGAGAGCTGGGTGCAGAGCAACGAGCAGAGGCTCTGCTGAGAGGCCTCGCCCCCAACCCTGCTGCCAGCTGCGCCCCATCTCTGGACCACCCCCTGCTGAGAAGGACAGTGAGCCAAGGTGGCAAAGCCTGCAGTTCAGCCATGAGAAGTAAGTGAAGGGGGCTACCTGGGAGCGGGGGAAGCCTGGATCCCGCAGTCCTCCCCAGGCCTTCAGGAAAGGAGGGGGTCTTGGGAACAAAGTGGGCAAAGCTGAGTACTCTCCCCAGGCAGGGTGTGTCCTGGTCAAGGCCGAGGTCTGCTGGGAGGTGGGTGGAGTAGCTGAGGAGTCCGGTTCCCCAGGCAGTTCTCTTAGGGCAACGATAGTAAAGGGACTTCTCTGTCAAGGGTGCAGGAAAGGATCTTCGAGAGTACCTGAGGTGCGCTGCCCCCTCATTTTAGAGAGAGACTGAGACCCAGAGAGGCCAAGAGTGTCACTCCAGATCACACAGCTGTAGTAGACAGGCGCCTGGATGCACTCCCCCGGCTCCGGTGGTGGTGTCGTTCTTTGTGCCTTCCACCTGCCCGGGAGTGGGGAGGAAAGGAGGCCAGAGGAGCTGCTGTGCCCTGGAGCAGCAGGACAGTGAGTCAGGTGAGGTCAGCAGGCAGAGGGGGTCAGAACCCCAGCATCCAGGCCTGAAAGCCACCGTGCTTTCCACCCAGACCCGGGACATGAGGACCAAGTAGAATCCAGCCAGGGTGCCGTGAGTGTGTGTGCCCCGGGGTTCAGTCATCTGTTTGATGAGGGGGATCAGACAGTGGAGATGGGAGCAGCTTCAACTTCACCCGCTTCCTGGCCTGGAGCCATGGGCCAACAGCTGGTGGGCAGATATCTGGGGTCCCTGCGCCTCCTAGCAGAACAAGAGTGGGCAAATCTGCCAGCCCCTGTGTTCAGGTAAGAGAAGCCAGAGAGCCTGTCCGAGCACTGGGCGAGAGAGAAAACGGGAAGCCCTGTGGCCCTGTGAACCAGACCCTGAGGCAGCCCCAGCTTCACCCGGGGCCTTCCCACAAGACTCAGAAGCAAAGCCATCTCGGGACCTGGACAGACCCGTGGGCTGCGAGTCTAAAGACCAGGTGCTGCTGCCACTTCTGTCACTGACTAGCCCTGTAGTCTTAGTTAGGCAAGGGCCATGGTCTCTTCATCTGCAAGGCGGGGGTGTGGGGGAATTTAAAAACAAAACCGGTTTTGAAAAGGCTCCCAGTTCTGAGGGCCTAGCACCAAGGAGAGAGCCCTGGTCCCCAAGTTAGGGTAGTGGAGGACACGGCTTTCCCAGAGGGTGGACAGAGAGGAGGAAAGCAAAGGGAAGAGCTCCCTGTCCACACTTGGGATGAGGACTCCAGGTCAAGTGTATGAGCTGGGGTGGGCCGGGGGGCCAGGAGAGGAGCCAAAAACTTCCACAGGAAGAAGGACCCCTCGGAGCGTTAGTTTCCCTTCTGGCTTCTTCCCACTAGCAGCAAAGGTTAACAGACCTGTCTTCCCACAAATAGTCTCAAATCAGCAAATCCATCCTAGGAACCAATAACTGGGTGTGCTTCAGCGTCTGGCAGGAGGGCAGGAGTCCCCAGGACTGGGGGGGGGGCCACACCGGGGAACCGCTACAGGATGCCCCCGCACAGCTCCATCCAGGCTGGCAGGAAGAAGGGGCGGTCTCTGTGCCACTGGTCCTTCTCACCTGGACATCTCCAGGGATCTCACAGCCCCATCTTCTCTGACTGTCCCCCCATGAGTGTCAGCCACCACCATGCCCTTGGGTGCAGCTGGGGCAAGTTGGAGCACTGGGGACTTGGGATCGTGATGCACCCAAAGACCAAGGAGCAGGAACAGAGAAGTAGAGAGATGCAGAGACCCAACTCAAAGGACAGAGATTAATGTAATTAATCTCTGGGAGAGAGCGATGTCCTGATGGAGATCTAAATGGAGAAAAACCAGAAGAGCCTAAACCCTGCGAAACAGAACTGGAGTGCAGGAGACAGACGGGCGCGCAGCCTCGGGGAGAGAGGCAGTGGGTAGCACGCCTGCAGGAGAAGGGGGACGCTGAGTACCGACCGGGTCTAGGAAGGTGGAAAGTAGGAGGCACGGACTTGACAGAGGTTTTGAAACGATGGTACAGGCTCCCTGCGCCTAAGTAGAGAGGAAATGTCCATGAGCCAATAAAGTCCCCAGCCAGCCAGGAGGGCGGCCCGGTCATCTGGCTCGAGCCACGGCCAGCGTGGAGCCAACAGGCCTAAGACCCTCGTGTTAGGCCTGGATGAGAGGTGGGAGGGTGAGGCATACAGGTGCCCGCCTGTCTTCACTGTGCCTGATCTTTCTCAGGTCTGGTCATGCTAATGAGGAGCACGGGCCAAAGAGATGTCCACTCCCCAGGGTGCCACAAATGTCACCCTGAGCACCAGCGCCACCTGACTTTACAAAGGGCCCCTCCTTTCTTGCATCTCTCCTGCACCTTCCCCTTTACCTCTCTTCCCATTCCTAACAAGGATTCCCCTGTCCCCCAAAATAGGACTCCAAACATCCCCCACCCCCCCACCCCCAGCGCAAGGCTCCCTGCTGTCCCATGGCAATGAGACACGGGTGTTGGCATGGCCGCCCCTCCCAAGTGCTCCCTCCCTCTGTGCCCCTGACTCAAACAGGGAACAGGGACTTTCCCCTGCTGCAGAGCTCTCCAAGAAAGGCAGCCCTGGAGTGTCCTCCTGTCCTCCATGGCTAGCCCACTCCTGCCGCTGCAACGCTGCCCCTTCCTGGGGGTTTGGACTCAGAAAGGACAGAGATATGTTGTGGGGAGGGATGGTAACAGGGCAGGGCCTCCGGTACAGAGCCCGGGTCTTTTGACTCCTCGTGGCCTCGAGGAGCAGCTGAGGCCTCTGGAAAGGAGACGCAGTCCTGAGGCAGGGGAAGGGGCTGAGTGTGACCGTCTGGGCTCCCACTCCTCAGGCCTTCCTCCTGGTGATTCATCCCCTCCCCCATTCACTGGTTGTTTTCACTCAATTCTTTTGTTTCCCCTCCTTTCTCCTGTCCCAGACTGCGGGGGTGGCGGGGGCACAAAGAGGGGGTTTCAGGTGGCTGGCTGTCTTTCGTGGCTTTTCAAAACCCCAGACTCTCCCTCGCCCACCTGAGTTTTAGCTTCGCTACTTTCTCACCCCTGGGATCTGGGCGTATCAGCAGAAAGTTCTCGCTATGGCTGGGAGGAGTGCTCGCCAGGTAGAACTGCTTTTATCCTGACCCCCACCCAGCCCTCCCCCTCCTGCTCCCCTGTGGTGGTACCCACCACTCGTGGTTTCCAGCTTTGCAGAAGCTGCGGGAACTGAGAGCTGAGAAAGGAGGGAGGCTGGCGCACACAGCGGACCAGCTGTGGTCTCTGTGGGGAAAGGGACTGAGAGTTTGGGCTGCAGGGAGAGGGGTGGGCACCTGAGCTAAGAAAAGAGACACGTTCATTCATTTCTGCAGAGAGGTCTACTGAGATGTATGAAAGCCAGTCCATCCCCCAAAGGAGCTGTGGTCTTCAGAGGAGTCCCAGATCAGGAGCTCTGCTGGGATGGGCGAGCTGTTCCACCTGGACCTCAGAAGCCTGCCCCTGAGAAATGGGTGAAGGCGGAAGGAGGCCGACACCACAGAGGAAGAGCTGGGACAGAGGGAATGTTGTCTCTGGATCTTTACACGAGGCACGAGTCTTGGCCTTAGTCCGTGGGTGTCCTCCTGAATTCCTTTCCTAGCCCACCCGCCCGACTTCGCACTTTCCCCTGTAGCCAGTAAGCGACCTATCCCCATCCCGTCCTCCTCAGTGCATTGGGGCAGCTCATCCTGAGAAGGCATATAGCTAAGTTGTTGAGGATACTGGCTCTCTAGTTAGAGACTGGGCTTCACGTGCCAGACCTGCCACTTCTGGCTATGTAACCTTAGTCAAGCCATTTGCTCTCTCCTGGGCCATTTTCTCATCTGTAAAATGGGGACAATACAAGTAGTACCTACTTCACAGGGTTGTTGTGGTCATTAAGTGAAAAATGTAGACAAATTCTGGCACAGAGCTACAATTCAGCCAGCGCTTATGTCTATGGTTATTAGTCCTCTTTAACCAACCTCCACTGGAGAAAATGAGATAGAGAAGAGAGCGAGCACCCAGCTCCAGACTGACGGAGCACAAAGAGATGAGGACCCCGGGTTCCTCTGCCTGCATCCATTCTCCACCAGGCTGGGGGTGCCTCTGGGGTTTGAGGAGAGAGCTCCCCCAGGGTTGCAACCCCCACTTTGTGCCTACCACTTCCTCTCTGTGGCATAGGGCACCTGGGTGCGGGGGCCCAGCGCTGGCTTCATGGGGTGGCACAGGACCAGCTCTGGATGTATTCAAAGAGCATTATCAGTGAATCTCGCAGCTGTGAGAAGGGTGAGATTAGAGGAGGTCGGAGGGAGGGGAGCACAGACTGCTTTGTCTTTACCGGTATTTCCCCAAGGAGGACGCGCCCGTACGAAGTTCCCTGGTGCTCCCTCAATGTCCGAAGCAATCCCGGAGAGACTCATTTCCTTTTCCTAGTACTGCATCAGAATGACATTATTAGCGGTCACACTGGATGGTGGAGAAGACACCAGAATGAGCCAGGGAAGGGAAGACCAACAGCACTCTCATCCCCCAGTGGGAGCAGCCTAGCACAAAATCGGGAAGAGGGAGGGAACTCCTGCTACTCAAAAGTGTAGGCTAAGGCCCAAGAAGCTTGGGCACCAACCAGGAGCTAGTTCGAACGCAGAATCTGGGTCCCCACTCAGACCTCCCAAGTCAGGACCTGCATGTTAAAAGATCCCTAGGCGATCTTGTCTGAGACAAAAAGGGCTAGAGTCATCCAGGCACTAGATGATCTTAGAAGACAAGTGCGCGTGTGGGCATTGCTCTCTCCTTGGAATGAGGGTTTCCTTTGACTGGCCCCGGGAGACAGCGGCAGAAAGACGCGCAGATCTTCTTAAAGCAGCAGCAGGGGCAGAGGGAGGGCTGCTGTGAGAGTCGTGCTGCAGGGCTTGCCTAGACCTTCCTGACCTTTGCTTGATTCTAGTTCCTGGCACTGTCAGGCGTTTAGATGGCAAGTTCCTGGCAGGCCAGGCTCCCAGGCAACAATTTGAGTAATCCTGTGATTACTCAGCTCCCCCTCCCCAATCTGGGTTCCCAGCACCTGCTGCCTCAGGGCAGTGGCTCAGGGGTAGATTTAGAAGGTGAGGTATCCGAGGTGTTTTTCAATTCCTGCTGCCCCCACCACCTCTGCCAGTCCCCTTCCCGTCCCCTGCCCTCCCCTCCCCTCCTCCACGGTCACACTCATGAACGCAGGGACTTTCTCCTTGAGGTTTTGGGTAGATGGCATCAAAGGGGACACCAGTGGCCGTGGAGGGAAGAAAGAGAAGGACAGAGGGCCGCCAGCGCTGACAGGGCCAGGACATAAGTGGGTTCTCTGTGGTCCTTTGACCATCTCTCTATCTCTGGGTCTAAGTCTCAGTTAACCTGACCCTCTGGCTTGGACCTTCTGACTCTATGTCTGTCTCACTGGGTGCCTCTGTCTTGGACTACAGTTGGGGACATGGGGGAGTGGCTGGCCTGGTGGCTGGGGTCCTAACTCATACATCCCCCAAACATGGTATTGTGAAGGGGGCCTGTGGCTGGCCACACTGTCCCATGAGAAGGGTGAGGTCTTGGTGACGCCGTTGTGAGGTCCTGGGACCAAGACCAGCAGCAGGTCAGGCATGGGGCAGAGGCATGTGTCTGGGTCACCCATGTGGTCAGCACACACACGCACACGGATGTGGCTCTGGGAGAAGGGAACAGGCAGGGAGGCCTGTGGTTGATGGTAGGACCTGAGTTCCCACTGTGGCTTGGCCTAATCTCCCTCCCGCTTACTTTTTTGGGTGACCCACGTTGGTTTCTCTGCTCTCTGTGCTTAGGTCCACTGAGTAGAGAGAGCCCACAGTGCTGCGGGGAAGTGCTGAGGAAGGGCAGACTGGATGGGGTACAGGAACGTCCATCTATCTCAGATGCCCACAGGCTTTTTTTGCCCTCAGCTCTGCTCAGCGGCAACAGGCACGCACAGTGTTTTCCACGGGTGACATCATTTAACTGTACTACCTGCAGTCACCCCGGGGACAGCCAACGGTGTTTTCATCCATGTGATCTTACGGACAGGGGAACTGGGGCCTGGAGAGTCTAAGTGACTGGACGTGCAGGTGTCCCCACATTTTCCACCCTTTCTCTAAGTACTCGAATGCCTTTTGTTCTCTCTTCCCCTCCATGCCCTCCGATCTGCTCTGAATGTACTGGAAAGAACCTGAAAAGCTCACTTCCCGTCTGTCCTCGATGATCAGAGACTGCTGTGTGGGTGTCTGGCAGGCAGGTTGGGCTGGGGGGCTGGGGAATGGAGTCCTAATGGAGGGTTTCAGACACCCCTCCACCAGGTTCCCTTGAGAGGCAGCTGCTCACTCTGACTCACCTCAAGGCTGGCCCGAGGGGAGGACGGTTCAGGGAGGATGGAAACATTTCAGGGAGTGGTTCGCAAGCAAGCCGTGGTCACCCTTCCGCCTCACCTCCAGGCCCTGCGTGGGGCAGGTCTGGGCGGAGGGGAGCTCCCAGGAATGTGGATCTGCCCTACGGGCAGGCTGCTGCTTCCTCTGACCCCTAGGGGAGGGGGAGGGGGAGATCTGTCAGAGATTAGTAGAGGTCTCAGTTCTAGGCCACTTTTCTGGCCCACTCTGCCCCAGGGCTCCCCCCCCTCAGAGGGCAGGCAGCAGGTCAGTAAGGATGGAGAGGAGCCCCGCATGCCTTCGGGAGTGACAGAGACCCCTGCAGTGGCAGTAGTCTCAAATCTGCACAGCTCCCCTTCGAAGATGGGCTGGAGGAGGGCCAACCACCGGTTGCTGAAACTCAGAAAAGAGCTGTGGGCATTGACAGGGACCGGGCGACAGAGAGGCAAACACCAGTGAAGGGACGGCAGCAGGCATAGCTTACAGTGAGCTCGGTGGGCAGGAGGGGGGTCTATCGCCCAGTGAACAAACACTAACACACAAATAGGCACGTGTGCAGCCTGGCTCAAGCAGACATGCCTATTGGCTCACAAATTACATGGACTTTTCATGGGTACACACACACACTCAAATATGCCCAGTGATATGTGTACCCCAAAAGCAATGTACACAGAAGAGCGTAATGGAAAGCTCGGGGGAATTGGGATGTAGACCCAGCTCTGGGACAGTCTAGCTTTGTGAACCTGGTGCAGCGTGAAGGAGATAGTCTCAAGTCCCAGGCAGTGGCTACCATTCATGATTTCTGTACATGTAGTTGAACACGGAGGCCCTTGTACGCACATAGCACACTCACTCTAACATGCCAATACACACGGGGCCGCCCTCTCTCTGCTCAGAGGGCCAGGAGCTCAGGAGGCCCATTTGATTCTCTCCCTGGCTCTCAAGAGTCTAGTAGAGGTGGCTTGCTTAGCCCCACTCTCCTGCGCTCCAACTGGTCTTCCCCTAACTTCTGTGGGCCCCACCCTGTGGACTCTGTCCGTCCCTGAGCCTTCAGTGCCCAGCTGGGGACGGCCGGCACCTCTACCTGACCCCCAGGAGCCCGCTGCCTGGTTCACCACATCTTCCCACCATGCCCCACACTCTGCCCAGGGGAGCCCAGCCCCAATGGGGGAGGGTGACACAGAGGAAGCCCCCTGGGCGGGAAGCAGGTGTTTCGAAGCAGTGAAGACTCCCAGGTCTCCAGGCGGGAGGGAGGCAACTGGAACTTTTCAACTTGAAGGGCTGAGCAGGTGGCTTCTCTGCAGCTGCTTTCTCTGCCCCTCTAGAGCTGGTACAACTCCCAGCCTCCCCACAAAACAAAAAACAGCCTCCACAGACCCTTCGCTTAGCAGCATTTGGCACTTCACATCTTCTACTTTGCAAGAGGGGAACAAAGCTGGAGCCGGGAGGGTGGGGAAACACCGTGCCCTGCACTGACCACCCGGGAACATTGTAAAGGCTCCTGGGCTAACCTCCTGCTCTTTCTTTTCCAGCACAAATTGAAGTGATCCCTTGCAAAATCTGTGGGGACAAGTCATCTGGGATCCATTACGGGGTTATTACCTGCGAGGGGTGCAAGGTGAGCACACATCTGCACACAGTCTCCCAGAGATGAGGAGAGGGGGTTGGTGGCCTCTGACTCCAGGGGTGGGCTCCTGAGGCAGCTTGGGCGGTGCCTCACCTGGAGGGGCCCACACACAGTGGGGCCTTGCCTTAAGTTGGGGAAGTGATTGCAGGACAAAGCACTGTCACGCTAAGAAGTGGAGGAGAGAAAACTGATCGTAGGAGCTGGGAAAGCTGGGGCCAGAGCTTGTGGGCTGGAGGGGCTCGGGACTGAGCTGGGCCCCGCCAGATCAGCAGCCAGGTCTCCTCCTGCCCCCCCAGGGCTTCTTCCGCCGCAGCCAGCAGTGCGCCGTGGCCTACTCCTGCACCCGGCAGCAGAACTGCCCCATCGATCGCACCAGTCGGAACCGATGCCAGCACTGCCGCCTGAAGAAATGCCTGGCCCTGGGCATGTCCCGAGACGGTGAGGCCACACGGGCAGCCGCCTGAGCGTTCCCCGCAGGCTTGGGGGGCAGTACAAACACCCTCCGGAGGTCCACTCTCTGTGCCTCCCTGACAGGCCATCATGGGGTTGGCCAGGCCACCCTCATCAGAGCTCTTCACAGTCCCCAACTTTAGGCTCTGCCAGAACAACCTTCCTTTCCCCAAGGTCCCCAGGTCTTCCCTGTCTTCTCCTCGGGATGGATTCTCCTCACTCTGCCCCCCCCAGCCCAGAAACCATCCAGGTTCTGCCTCTTTCCCTCCTGCCCTATGGCTCCAGTCCTAGCCCATCTCCCTTCGTAGCCCCCCACCCCTACCCTTGGACACAGCACCGTGACAGGAATGGCAGCCCGGGAACAACCCAGCGGCAGTGAGGATGAGGAGGCCTGCTGTTCCTGGTGCCTTTCTCCACCTTGCTTACCCACCACCTCCTCACGCCCCCCACCCCCACCCCCACCACAGAGGGAACCCAAGGCGGGTCCGGGGGAGGCATGAGGTGATGAGGAGCCAGAAGGAGTCTGTCAGCACTTTTCAGCGCCAAAAATAACAAAGTGAAAGGAAACACACAGGGGTGCAGGGGGCAGGCGGGGCGAGGGGCTGTGCCCCCACACCTGGGAGGGGTTGGGGGGAGTGAAAAGGCAGGAAAGAGAGAGCAGAAGAGGATGTTCAGAAACAAGCCGCGGAGCCTGGGTTGGGCTGTGGTGAGTATCTAGGTCACCAGGGAGCCTGCAGGCCTGACCACAGGGAGACCTGTGTTCTCAGCTCTCCTCTTCCTCCGACCCTCCTAGAAAGGCGAGGTGACCCCAATACCGCTTGAGGCCCCCTTCTCGACCGCCCCTAGCCCCAATATCGGGAGGCCAGAATTCTCAGCCTAGACTCATTGCTTCACCTCTGCCGCATTTAGAAGCTGTCTTCAAGCTAAGCAAGTTTGCTCAGGAGACCAGAACGTCTGTGTTGGACAGAGCCCTGAAGCAAGCAGGAGAGACAGAGGTGGGGGCGGGGTGGGGGGGCGTCTTTAACAAAAGTCCCCTGAAGGGAGGTTCTCAGGCCAGACCTGAAGAGACCTGCTTGGAGCCAGGGATTCAGCTCTGCAGGGTTAATCCCACGATAATCAAAATGCCTGCCGATTCTGCCCAGGACCTGTCCCCCCCCCCCCCACCGCCTGAAACACTCATCCCCAACCTCTTTCAGCTGTCAAGTTTGGCCGCATGTCCAAGAAGCAAAGGGACAGCCTACACGCTGAGGTGCAGAAACAACTACAGCAGCAGCAGCAGCAGCAGGAGCGGGAGCGAGTGGCCAGGACCCCTCCTGCAGGGGCCCAAGGGGCAGACCCCCTCTCCTGCACCTTGGGGCTCCCAGACGGGCAGCTGCCCCTGGGCTCCTCACCTGACCTGCCCGAGGCCTCGGCCTGTCCCCCTGGCCTCCTGAGAGCCCCGGGCCCCAGGCCTTCCTACTCCAACAGTCTGGCCAAGGCTAGGCTCAACGGGGCCTCCTACCATCTCGAATACAGTCCCGAGCGTGGCAAGGCTGGTGGCAGAGAGAGTTTCTATAGCACAGGCAGCCAGCCGGCCCCTGACAGATACGGACTGCATTTTGAAGACCCCAGGCACCCTGGGCTGGGGGAACCAGGACAAGGCCCGGACAGCTACTGCAGTCCCAGTTTCCACAGCACCCCAGAGGCGCCTTATGCCTCCCTGACCGAGATTGGTGAGCAGCTGAGGAGGCAGAAGGGGTGGGGAAGGTGAGGGGGGCTTCCAAGAGAGAGGCCCTAGTAGGCACCCCACATAAACCAAAAATGAACCGAGGGAGTTGAGGGGTCTTGGGGAAGGGATTGAGGGGGAAGCAAAGCAAGGGTAGGCCAGGCGGAGGGGTGCACTTCATATGTGTAGGGTAGGAGCTGGCTGAGATGGAGCCCATGTCTTCTCCTCTGGCCGCAGAGCACTTGGTGCAGAATGTGTGCAAGTCCTACCAAGAGACGTGTCAGCTGCGGCTGGAGGACCTGCTACAGCAGCGCTCCAACCTCTTCTCCCGGGAGGAGGTGGCTGGCTATCAGAGGAAGGTGAGGCCAGGGGACCTGCCTGGAGGGAGGACATCCAACCACTGAGGAGTCCAGAGATAGCTACTGCCTGCACACCGTGTGGGCTGGGGCGAGGCTGGGTATCACAGATACGCACAAATGTGCACACACCTCACAGTGGGGGGTTGTGTACATCCCAGCAGATGGACGAGAGCTTTCCCTGAGCCCCTGACTAGTAACATTTACTCGGTCTCCATCACCCCAGCTTGGCGCACTGTCCTTCCTGCTCTGTCAACTATAACAGCAGCCAGAGCCCTGACTACCATTTGTTGAAAGAACACCCCTTCTCTGCTGGGCACTGTGCTAAATGTTTTTTTACATTATCCTTGACCCTTATGACAACCACCCTAGGAGGCTTGCATGTGTTTCTATTTTTAACAGACCGGGAAACTGAGCTCAGAGTGGTTAATAGAGTCACTGTAGGTCAGGGTGGTGGAACCAAAGGCAAATTCAGATCCACTGGGCTCCAGAGCTTACGCTGTCTCTGTATCACACTCTGGCAGTGTCGCCTGCTCTAAAAACACCCATTTGGCACTGAACTGTTGCTCCTCTTGGTTATTAAAACCTTTGGGTATGTCCTTTTGGGGAGGGGGGGTCAGAATGTTCTTTTTTATTTCAACCAGATGCAAACTCTTTGAGGGAAAAGCTGTATCTTAGACTTTTTTTATTCTCTTGCAAGAGCTCACTCAGTGCCAGCAGCTGGTGGGGGCTTAGTAAGTGTGACCCAATGACAAGAATTGCCCCCAAGTGCGCATTGGTACTAAGAATAGGCTAAAATGGCCAGCTGGGTTGACAGAATGAGGGAGTTCAAAACCTACCCCCGCAATTTGTCAGTCCGGGCTCCCCGGGGCTTGAAGGGGTCGCCGGGTCATAAAGAGGGCTACAGTGGGCCCCTTCTCCTTCCCTGCAGTCCATGTGGGAGATGTGGGAACGCTGTGCCCACCGGCTCACTGAGGCCATTCAGTATGTGGTGGAGTTTGCCAAGAGGCTGTCGGGCTTTATGGAGCTGTGCCAGAACGACCAGATTGTGCTGCTCAAAGCAGGTGCCCAGGGAGGGTGGGCAGGCCGGGAGGGGAGGGGGACAGAGTGTGGAACGGGGCCAGGCTGAGTGGAGGGAGGTGGTTAAGGAACCAGGACACAGAGGGGAATGGAGACAGTTGCCTGGCTTCTTGTGACGCTGCGCCTGCACCTTTCCTCCCTTCTTGCAGGAGCAATGGAAGTGGTGCTGGTGAGGATGTGCCGGGCCTATAACGCCGACAACCACACAGTGTTTTTTGAAGGCAAATACGGTGGCATGGAGCTGTTCCGAGCCTTGGGTGAGGGTCAAGGGGAAATGAGAGAGAGGAGTCGGATGGGTCCAGAGCTTCAAGGGCACCCTCCTTTCCAGGCAGGTTGCCCCCTCTGCTCCAGACACCAACAGGGTGGGCGCCTTGGGCATGTGGTCTCACCCAGCTTGCTCGCTCTCATTTCTTTCAGGCTGCAGTGAGCTCATCAGCTCCATCTTTGACTTCTCCCACTCCCTGAGTGCCTTGCACCTTTCTGAGGATGAGATTGCCCTCTACACAGCCCTTGTCCTCATCAATGCCAGTGAGTGTCACTGGGCTAGGGTAAGGGACATGCAGCTAGTAGGGGTGCAACGATTATTGAGGAGTCTGGACCTTCCGATGTGGTTACATCTGGGAAATTGCTTTAAAGAGCACATGAGGCCATTAAAGTGCAAAATTGCTGTCAAATGAGTTAAAATGAAGATTCAGAGGAGCCTGAGAGGGGGAAGGGGAGCACAGGTGGAGCTGGAGAAGTGGGGAGATGTGAGGACGAGGGGGAGTGAGCCACCTCCCCAAGAGAAGTGAGTCTGCCCGGGCATCCGAGTCAGTCGTGCCACCATGGCACATGCTGGATTCACCTGGCAAGCTTTAAAAAGGATTGCTGGCTGGGCCTGCCTCCCGGACACTCCAGGGTTACTAATCTGGGGTGCAGCCAGAGCACCCGAGTTTTTCACAGCCTCCTGCAGGTGGTCATGGTGTGCCACCAAGCCTGAGCTCTGTGTGGACTAACTTTAAGCCTGTACACCACCATGGCAGGACTCTGGACACCCACTCCACTAGCGGGGAGTGGGCCGGGCTGGCAGAATGGTCGGTATTCAGAGAACCTGGGGAAAAGGGTAGCACAGCTAACCTGAGTTTGCAGACCAAAGTTATCAGTCTTCTGGCTCTGCCAATGAGCAGAGACCTAAAAATATTCCTTAAACTGGAAATAAAGGTTTAAAAAATGACTTCTGGCTATTTTGCAGACCCAGTGCAAAAGGTGGCTTGTCTGTTGAGTTGGCTACAGATTGATGCAGTGGCCCTGATACTGGCCTAGGCGGCTTCACAACGGCCACCTCCTTCCTATCTGAAGTCATCCTTGGCTAGGGGACAGGGGTTCTCTTCCAGTCTCTTTTTTCCCCCATGGCAGAGTCTTAGTGGCTAGCATTGGATGGACCACACGAAGTATCTGGAGTACCAGAGAGAAGACAGCTTGGAGGGGGGAGACTGAGTGCTTTCATCTCTCTCCCCAGTTTTCCTTGTCACCAGCGAGCCAAGCCCAAGGCCCCAGAACTAACTGTTATCAAATTGACACACACACACACGCACACACACTCAGCTGAGAGACCTTATCTAGCACAGGTGTCCAAAATGGTACACCGTTTTGGTGGAAGCTAATGTCCCTGGTTTTTCTTGTTCTCACGATGGTCCCATCCCCTCCTTCAGGTCGGCCAGGGCTCCAAGAGAAAAGGAAAGTAGAACAGCTTCAGGCCAATCTGGAGGTGGCCTTTCACCATCATCTCTGCAAGACTCATCGCCAAGGCATCTTGGCAGAGGTAGGAGCAGTCTCTGGGGTGGAAGAGGCCAGGCTCAGCGCCAGAGCTGTGACATCAGGGCTTGTGCAGCCCAGGGTCTGAGGGTACAGAGGAACATCTGCCGTAATGCATTAGATTGCAACAGCACAGGAAATAAGGGAACAGGCAGTCACTTCTATGAGCTGCATAAAGCTGGAAAGTTAGAGAGCCTGGAATTGGAAGGGACCTCCAGGGAGCGATTCAGTTTAATATAGCTAACACTTACCCAGCACCTGCTTGTACGAGGCACTGTGGAGTGGAAAGATACAGAGATGTGTCCTTATACCCACTACAAGTTTTCTACCTGCTGTGAAGGAGAGACTCATGCACCAATAGCTCTAACATAGAGTAGAAGGTAATATGTGATACAATAATAATGCAGTGACCAAAGTGCTGTTGCAGAGGTGGTCTCTCATCCTCAGGGGGCTCTGTCAATAGGACAGGTATTAATATCTTCCTGTAGGGTTACGGAGACTTAAGTGACTTGTCCAAGTTCACACGAATGGGAAGTGGTAAATGTGAGATTTAATCCCTGCTCTTTCTACCACATCCCTGTACCCCTATGCATTTCTTTGATAAGAAATATTGGGGAAATGTTAGAAGAGCATAGAACAGGATTGAAAATAATTTGGAGATAAGAAGCAGGGAACCATAAATGCTTCCTAGAGAAGGTGTCACTTAAACGAGGCCATGAAATAGGTAAGATTTCAACAGACATTCATGAGAGTAGGGCAGGCATTTCAAGTTTAGAGAATAATATGAACAAAAATAAGGAGACAAAATAATGCCTGTATGGAGAATATAGTTCATGGTACATTTTGACTGATGTGTAAAATCAGAAAAGATTGAAGGAGGCAGGAAAGTAGCAGAAGACAAGCTTGAAAATTAGGTCAGGGAGCAAATCAGAAAGGACTTTAAATGGCATATTAAAGAGTAAAGGCTTTATTTCTAGGCAATGGCAAGCCCCAAGGGCTAGAGGGATGATATCATCAGAACTATTATTTAGGCAATTTAATTTGAAACCAGTGTAAAGGAACCGCTTATGTAAGCACTCAAGCTACAAGCCCTTGCTATGTGCCAGGCACCGTGCCCGGGGCTGAGGGTACAGCAGTGACTTAACCAACAGTCTATTCCCTGAAGAACGGCTGGTCTGGTGGGACAGATTAGGAGGGGGAGAGGCTGGAACCTGGGAGAGCAGCTGGAGCAGCTCTGGTTCGATGTGCCTTCAGAATGCATCACCTCCCACTGTCACCCCACATGCCACGCATCCCCTCCACCCCTTGCCCAGCTATCAGTTTTCACCTGGACTATTAGAGAGACCTTCTAACTGGACCCCTGCCCGCTCCACCCTTGTCTGTCCTACGTCAGCCACACAGCTCTCGTCTCAGCCTCCCTACAGGTGCTCATCAAGCTGAGAATCAAATCTAGGGTCTGTGTCAGGGCCTACTGGCCTCGCAGTACGACTCCTGACTTCTTTCCCCACCTATCTCCTTCCACTGCCCTCTCAAACTACCCAGTCCACTGGCCTCCTTGCTATTCCCTGAACACATCACACACGGTTGTCTGTCTGGGCTTTTGTACTTGCTGTTCCAGCTGCTGGGAGGTTCTTCCTGGAGCTTTCTAAAGGTCTTGCTCCATCCCTTCATCCTGAAAAGGTTTTCCCAGAACACATTATACAAAAAGCCCTTCGCCCGGCTTTACTGTTGTTTAAAATATTCTCTGACGTATTATATATTTGTTCATTTTCTGGATCCTTCACTAGAATATACATTTAATAAAGGCAGATATTTTATTTATTCACTGTTATATCACCACAGCCCATCCCAGTGCCTACCTGAGTAAGTTCTTAATAACTATTTTGTTGAATTAATAAATGAATGAATGAAGCTATTGCAAAAGCCCGGACAAACTCAAGTAAAGCAGTATAAATGGAAAGATGATGAACTCAAACTCTTCCCTGACTGCCCCTTTCCTGGGAAACTCAGATGGGTAGAAGGGGGTGGGGTAGCTGCGATAGCTGTTCTTAAGCTTCACGTGCTTCTAGAGGGCACTGCAGAAGACAAATGTCTTTCTCGGCCTTTCCCCAGTGGGGTCTCCCTCTCTCTGTTTCCTTCGCGTCTCTGGATCTTTTTCATTCCGCCTGCCACTGAGTCCTGGCAGTGTCGGGTACTGGCTTAGAAACTGTTCAGTTCAAACAAATCGTCATTGAGTACTTATGGAAGGGGGGCGAGCGGAGAGAGGGAGGGGAGAGGGAGACCCTACCCAGGGAGCTTAAACCTGGGGTGAGAAGGCAGACAAATTGGATCATTTTTTTTTTTTTTCCTGAAAGGGGATTTGACTGCTACACAGAGGAAGGGCCCCTAACCTGGGGGGAGGAGGGGCTCGTTAGAGAACTATTCCCATAGGAGGTAACAGTTGAAAGTAAGAATTAGCCAAGCAAAGAATTAGAAAGGCATTGCAGGCAAAGGGAATAGTATCAACTAAGGCAAAGAGTCATGTGACAATATGTAAAGCAGAGAGTCACGGAATTTCACTATTAGAAGAGCATAATTGCGAATTACAGGCTCTCTTTGAAGAGTAGCAGGAATGTGGTTGGGGCTTCACCCAGAAAACTTGTACCTGGCCCCCACAAGCGTAGCCTGGCCTCCACTTTCCTGATACACACCTACCCTCAGCAGTGGGAGCTGGCTGCTTCACAAGTGCCAAGTGCACAGACAGACAGCAATGAGGGTTACCCTGGGCCAGGAAGGAGGAGAGGACTTTGTTGCTCTGGGGAGAGCCATGAAGTACTGACCCTCCTTCCCCATTAACGCATCTCCAGTTGCCACCTAAGGGGAAGCTTCGGAGCCTGTGCAGCCAGCATATGGAAAAGCTGCGAAACTTCCAGCATCTCCACCCCATCGTGGTCCAAGCTGCTTTCCCCCCACTCTACAAGGAACTCTTCAGCACTGAAATTGAGTCACCTGAGGGGCTGTCCGTGTGACCTGGAAGAGGGACTCCTTTCCCTTCCCAGAGCCTGTTGGACCACCTCCCTGGCCCCCTCCCACCCTCAGCCTTTTCCATTCCCATGCCCCGGAGGGTCGCCTTATCTGCTCTGTGGGACTGAGCAAATGCTGCGACTGGTTTTCTGCCCACAGGCCTGCCTGGCAGTGGGCCAGAGGCAGAGGACAGGGATGGAGGAACAGCATCTCCAGCCTCAGCTTTGCTCTGTCCTCTTTCCCATGTCCCTCCCCGCAGCTTCTGGACGGGGGTGGGAAAGGACCGCTAGGAGGACCAAGGTGTCCTCAGGACAACAAGGGGATCCAGGACACCCTGAACGAATGGAACTCAACTCTGGGCTCAGAAGGCAAGGATAGGCCTTTGAAATACCTCACTGCATTTTCCTGCGGGCTTCAGCGGAGGCAGAAGCATCAAGCTCAGAGACTGGTGGCTGGAGCCCAGAAGGACCTGTAGACAACTTGAATCTGGATCTTTAGATTTCCTGCTTTTTTTCTTTCTCCCAGCTCAGCAAGGAAATGATTGGGCACCCTGCCTTTTTCCTGGGGTCGTAAAAAGAAAAACTGCATACATGGACAGTGAGGGGCTGGGGTTAATTTTTTTAATGGGACTTGGGTACAGGATAGGAGGCAAGGAAAGCCAGGAGCATCACAGACAGAGAGAGTTAGAACTCAAACTTCTTACGTGCACTTTAAAAATAGACATTAGAGGTTAGCACAAATCTGATCAGTGACGCACGTCCACATACAGGTGAAACACACACTCAACCTGCAACCACGCAGTTCTACAGACACACTTGATCTGACACACTCTCTGTCTTCCTTGAGGTAATGCATTGCTCAGGGGAGCTTCAGGAAGAGCGCCAATCCTGAGGGACCCCAGAACATTCCCATGGTGCCCCACCCACCAGCCTTAGACCTGGGGTGCTCCAAACTCTATCCCAGCCCAGCTGCCTCCTATCACAAGAAAATCCAAGAGAAGCAGAGTTGGTTGGACACTGATCAGTCGGAAGGCCAAGGACAGACCCCTGGAGGACTGCGTGGGCCCTGCTCTGCTTAAGGAGAAAGGAAGTAGATGCCGTTCTGCCACTCAGCTTCGGGAACCACCGACTCCTGGGGGAGGAGGCCCTCCTTTTGGCTTTAAAAAGAGCTGTGCAACCTCTGCTGGGGGACTAACAGCAGGTCCTGGGAGGGGGGTTGCCTGGCGGGGGAGGGATTATTAGTTGGGTAAACATAAACCCCAACTTGTGCCATTCTTTATAAAATAATTTTGAAGGCAAGAGGTGTGTGTGTCGGGGGAGCCTCCAATGAGATTACCTACACACTGCTCTGCAGTCTGGTTCCTGCGTGGGGACCCAGGTTTTCAGCCCGGCCACCCACCAGCGTTTGTAAGGACCCTAGCCCCCACTTCCATCATCCCTCCTGAAGCTTGGGAGCCGGTCCACAGGAGCCCCCACGGAAAGAGCCTCAAGTTAATCTCCACAGAGGGTGTTCCGGGCTGAGAACTTTCCCCACAAAGGATACCCACAGGGGACATTTACACTGAGAGGTTACACAGAATTACCTTGCCTCTGGGAGACTGAAAGACAACGCTTAGAAAGGTGCTTGGCCCCAGAGCTCCCCAGAAGGGAAGCAGGATATCCAAGAGACCCTTTGGAGCTGCCCAGCCGCTTCTACTGCCCACCCCCACCCCCACCCCTCACTCGCCGTTCTCTGGTGGTGCTCACTGCAGCCCTCCCTAGTTGCTTTATTTATTTATTTTGCACCAACAGGGTTGCTGCAGACTCATTCTCGCCTGGTTTAAAAAGAGAGAGAGGAAAAAAAAAAAAGGAGAAATGCTTTCTGGCTCTTTTTCTACCTCGGTCTTGGCAGCAGCGGATGCAGCACCAACAGAAGCAGCGGGCAGACAGGCGGACAGACGGGCAGGCAGGCAGACAGGCGGGCAGGGGGTCAGTGGGAGTGAGCTCCGGGGGCTGGCGTGAGCCAAGGTGCAGCTCGCATGGGACGGCCCCCAGCTCTGGACAGATGCAGCGCCCAACTTGATGCGGCTCCCCAGCTTCTCCGGTAAGTGCCCCCACCTCCCGTCCCAGCGCTGTAATTGCCCTTCTCCATAACATTCTCGGGGAAAAGGCCAGACCCGTGTGCCGGTCAAGGCTGGAGGATTGGTGGCCCCACCCCCACCCCGCCTCGGCCAACCACGGATCCTGGCCCCACAGGACTTTGATGAGAAAACTAAGATGTCCCAAGTGCCCCTGGGGGCACAGAGTCCAAGGAGACCTGTCTGTATCTCCCCAGTGTTCTCTCTACCTATGAGAAGGGTCTTCTGGCCCCTAAATCAGTATGGACAGTCCAGAAATCTTTCCTCCAAGAGCCCGCTCCCCACACAGGTCCCCAGCCTCAATCTTAAAGAGGATTTCCAGTGTCAAAAGTGTCTCTGGACTGCAACATGGAGACAAAAGAAGCATCCTATTCCTTTAGGGGATGGTGCCCCAGACCCCAGCCCATTTAAGGAGAGAGAGAGAAGTGATTCTGACACTTATTTCTTCCTGCAAAGCGGCCGGAAGCCAATCCTGTAGCCATGGAGATTGGCAAGGGAAGTTTGTGATTAAATTAGCCACCTTATATATAAAGTAAAGGGTTGGGCCCAGATCCCCTAGCCCCTGGCTCAGGAGGCTTTGGAAACTAAGAAGGAAGTGACAGCAGTGGGCAGGAGGGAAGCTGGGCTACATGCTTCACTGCACTTTTCTCGAATGCAGAGCAAATAGGATGAGCAGGAACTGCAGCAGTGGTGATAAAGGGATAGCTGTCAGGTGGACTTCCCAGAACAGGCATGGGGAGAATGAGGGAGGCTGGGGCATTTGTCTCCCCAGAGAACTCTTAGCATGCCATAGCTACCTGTCAGGTGGGGACAGGGACGAGAGGAGACTAACCAGCAGCCTTTGCCTGCCCCACGCCATTCTCTCTCAAGCCTCAGAGTAGCGCCCTACATCCCTCTGCCCTTTTGGCCTCTTTCCTCAGTTTCCCAGTTCCTATAGCATCTGAAGTACCACAGGAGAGTCACCACAGCAATCCTAGAGGAGGCACAGAGTGGGAGGGAAAGGAGAAAAAACACCATCTCTTCATCTGCCCTCCTGAGTTCCATGTGGGAGAAAAGGAGGCATGTAGCAGGAAGCCAAGCCTGTTAGGACCCAAAAAGCCTGAAAGCCCAGAGGTGACCAGGATCTGCAGCCAGAAAGAAACCTGGGCACCCTGCCTCCCTTTTGTCATCCCTGGCCAGTTGCACACCCTCCCCACCTTGGGGGTCCCTGTTGGCACTGAACAGGATGAGTCACGGGGCCTCACCACCTTTCTCCTCTATCACCTCAGTGTCCAGTGGTCGTTTAGTCATAGTCTTCCTGGATTTGTCCAGGCCCCTGGCGCCCAGAGATCTGCTTTAAGTGAACGGCTGTGCACACAGCCTGTGTCCAGAGATCTGCGGTGCCAGCTGAGGGCTGCCTTGCTCCCACACACCACATCCGGTCAGGCACTGTCTCTCTGAGCTTGTCTGTGCCTCCCTGGCTCACAGTTGGTCTCTTGTGTATTGCTCAGGCAGCCAGTGCCAAAAGGTGTAAGAGATTCCCTCACATTTACACACTGGACTCGAATCAAACAAAACACTGTGAAGGAGGGACATAAGAGAAGCGTAAGTCTGAGGACCCAGCAACAAAGGTCCAAACTTGAGCATCTCCTGGGTCCCTCACATACCTCAGCAGCATCTGGGGAACATCTGGGGAGCATCTGGGGAGACTGGATCTTGATAGTCCAGGGCCTCAGAATCTGGGCCAGGCTGGAGGAGGGCAGAGAGGCAGTAAGAGGAGACGGAGGGGCTGAGGCCTGCAGGGTTCCCACCCTTGGGCAACTGACTCACAGTAAGGCCTCTCTCCATTCAGGATCCAAGGCTATGATCCCACTGAGCCTTTGACAAAGCTACAGGTAGATAACAGGAGAGGAGAAGAGAGGGACGGAGCAGAACTTGGGGAGAATACATATCAGGGAGAAGGGACCTGAAGCACTTCTGGATCTCATAGACGTAGGGAAAAAAACCCATTGGCGGGAGACTCTAAGTTGCCTCCCACGGCCCCTCCTGGGCTTCCTGTCCCAGTCCCAGGCCTGTAAAACCTCCCCACAGAAATCAGGTTTGACTAGGGTTCTATGAGCGAGTAACACTTGACTTGCAGGCAGCTAGAGCCCATAGGAAGGAGACATTCCCACAAGGAAAAGCTGCTGGAGGCCCCAGGGAGGTACGTACCAGAATTCCTTCTGGTCTGTGCCCCACGTCCCAGCAGTGCTGAGATGGTTTCTCTCTCTCTCTCCCCCCTGCTCCCAACCTCCTCTGCTCTGAAGAGGCCCAGGGAAGTCTATGGTCACCATCACCTGAAGCCACTTTCCAAAAAGGTCCATGTCATCATCTGTTCCAGGAGTGAAGAGGGAATGGCTGCAGCCACAGTAGCTCCAAAGCAAGCCTGGCCCCCGTGGCCCCCTCTCCTTTTCTTGCTCCTGTTGCCTGGAGGGAGCAGTGGCAGCTGCCCTGCTGTATGTGACTGCACCTCCCAGCCCCGGGCAGTGCTCTGTGACCACCGGAGGCTGGAGGCCGTGCCTGGGGGACTCCCCGTGGACACTGAGCTCCTGGACCTGAGTGGGAACCACCTGTGGGCGCTTCAGCAGGGGATGCTCTCCCGCCTGGGCCTGCTCCAGGAACTGGACCTCAGTTACAACCAGCTTTCCACCCTGGAGCCAGGGGCCTTCCATGGCCTACGAAGCCTACTCACCCTAAGACTGCAGGGCAATCGGCTGCGAATCATGGGGCCAGGGGTCTTCTCAGGCCTGTCTTCCCTTACCTTGCTGGACCTCCGCCTTAACCAAATTGTCCTCTTCCTTGATGGAGCATTTGGGGAGCTGGGCAGCCTCCAGCAGTTAGAGGTTGGAGACAACCACCTGGTGTTTGTGGCTCCGGGGGCCTTTGCAGGGCTGGCCAAGCTGAACGCCCTCACCCTGGAGCGCTGCAACCTCAGCACAGTGCCCGGCCTGGCCCTGGCCCGGCTCCCCGAACTAGTGGCCCTAAGACTTCGAGAACTGGATATTGGGAGGTTGCCGGCGGGGGCGCTCCGGGGGCTGGGGCAGCTAAAAGAGCTGGAGATCCATCACTGGCCAGCTCTGGAGTCCCTGGAGCCCGGGAGCCTGGCTGGGCTCAATCTTAGCAGCCTGGCCATCACCCGCTGCAATCTGAGCTCCGTGCCCTTCCAGGCACTGCGCCACCTGAGCTTCCTCAGGGTCCTGGATCTATCTCAGAACCCCATCTCAGCCATCCCAGCCCGAAGGCTCAGTCCCCTGGTGCGACTCCAGGAGCTTCGACTCTCCGGGGCCTGCCTCACCTCCATCGCTGCCCATGCCTTCCATGGCTTGACTGCCTTCCACCTCCTGGATGTGGCAGACAATGCCCTTCAGACACTGGAGGAAACGGCGTTCCCTTCTCCAGATAAACTGGTCACCCTGAGGCTGTCTGGCAACCCCCTGACCTGTGACTGCCGCCTCCTGTGGCTGCTCCGGCTACGCCGCCGCCTGGACTTTGGCACATCCCCCCCTGCCTGTGCTGGCCCTCAGCATGTCCGGGGGAAGAGCCTGAGGGACTTCTCAGACATCCTACCTCCAGGGCACTTCGCTTGCCAACCAGCCCTGATCCAAAAGTCTGGGCCACGATGGGTCATAGCAGAGGAGGGGGGACGTGCTGTTTTCTCCTGCTCTGGGGATGGGGACCCCGCCCCCACTGTCTCTTGGATGAGGCCTCCAAGGGCTTGGTTGGGAAGGGCTGGGCGAGTAAGGGTGCTAGAGGATGGGACGCTGGAGATCCGCTCCGTGCAGCTACGGGATAGAGGGGCCTATATCTGTGTGGTCAGCAATGTTGCTGGGAATGACTCCCTGAGGGCCTGGCTAGAAGTAATCCAAGTTGAGGCACCAAATGGCACTCGCTTTGACCACAACATTACCACACCGGGGGTCCCGGGGCCTTTCTTCCTAGACAGCAGAGGTGTAGCTATGGTGCTGGCGGTTGGCTTCCTCCCCTTCCTTACCTCTGTGACTCTCTGCTTTGGCCTCATTGCCCTGTGGAGCAAGGGCAAAGGACGGGTCAAGCATCATGTGACCTTTGATTTTGTGGCACCTCGGCCCTCTGGGGATAAGAACTCTGGGGGTAACCGGGTCACTGCCAAGCTCTTCTGACCTTAACTTTCATGCTGGGGACCCGGCCAAACCAGCTTCAGATAGCAAAAGGGAAGGGAAACAAGGCCACGTGGACCAGAACCCCATCCCAAGCAGCACAGGCCTCCCACAATCCTGCCTGCACCGTTAGCACAGCCATGATGCCTCCTAATAGAGAGTCTGCCTCATGCTTTTGCAGTCTGAGGATAGCAGTGTCACCCCTTCCCAGAGGACCCCAGGGAGCTGGAGATATACACCTTATAGTCAGCCCAGCCTTGCCCACCATGCACAAAGCAGGAAACATAACCAAGACTCCAGCCTGCTAGTCTAACCATCAGCCTTCCCTTACACACACTTATACTCTTTTATAACCAATACCAACTGCCAACCACAGCTTCAAGATTATTTCAGAGCAAAGTGTCAGTTGCTTCTTAGAATCTTTGCTCCTCAATCAGGTACTGTCCCTCTCTTTCTGCTTTGTTCCCTTCTCCAGGCACAAGGAACCAGGATTGAGGACCTCAGGCTAAGGAGAGGAGGGTACAGTGTGGGATGGGGAAGACAGATGACACACTTGGTACTGTGTCCGCATAAGCCTCCACCACTTGCCTCTGTCACACCATTAAACCTGCTGCCCAAAGGCTATGACTGTAGCAGCCCAAACTACATGTGATTTCTGGAGTTTTCTTTACTTCAGACTTTGTGTGCCCCTTATTGCTGTCAGATCAACCCCCTCCTGCCCATTCTTCCTGCCCATTGAGCGTGTATCCCAATAGCCTTGTCTGCATCTAATATAAACAGGGGTTTGTGCAAAAGTTGACCAGCCAGGCCTGGAGAGAACGGCACTCCTAGCCCACTTCAGTTTCCACCCCTTCCCCATACTCTCTGTCTCTAGGGTTGGAGGAGCAGTACTCCATGTCCCAAGGGATTCCTCTGTGGAAATTCCAACCCAGGACACCCAGCTCCATCCCTCCTCTCTCATTCTTGTTGGGATCTGCCTATCATTACTGTGTCTCAGATCCCCACTGCCCTTGAGGGAAGGCAAGAGGGGAACTGTTAGAAAATGACTAACAAAAGCAAGAATCTGCCCTTGTCAAAGGAGAGAGACCCAGAGCACAGCAGGACTGGGCTTGCAGGAACAGGGGAGGAGGGGCACAGAGCGCTTTAGTGAAAATGAGAAGAGGCAGCAGCGGGAATGCCTCCTAGTTCACTTCCACTACCCTTCCCCCAGCTCCCTTGTTTAATGCAGCCCCAGCGGGAAGCCCTCTCTGGAGAGAGGTCACTGTCTGATGGACTGCCTCTGGTGCAAAGGCAGGTAGGAAGAAGAGACGCTGACTGCCTCGGAGTGTGCTTCAAATAGAGGGCAAAGCAGAGCCAGAAAAAGTAGAGATGCTGAGAGCTCAAGGGAGAGCAGCCTCGACATCATCAGAAGGGGAGGAGTGAAAGGAAAGGAAAGGAGCAGGGAGGAGGGGTGGAGAAGTGGAGGCCACACAGCCCTGGAGGGCTTCTCTGCATTGTCCACCCTTGAAAGCCCCCACCCAACCTTAACCAACAATCTGCAATCATTATGACCTCCTAGCTAACTCCTGCTGCAGTGGTTTTGGTTCGGAAAGATCATTCATTACTGTTCCCAACAAGTGGGAGGAGCCAGCACCAGGAGGACACAGCTGGACTTCACCACCAGGCTAGCTTCTCAGCTGGAGAATCAATAATCTTGAGAAATGGGTGTCCCTGAGCCTCCAACCCTACCCCCACCATGCACTCACAATTCTCCTTGTATCCCAACCCTCTCCAGTTTATGAGACACCAGAAAGGCTTCCCTGGTGGGCGCAGCCCTCTCCCTCCTCTCCGGATTCTCCACCAGCAGTTCATTAGGTTGGAACTTGGGGGGTGCTCGTGTTTCTCACTCTAGCTGTCTACTCTGCCTGCAATGCAGAAAAGAACGGGAGCCGCACTGCTGCTCAGAGAAATCTCTGGGAAGCCCCCTGAGGCGGCGGGAACAGATGACACAGATGGTGTTTCTGGAGCGGGAGATGCTGCAGCCCAAGTCCCAGAGTCTCCAGGGCAGCGCTGCCCAATAGAAATAGAATGCAAGTTCGAACATCCTAATATCACATTAAAAAAGCAAAAAGAAACAGATACAATTAATTTTAATACTATATATTTTATTTAATTTAACCCAATGTACCCAGGCTATTGTCATTTCAACATAGCAATATAAAAATTAGTAATGAAATATTTTACACGGTTTTGTCATATTAGGCCTTTGAAATCCACTGTATATTTTACACTCACAGCACATTCCAATTTGCTCACTACATTTTCACCAGAAATATCGTTTTGGTATTTAGGTTTCATAAAATTCACTGTTGAAAAAGTTGACTCACACATCCAAGCTTTTGAAACATATTAAAAGTTTTCCAATAACTAAATCAAGGATTGTTTTTCAGATTTAGATGGAACTATAATGAAATAAATTTTAAAAGTCCACTCCTCAGTTGCACTAGCCATCTTTCAAGAGCTCAACAGCCACATGTGGCCAGTGGCTACTGTATTGGACAGCGCAGCTCCAGACACCACAACTCTGGGCACAGATGAGGACTCCTTGGTGGAGATGGCAAAATATCGCTTGAGAAACCCGTTCGAGCTGGGGGAAGGGCCTGTGAGGTCACGCCCCACTGCCGCCCCTCGCTCTCCTCACACAGCTGCTCCAGGGACGGTTAGTGAAGCCACGTTACTCTGATGAGCACTTCCGCAGCCTGCACAGTCAGCAAGCCGGTCCTCACGGCACCCGTCTGAGAAGGATGCCCTTGGTTTGGGTGCAATCATCCAGGCTGGTGTGTGGGTATCAAGTGTGTGAATGCAACCAGGGACATGTGCAGCTGTGTGCATGCGTGTGCACACGCAAGGATGTTATGTCTGCATCATTTGGGACAATCCAGTAAAGCTCTCCTGGGGGTGAGACAGAGGTGGAGAAAGGAGAAAAATAACATTTATTGAGGGCCTATTCTATGTCAGTGGCTCTATCTTTGTTTTCTTATTTAATCCTCACATCAACCCCATAAAATAGGGCATCTTAGCTGATAGAACTAAGAGTCAAATAAAGTAAGTAAATGCTGGAGTATATAGGGCTAGTTAGTAAGGGAGCTGTATTTGAACTCAGGGCTGACTCAAAAGTCACATGCCTCCACCATTCTGCTCTACTGTTCTAGTCACTGCATATTCTTATAACCCCTCTCCCATAGCCTCTCAGGTACAGGACCCGGGGAGCAAGGTGAAATCCAGGGGTCACCTTCTACCCCACTGTCTCAGAACAACTTTTTTAGGGAAACGGACCAGTTGTTAATCCTCACCTTCCTTTAGTAACTCTAATGCAACTGAGTTACTTCAAGAAGCTGAGGGTTGGTTGGTTTTTAGTCTTTCTCAGTCTTCTCACCCAATGCCCTTGCTGCCTCTGTCCCAGGGACCAGAAGAACGCAGCAAAAATTCCAGGGATCAGATGGACTGAACTGAAATGCCTGGCTGCCGGCAACAGAAGCTCTCATAATTAAAAAGAGGTTTCAGTCCTGGCTGCTGTGGCTCAGCTGATTGGAACAGTGGCTCAATGACCTGTAACCAAAAGGTTGCAAGTTCGATTCCCGGTAGGGGCACATACCTAGGTTGCAGGTTAGATCCCTGGTCCAAGGGGTTGGATCCCTGGTCCAGGCACAGATCCCCAGTCTGGGCGTGTGTGGGAGGCAACAAGCGATGTTTCCCTTCCTCTTTCCTTTCCTCTCTTGCTAAAAAGCAATGAAAAGAAAATGTTCTCAGGTGAGGATTAAAAACAAAAGCTAAAAACCCAAAACCCCAGAGGTTTCAGATTTCCTAGGTCCCTTTCTGGGTTCTAACCTCAACAACCTCTTAGGTTACTGAGAGGCTGCTCAGGAATTGCTCACATGGTGGAACAACCTGTGAACTCTGTCAGATTTGAGGATTTGACTCTGTCCACCTTCTGCCTACCTCTGCTGGACCAAACCTTCCTGAGGTCACTCCATCCACCCTCCATCTACCCTCCCCTTCCATTTCAGATATGGTGTCCCCTAAGCTGAGAAGTTTGGACCCAAGATACTCTGGCAGCATTTCGCACTTCCCGTGACGATCCCTGACACGTTTTTGTTTCTCAATTTCCTTTGCTGTGCTGGGTCCCTGATTCAAGGGGTGAGAAGCCTGCAAGGCAATGACTGTCAGCTTATTTTGAATCAGGGACCCCTCTGAGAATATCTGGTACAAGCTATGAACAAAAACATTTATACATCGTCCACTGTCACCCTGAAGCCATCAAAGGTTCCACAGAATGCAGGTAAAGAACCCCTGCTGTGAGAAGCCTCAGGGAGCAGAAAAGCTGAGGGCTTAGGCTGCCTGTCTCCCCAGAGTCCATCCGAGGCAAGGAGAAAAGGTTGGGAAGGACTACAGTGTGTAGAGAACGGCACAGGTAAGAACAGATGGTAGGATGGACCCTGTAAGAAAACACTGTTACCTCCACCTTCTCCCTTCTCTGTCCCCCTTTTCCCACCAGCACCCATCTTGCAGAGAGAGGCAGGCAACTTTGGGTGGGACTTTTGCTCTAAGAAGTGAGTGTGGCCCTGGCTGGTGTGGTTCAGTTGGTGGGAGCATCATCCAGTAACTGGAAGGTGCAGGTTTGATTCCCGGTCAGGGCACATACCCAGATTGAGGGTTTGGTCCCTGGTCCTAGCAACAAATCAGTGCTTCTCTCTCTCCCTTCCTCTCTGTAAAAAAGCAAGGGAAAAATGTCCACAGATGAGGATTTATTTTAAAAAAGTGACTGGTGGTGATTCAGGCTGGAGAGCACTGAGATCAGGGACTGCTGAGTCCTGGTCCTCCAGGACCAGGGGAATTAAGGGGAATTAAGTAGGAAGGCAGCTGGACGGTGGTGGCTGGAAAGGCTGAGGCGAGTGTCTCTCTCCTAGGACACCTGCCACAATCCATCAATCTGATCTGAAGACTGAAGAGTGGTGCCAGTATAATTTCTGATACCACGGCCCATGCTCCCAGTTGCTGGTTTCTGGTGAAGAGCCTTGAGTAAATGGGGAGAAAAGGGTGACGCCTATAATGGGCAAAGGAAGTGTTCTGTTTTCCAAAAACTCAGACACCTGAATATCACTTGAACAGATTGTTTGTATTTTGTCCAGGAAGGGAACTCTGATCAGTCAAGGCTCTGGAACCAGGCTACTGTGTTTGAGAACCCCTCACTGCCCCACCCTCTAGCTAAAGTCTACTTTCACAGTCTGGCTTGTTGAGTGGAAACACCTGCCCGTGGAACTCTAGGAAACCCAGACTTTCTTGACTAGTTCCACCTACTGCCTCCTGCATTCTGTTCAAAAAACCCTTCAAGGAAAGAGAATGGACTCTTTGAAACTGGAGATGAAAATTAAAAAATTATAAGTCACCCAACGCCAGCTTTTCATAGTTCAACCTTTCAATCCTGATTTGAGCTCTTAGAGGGGGAATTAGATGACAAATCCCAAATACACAGAGACTGAAAGTTTGGAATCATCTCACCTAAACTTATCCCTTCTACTCCTCAACCTCCCTATGCAACCAATTACTTGAAGTTAACCTTCCTTAAAATTCTCAGGAAAACTAATTATACCTGCTTTACACTTCTCTGATTAAGAAATTCCTCCTGTGGTTTAATTATTAATTTTTTAAAAGATTTTATTTATTTATTTTTACAGAGGAAGGGAAGGAGAGAAGGAGAGAAACATCAATGTATGGTTGCCTCCTGTGCGTCCCCTGCTGGGAACTGGCCTACAACCCAGGCATGTTCCCTGACTGGGAATCGAACTGTGATTGTGTGGTTCGCAGGCCTGCATTCAATCCACTGAGCTACACCAGCCAGGGCCTAATTTTTAATTTTTAATCCCTCATTTTGGACTTCCATTTCATTTCCTCTTTTCTTCCTACTGCCTCCCATTGGAGCTGAAAGATGATGGGCCCATAGCGTAGGTCTGTACTTTTCATAGCAACAGTGGACATTCTTCCTTGGGTCTGAAGTAGTCTTTTACTTTTTAAAAGATAAAAACAGCTATAGCAATTACGGCACTCAAGAACCTAGGAATAATCTAAGAAATATGTAAATTCTATATGACAAAGATGTTAAGACACTGATGATGGGACATCATCAATGTCTTAAATATGTATATAGGAACATTCTGCACAGTAATTCTCCCTTAGGTAATCTAAAAATATGTGTTCCCATCAAAATAGCATTAACAGTACACTGAAAAGTAAATTGTGCTATATTCCCACAATATACTACTACAGAGTAAGAAGAATGAATGAAACTACACACAATATGGCTGAATCTCACACAAATAATGTTGCACAAAAGAAGCCAGACACAATGAGTACATACTATAGGATTCTCTTCCTATACAAAAACAAAAACAAGAAGAACTGGTTTCTGCTATTAGGGTCAGTAGAGTGGCTATCTTTAAGGGGAATAATAGTAACTGGGAAGGGACACAAGGGTGACTTCAAGCATGCTGTAATGTTTTGTTTCTTAATCTGGACATTGGTTACACGAATGTATTCCATTTTTGAAAATTCATCAAGGTGTACAGTTTTTATTTGTGCACTTTTCTATATGTATATTGTGTATCAATTTTTAAATTATGGTAAACAATACATAATGTACATCAATTTTTAAAAACAGTAAGAAACAGTGGAACCTTGGTTCTTAAACTTAATTTGTTCTACAAAACTGTTCAAGAAGTTATTTGTTCTGCTAGGATAGGAGTAAAAGACAGAAAAACTGTACTTGAACAACAATTTAAAAAAGAGAAGTTATTTGTTCAAAAACTGAATCTCCTTTGTTGCCTGACAGACACATGAGTGATTGATTATACAGGTATCATCATGAAAGGGTTTTTGGGTAGAGAATTGATTTTTTTTTGTGTGTGAACAACTTGGTTGAGAACAGAATTGGTCAAGAATAAAATTGTTCAAGAATCCAGATGTTGGAGAACCAAGGTTTTACTGTGATAGAATATGAATGAAGAGATCAATGGACATGAAAAACTCCAAAATAGACCAAAATACATATGGCTGTTTGAGTTTTATAAAGATAGCATTCAAAAACAAGGGAGGAAGTATGGGTTATTCAATAAGCAGGGTCAAGTAAAACAAATGAAATAAAGTTAGATTTTCCTATCTTCCTCCAAAATAAATTCTAGGTGAATTCAATATTAAGATATATAAAAAGACACTATGAAAGTATTTATGAAAAAATAGGATAATTTAAAAATAATCTTAGGTAATAGGAGGCTTTTCCAAATATGATATGAAACCCAGAAGTTATCAAAGAAAATAATGAGAAATTCAACTATAATATAAATAAAAAATATTTGCATAGCAAAAAAGTCACCATAAACAAAGTAAAAACACATAGGACATACTGGGAAAAGAAAACTATACAACTTATACAAAGATAAAATATTAACATATGAACAAATTATATGAACAGATATACAAAAAATAAAATACAATTGCCACTTAAACATATTAAAAGATGCTCAACCTTATAAGAGAAATTAAAATTACAATGAGATACCATTTACACTATCAGACTGTCAAAAATCAAAAGTTTGATAACACAATGTATAAGCATGTTGATGGGAGAGAACATTAGTAAAAATTCCGTGGAAAGCAATTTGACAATACCATCTACACTTACCAAAATCCTTTAAAACACTGCTGGTGGAATGAAATGAGAACCATCTTCATGGAAGGAGGGAATTGGCAAAATTGCATGTATTCAGATGAAAAAAAAACACACAATGCTCTGACCTAGCATTTGCAGTTCTAAGTATTTATTATACGGATATGCAAAAGCCAAATGAAATATACTTGGGTATCAATATAATCGTAACGCGTGGTTAAATATATCAGTATATCCCTCAGGCTTACTATGAAACTTACTATGAGGCAGATACATCTGTACTGCTATGGAAAGACATCTAAACTATATAAAAAGGAAACTGTAAAATAGCTTATTATCAACTAGGTAAAAATACATATGCATGTTAACTATAGAATATCTTGTGAAAAGTCACCAAAATTTGATAATGTTGGTTGCTTCTGAGGGAAATAAGACATTCACTGTAATATTTCCTTTTGAATTTTGTAGAATGTGCATGTGTTTCTTCTTCAAAACATACATATTTTAAATTAATACAAAACAAAAAACTGACTACCAAATGCCTCTCTCTACCTAGCTGACTAAAGATACAATCTTCTTGTGTCTTTCATTCAACGTTCATTCAACGTTCACTGAGTATCGCGCGCCAGAAATTGTGATAGAAGCTGGTGGGAGCGCCCTACCCCTGGTCCCACGCTGAGCCCTTAGTGCTGGGCCCGGCATGGGGGGCCGGGGAAGGGGCTCGTGCCGCCCGCTGTGCTACCCGCTGCGCAGAGGCCGAGACCAGGCCCAACCGTCCCTAACGTTCCCGGACAAACGGCGGCTGCAATGCACTCTTCCGAAGCAAACCGTCTCTTTCAGAAAACCACCCGCTTTCTCGTCCCCTACAGAAACGGACCCCTGCGCCTGTCGCCTGACCCGTTTCCCTCAATCCCCAGGAAAGGGCAGACCCGCAGCTCCCTTACCACTCAGAACTCGGATCCTTCATCTTTCCTGTTGTCACCGCCCTCATCGTATTCCTTCACAGCGCGCCCTGGCTCTCTGCTGCGCAACAACTTTCCCTTGACATTCTCTTCATCTCTATGAAACCTATTTTTATGTACAAACCCCTGCACCCGGCCCCCCAAAAAGTTTTCATGTCACCTGATCCCCTGTCGTGGTACGGGGACTGATCGAGGAAAAAGATAGCAAACAACTAACGGAGCACGGCCCATCACATTTTTTTTCCCAACGGTCGCTGGGTTGTGGGGTGACCCTGGCTTTGTACAAAGTTTGATACTCATGACTGGTTCAATCCCTATCTCGCACCTTGATCCCAACCACCGAAGCGCAGGTTTTGCACCAAAGGCTTAAGAGAGGGAAGCCTCTACGGTAATTGGCTGAGAGGGAGGATTCCGTGAAATCTCTAATTGGCTGTTTAATTCTCAGCAGGTGCACTCTTCAATTAACACAGTCTGCTTTCCCTGGGTCCCATTGGCTGTTGTGGTGGACCGCCTTGAGTTCCATCCGGGTCATTGTGTATCCGCACTCAGCCGCCAGTCGGCTGAGGGATTGGTTGTGGCTGGGAATACCATTGGTGGGGCTGCGAGCCGGGCGTTGATTGGTGCGGAGGGCTGCGGAGGCGGGGCAGTGGCGGCTGAAACGGAGTCCGCGGGACGGCGTGCGGGCGTGCGAGTGGGAGGAGGCGACGCTGCTGGGCTGAGGTGCGAGGAGGAGCCGTGACCGCCGACTCGGAGGGCGGTAAGGGCGGGTAGCGGGAGCGGAGGTTGGGGTTATGAAACAGCCCGGCTGGGGGCGTCCTCGCGCCGAGGAGCGGAAAATGAGTGTAGGGCTAAGGAAGGGAGGTCCGCGAGGGCCCCGGGCGAGGGGCGGCCGTTCGAGCCCCGGGTGGTGAGGAGCTGCTGCGGACAACTTTATCTTCTGGGGACCTAATCGGATGCAGAAAAGATGCTCTGGGCGCAGGGGTAAGCCACAGCGACCCTGTGCGAGAGGGTTTGCCAGTTGGGACTCTTCCATGGATTATTGGGCCTTTTTGAGAACCGCCGTCAGTTTTATCAGCTTGCTTTTTATTTTGCCCAGCTTTTTCTTGGATTATCTCAAATAGAATGACTGTAGTCTGACTACTAAATGGGGGGGGGGGGCGGTGAGGAGTATTTGTTTCGCCAGTTTCCCTCCTTACTCCTAAATGCAGATATCGTGGGTTTTGGCAGGAGACTCCCGTGCCAAAGTTACGTTTTTATAGTCTCTTTCCTCAGCTTGAGAGAAATGGATTGAGGCTTTTTCACGCACTGATTTAAAAGTAAATGTAGCAAGGATGAGGACGTTGAGTGAGGTACTTCAATTCAACAAGCCTATTGACACGTTTTAGGTACTTTGTGGGTTCTGGTTATTAGGAGAAAAACTGGAATAAGAGTACTGGAACTCAGAATGTGATTTGACTTCTAACTATTTTTGAAATGATAATGTGGAAGTAAGCCTTAGTTATTCATATTAGATAGTTGTTAGCAGCTGTTTAATACAAATGTCAGGGAACTTCGAAGTTTCTGCCTATATTAAAAACCATTATCTAGCTACAATTCTTGCCTTGAAATGATCCACATGTCTCCTCTTTAATCCTGCTTTCCCTAGGAATGGTCTTAGATTCTGACCTGCTCTTCACATTCTGTTTGAAGTAATAAAATCAAAGACAATTCAGCAGCCAGTGTTATACAGTTATTCCCATTTCCATCATATTTTCCCATTTTTGTTTCTTTTTCCTGAAAAGAAACAACAATGTGAAAGAATATGTCAATTGTAAGAAAAAGAAAACTGCTTGATCAATCAAATAAATACTTATTATATGAGACATCAGCTGATAACTTAATTAACAAAAACTTCACTTGTAACATCTGAAGAAGAGTTAGTAAAATATAGCTTTGAGTTCAAATAGAAGTCACCCAGTAAGTGTATTCTTGTCACAGGTATCATCTTTCTAACATACACTCCCCACCAAATCATCAATATTCTCTGTCATCAAATAGGAAACTTGGCTTCTTGGATCACCCTGTAACATTTCCATAAATCAATTGCTAAGTCTTATGTAGTCTACCTATTAAAACTTGCTAATCCATCTACTTTTCTCCATCTTTATCACTGACACCTGGACTGGCTTCTGAATGAATCTCCCTACCCCCACTGTAGCTGTCTTGAATTCATTTTCACTACAGACACAGCCCTTAATCAAAACTTTCTAGCAATGCATGTGTTCTGGAGGAGTATTTGGAGTGCTATGGAAACCTGTAACAATGAGACCTAATGTAGTCAGGACTGAGGATTTGGTTGCAGAGCCAGAGGAATATCAGATATAATTTTGCCTTGATCTTAATAGTTTCCAAACTGGATAAAACAATACTGTTAGTTCTGTGAGTCTCCTTAAAGAGGTGCCATTGGTGACTGGTCTTCAAACCACATTGCACACCACATTGTGCGGAAATCACTAATTAGCTGTGTATCCTTAGGGAAGTTTCTTTGTCTCCCTGGGCTTCAGTTTCCCCAGTTGTGCCATTATTAGTAGGATCAGATTATCTCTGTGGTCCCTTTCAGTTCTGGACTTTTATAGTTTCTTTGTCCCATAAACATGAATTATGGCCAGAAAGGTGATATTAAAGGCAGACAACACTAGAGTCTGGATGAATTACTGCTCTTGTTTGCAGGGCTAGATTTCTTTCAGTTTCCCTAAACTTTTGACATCTACAGACTATTGTCTGTCATGATAGGACTTTCTTTGCTTGATAGAAAGCTTAGTAAAGGCAGCTACCAAGTCTCTCTGAGGTGTTGTATCTCCAGGGCCAAGCACACAGTGGATACTGTATATTTATTGGTTTGAATGCACAAGATAAATAATTTGTATTTTAGTAGGGTGATTTTCACTTGTGTACCATCTAGGGAATAAACCTTTTAAATTCTAGTTCCTCCCAGCTGTTACATTAACCAATAATTGTTGTATGAATAAAAAATGTATAGTCTTTTCATTACATGTAATTAGTTGTTTTGGTGTTGACCTTTCCTACTAGGCTGAGTATTTCAGGGCAGGAGTTCTTGTGTCCTCAGCATGCTCAGCCCACAACAGAGAGCTAACAGTGTTTAACTGGGGCACATTAATAGTAAAGACAAGGACTTCCACCAAGATGGAGGCATAGGTGGAAACACTATGCCTTCTCGCACAACCAGGTTTAAAAACAACAAAGTTTCAGTAATAAAAAACTCAGCCAAAACACATAAAATTGAACTAAACGGAAGTCCGACAACAACAAACCTTTTAGCCAGACTGGCAAGAGGGGCGGAGCCAGCAGTGGAGCAGATTCTGGCAGTAAGGATCCCCCAGACTGACCCAGCCACGCAGGCAGCCATGAGCCGATCCCAGGTGTGGAGTAGCAACGGGCAGACCCAGTGAGGGTGCAGGGCAGCAGGCTGACTGCGGTCACACATTCTCACACAGATAAACCAGTGAATGAATGAGCAGTGAGATGGACCGTGCAGGCCCCAGTGGCAGGAAGCAGCAGAGGGGACTGCCATTGCCCCTCTTTGACCCCACCCCCACACACAGCAACACAACCCAGAGACCTCCGTGGCCCTGCCCTGGTGAACACCTAGGGCTCCGTTCCTCATACGTAAAAGGCACGAACAGACCAAAACATGGCTCAAGAAGAACTCAAAGCCCCAGAGCCCATAACTCTAAGCAATGAAGAAGTAGCAAAACTTTCAAATACACTGTTCAAAACACTGGTGATCAGGATGCTCACAGAAGTGGTTGACTTTAGTCACAAATTACAGGAACAGATGAAGGCTAAACTAATTGAAATGATGGGAAATGCACAGGAAACCAATAGTGATGGAAAGGAAACTGGGACTCAAATCAAGGGAGTGGACCAGAAGGAAGAAAAAAGTGACCAAACAGAAAAATACAAAGAAACAAGAATTCAAAAAAATGAGGAGACACTTAGGAACCTCCAGGACATCTTTAAACATCCCAATATCCGAATTATAGGGGTACCAGAAGGGGGAAAGGAACAGCCACCAGTGGAAAACTATTTGAACAAATAATAAAGGAGAACTTACCCAATCTGGCAAAGGCAATAGACTTCCAGGAAATCCAGGAAGCTCAGAGAGTCCCAAAGAAGTTGGACCCAAGAAGAAACACACCAAGGCACATCATAATTATATTGGCCAAGATTAAAATGAAGGAGAGAATCCTAGAAGCAGCAAAAGATAAGGGGACAGTCACCTACAAAGGAGTCCCCATCAGACTGTCAGCAGATTTCTTAGAAGAGACCTTACAGGCAAGAAGGGGCTGGAAAGAAGTATTCCAAGTCATGAAATCCAAAGACCTACATCCAAGATTGCTCTATCCAGCAAAGCTTTCATTTAGAATGGAAGGACAGATAAAGTGCATCTCAGATAAGATCAAATTCAAGGAGTTCATCATCACCAAACCCTTATTATATGAAATGTTAAAGGGACTTACCTAAGAAAAAGAAGATAAAAAAGATGAACAGTGAAAGGACAGCAAACTCACAGTTATTAACAACCACACTTAAAACAAAAGCAAACTAAGAGGACAGCTAGATCAGGAACGGAACCATAGAAATGGAGATCACATGGAGGGTTAGCAACAGGGGAGTGGGAGGAGGAGAAGGTACATAAAATAAGTAGCATAGACGGGGGTGGGCAAGAATAGTATGGGAAATATAGAATCTAAAGAACTTGAGACACGTGGTCATAAACTAAAGGGGGGGAATAGTGGGGGAGGCAGTGTGTAGGGTGGAGGGGAATGAAGGGGGGAATAGAACAACTGTAATGGATAATCAATAAAATATATTTTAAAAGATAGAAAAAAAGGGTTGCTGGTTTGATTCCCAGTCTAGGGCACATTCCTGGGTTGCAGGCCAGATCCCCATTAGGGAGCGTGGGAGAGGCAACCATACATTGATGTTTCTCTCCCTCTCTTTCTCCCCCCACCTCTCTAAAAATAAATAATAAAATCTTTTTTAAAAGTAAAAAGTAAAAACAAGTACAGAATAGCCATGGGCTTGTAAAGTACAGTACAGGAAATGGAGTAGCCAAATAAATTATGTGCATGACCCATGGACATGAACAGTGGTGTGGGGAATTCTTGAGTGAATGCAGGGTACTTTGTGGAGGTGGGTAAAGAGGGAAAAATGGGGAAAACTGTAATAGTATAACCAATAAAGTATAATTAAAGAAAATAAATGTAATGGGTGGGAGTTACCATTTACTAAGGTGGTAAAGACAAAACACGGAAAGAAGATGAGATCAGGAGCTCAGTGTTGTACCTGTTAAGTTTGAGATGCCTAAGAAACATCAAATGGAGATGTTTCATATGCACCTGTTGTTCAAGAGAAAGGTCCAACTGGATCTATGAATTTGAGAGTTTTCAGCATATAGGTAAGATTTAAAGCCAAACCATGAATGAGACTTGATGAGATCACCAAGGAAATGAGATGGAAAACAGAGGGCAAAGGATGGAGCCCCAGGCCACTTTGGTGTTTAGAGATTAGAAAAAGAAGAAGGAACCAGAACTTGAGACTGTTGGAGCAGACAGAAAGTGAGAAGGAAAGCAAAGAAAGTGTGCTGTTGTGGAAGCCAAGAAAATGTTTCAGAGAAGAAACCATCAGCAGCTGTGCCAGACACTGTGATAAAATGAGGACTGAGAATTGATCATTTGATTTAGCAATGTGAAATCATTGACTTTGACAGGAGCTATGAGAGTGTATTAAAGGAGAGAAATTGAGCATGGAAGTATTAGCACACTTGAGTTTTCTTGTCAGAGGAATAAAAGAAATGAGAAGTATTTGGAGGAAGAATTGGAATCAAGAAAGTGTTGTCTTTTTTTTTAATTCATTTTTAGAGAGAGGGGAAGGGAAGGAGAAAGAGTGACAGAGAAACATCAGTGTGTGGTTGCCTCTTAGGTGTCTCCTACTGGGGACTGGGCCCGCAACCCAGGCATGTGCCCTGACTGGGAATCGAACCAGCGACCCTTTGCTTCACAGGCCCGTGCTCAATCCACTGAGCTACACCAGCCAGGGCAAGAAAGTGTTGTCTTTAAGAAAGAAATAATAGCATATTTAGCATGTTTGTCTTCTGATGGAAAAATTCATTAGAGAGGAAAACATTAATGATGCAGGAGAAGGAGGGAGAGCAGTGTTGGTGTTGTAACACTTTTATGAGCAACTTCAGTGTTAAGAGCAAAGACAGTTCATACATGACTACGGAAGAGAAGACAGGATATTAGGCACAGATGGAGATAGATGGGTAATGTGGACGTTTATTTTCCCTGAACGCTCTACTTTCGCAGTAAAATAGGAAGCAAGGACATCAGCTGAGAGAGGATGGAGAAGGCAGTACTAGAGATTTGAGAAGAGATGGTCTGGAAAGGTGAGAGTGTATATGGAATAAGGAGATATAGTGAGGGATGTTAAGATTTGCTTGGTAGCAGAATGAAGATACAGTGTGAGTAATTGATTCAGTCACTTCTTTTTTTTTAGTATATTTTATTATGCTATTACAGTTGTCCCAGTTTTTTCTCTTTCACTCCCTTCCACCTAGCACCCCCCATTCCCTCAGGCAATTCCCTTCTTAGTTCATGTCCATGGGGTATTCATGTAAGTTCTTTGGCTACTGCATTTCCTATACTGTTCTTAACATTCCCCTATCTGTTTTGTACATACCAATTTGTACTTCTTAATACCTTCACCTTTTCCCCATTCCCTCTTTCCCCTCCCAACTGATAACCCTCCAAAGGATCTCCATATCTATGATTCTGTTTCTGTTCTGCCTGTTTGCTTAACTTGTTTTTTTAGGTTCAATTGTTGCTAGATGTATTTATTGCCCTTTTAATGTTCATAGTTTTGATCTGTTTTTTCTTAAGTAAGTCCCTTTAACATTTCATGTAATAATGGCTTGGTGATGATGATACTCCTTTATCTTTACCTTGTCTAGGATGCACTTTTATGGCCCTTCAAGTCTAAGTGATAGCTTTGCTGGGTAGAGCAGTCTTGGTTGTAGGTTCTTTCTTTTCATGACTTGAAATACTTCTTGCTAGTTCCTTCTAGCCCTCAAAGTTTCTTTTGGGGAATCAACTGACAGTCTTATGGGAACTCCCCTGTAGGTAGGTAACTAACTGCTTTTCTCTTGCTGCTTTAAAGATTGTCTCTTTATCTTTAAGCTTTGGCATTTTAATTATGATGTGTCTTGGAGTGGGCTTCTTTGAAGGTCCATCTTGTTTGGGACTCTCTCTTCTTCCTGGACTTGCATGTCTATTTCCTTCACCAAATTACGGAATTTTTCTTTCATCATTTTGTCAAATGAGTTTTCAATTTCTTACTGTTCCTCTTCTCCTTCTGGCACCCCTATGATGAGAATATTGGAATGTTTGAAGTTGTCCCAGAGTTTGCTTACATTATCCTCATTTTGGGGGATAATTTTCTCCTCATGCTGTTCTGATTGAATGGTTTTTTTTCCTTCCTTATGTCCCAAATCATTAATTTGACTCTTGGCTTCATCCATTCTACTGTTGGTTCCCTGTAAATTGTTATTTCAATTAATGTATCCTTCATTTCTGACTGGATATTTTTATGCTGTTGAGGTCCTCACTAAGTTTCTTGAGCATCCTTATAGCCAGTGTTTTGAAGTCTTCATCTGATAGAATGCTCATCTCTATTTCATTTAGCTCTTTTTATGGAGTTTTAATCTGTTCTTTTATTTGGGCCATGTTTTGTCTCCTCACTTTGGCAGCCTCCCTGTGTTTGCTTCTGCGTATTAGGTAGAGCTGCTTTGACTCCCTACCATAGTAATATGGCCTACTGTAGAAAAGCACACTGATACATTGGGTGGGGCGGAGCTTTAGGTAATTGCCAGGGTGAGGCAACCCATGTGGCAGTACTGTGGCTGTGTTTGGGGGAGGGCTCAGAGTGGGGACAGTGCCCCTGCCTGGCTGCTAGCATTTTGTTTGGGAGGAAGCTGTCTCCTGGCACTAGCCCTGATACCAGACAGTTTCATTTCTCTCCTGATGATGCTGATGCCCATCCAGCTGTTGCCCTAATGCTGAACCCCAGAGGAAGTGAGTCTGCCAAAGTCCTAAGTTTGTTACATGCCCTTTAGGAGGAAACTCCTGAGAATCCCACAGTTTCTTCACTGCCCCAACCCCCACTGAATTTTACAGCCAGAGTCACAGGGACTTATCTTTCTGGTGCTAGAACCCTGGCCTGAGTGGTCTGGTGTGGGGCTGGGGTCCCTTGCTCCTGAGGTATCCCTCCCAATTTTTATCCACTGCATGTTGCTGAGGGACTGCCCATCCCACATCACTCCGTGCCTCTCAGCACATGTCTGCGCCTTTCTGTGTCTCCACCCTCCTACCCATCTAGATAACTATGGCTTCTTTAATACCTAGGTTGTCAGACTTCCTTCCATACAGCTCAATTTTCTGCTGATTCTGGATGATACTGTTTTGTAGCCTAGTTGTATTTTTCCTGTGGTTGTGTGAGGAGGTGAGCCATGTTTTGCCTAATGCCTCCATCTTGACCAGAAGTGACCCTATGACTTCTTACTGGCCATTGTAAGAAGGCCAGTAAGAAGACCATTACAATTGTCTAAATGAGATTTGGTAAGATTCTGAATCAGTCCAAGTGCAGTGTTTTGGTGTCATTAGCAGGTAAGTAATAATTGAAGCTACAGGTGTGTATGAAATCACCCAGAGAGAGCAGAGTGACAATAGCAATGGATAGAGGCCACAGGAAGACAAGCCCAGAACTCAGAAGGCCCCTCCAGCAAAATAGGAGAAACCTATTTCAAAGAAAAAGGAAGAACAGAGGTAAAATTAGATAAGGCTCGTACATGTCATCTAGGTTGATTATCTGGGAAGTTGTAGTTTTGGTGGAACAGTGCATAAACTCCCTTACACTATTCATTGAGTAGCAAATAGAAGTCAGGAGTATAGATAGTAAATAAAGACAATACTTCCAAGAAAGATAAGTAGAAGTAGCAAAGCCCAAAACTAAGCCTGGAGAGCCATTTTTAGCAGGGACAACAGGTTCAGGAAAGGCCTGGAGGCATATAGAAGGGCTCATATAAGAATTTTAAATGGTTTGATATAAAAATCTAAATATGTATTTTTAAATATTCATTTAATAATTTTTCATTTCTTTGTCTTTGAAAACTGTGATCAATGTGTAGTTCTCCTTGGGTGTGAGGGAATGAAGTATACCTCTATTTAGGTGTATGTGTATGTGCCCCTTAGCTCACTTTTAAAAAAAAAACCTTGAGACCTTTTACATGATACAGATGAGACTGCTCAAACTCTTAAAATAGAAAAGTAGGCAGTAGTATTCTCTTTAATAATAATAACAATAATAAATAATAGAATGTGTTCCCATGTCTCTTTGCCAGTCATAAAGGAATTGAATGAAAGTTGCTTATTTGCCTTCATTTGCTTATTTCAGGATGTAAGTCGGAGTACAGCAGAAAATGTCCACTGAACGTCCCTCTTGGACAAATTTGTCCACTATTCAGAAAATAGCACTGGGCCTCGGGATCCCCGCAGGTGCAACAGTTGCCTATATCCTATACCGCAGATACAGGGAAAGCAGAGGTATGTGAATCCCACAGCTGCACAAAAGTTCAGACTGTGTTCCAGCCTTGCTGAATTGAAATGAAAACTGTCCTTGCCAGACCAGGGATCATTTGTTGGAATATAATTGGCTTTCTCTGAGGGGTCTTTGATGGAAACTATATAGTTCCTTCTTTTCTATGTTCTTAATATAACGCTATCATCATTTATATGAAACTATCATTTCTGTGAAATGAAGAATTCATTTTATAATTCTATTGATCTGTTCCCTTCAACATTCACACTGCAGGGGGTTCTTTTTCTTTTTTTTATTGTATTTATTTATTTTAGATTTTATTTATTTATCTTTAGAAGGGAAGGGAAGGAGAGAGGGAAAGAAATATCAATGTATGGTTGCTTCTTGTGCATCCCCTGCTGGGAACTGGCCCGCAACCCAGGCATGTGCCCTGACTGAGAATCAAACCACGATCCTCTGGTTCACAGGCCCGCGCTCAATCCACTGAGCTACACCAGCCAGGGCTCTTTTTATTTTTTTAAATATCCATAATATTCTCATCTTTTTTTATATGTTTCTTCTATTTAGTTGTTAGGAGAAGGCTAACTGTGGGGTTTGATTTTCCCCAGAGGCTGAATGTAGAGAAGAAGACCTAAAGAAATGATTTATGTACAAACAGGAGAAGTTCTGAGCCTAATGGACTCCTCAGGCAATTTCTAGCCTTTCATTCTTCTCCAGAAGAAATAGTGTGCCTAAAATTCAATACTTCTTGGTTGCAGAGCCAAATGCATTCCCCACTTTAACATCTGAAATAGTATCCCAGAGAGAATGCTCATCTTCTGGTCTTTGGGGATCTTTTAATTCCCACTCAGATGCTATTTCTCCTTGTCATTGTGGTTAAGATCCTCAGTTTATCTATTAGATGAACATGTCTGTGACAGCTAGATTCAGGGGAGGGCTGGTATTAGCTTTAGGTGTTATCTAAGTTTGGTCTGATGAGCCATGATCTGTGCAGAAGAACGCCTGACATTTGTGGGGGAGGATGACATTGAGATAGAGATGCGAGTGCCTCAGGAGGCTGTGAAGCTCATCATTGGCCGGCAAGGAGCCAATATTAAACAGGTAAGTGTGTGAGCCAGCAATCTGTTTTCCCAGAAATTGATTCTACTTCTCCTTCTCTGCCCCATCCCATAAAACCCACCCACACTATGTATATTTTAAAAGAAAAAATACAGGAACTTTTAACTAATATGGTGTCTACCTTCTAGAAATAAGTACTTCTGCTCCCTAGAGAATGGATGACCTAGCTTGAAATGGGGATTTTTTATTGGATTCATCTCATATTGGTATAGCTTGAACCATTCTTTTCTACTATGGAATTAACAAATTCTCATTAATTGACATTAAATACTGAATTGCTGCCTGATTCTTCTTACCATCTTTCATTGTTCAGGTGGGGTGTCAAGAAAGGAAAATACTTGATTCTCTAATCCAAATAATATTAGGAAGAAAGAGGATTCTAAACACAAAGAGAAACTATTTTAAATTAACTGCTATGGGGGGTTGCCTTTGTCACTAATTTCCTTCCTGTGAGGAAGGAAAGTACCTATGAGGACTGCTTATAACATCCTGATTTTGCTGATAATTGTGTCCAAATCCGTCTACCTCCATGGTTAGATTTAGTGTGTCCTTAGCTAAAGGGGAGCTCTTCCAGAGCATATTGCTATGTATCCTTTTCTCTGCAGCTGCGGAAACAGACAGGTGCTCGGATTGATGTGGACACGGAGGATGTAGGCGATGAGCGGGTGCTGCTTATCAGTGGTTTTCCTGTTCAGGTGTGCAAAGCCAAAGCAGCAATCCATCAGATCCTGACAGAGAATGCTCCAGTGTCTGAGCAGCTCTCAGTTCCCCAGAGATCTGTGGGCAGAATCATAGGTACCAACTGGACAGCTTCCTCTACTGTTTCTTTTTTTTTCTTTCCCTTTCCCTTTCTTTCACATCTTCACAAGGGTTTTTCCTGGCCTACTCCCCCTTCACCTTGCTGAGGGAAAAAAAAAGGACATGGAGACCAGAGTTTTATTTTTTTACAGGTCTGTTGGTAAAGCAAAACCCTTTACTTTAAGAAGTTGCATGATCTGAACTTTACAAACAGGCTCCAAAAAGGTTCAGGTAGAGGTACTGACCTCATAATAGATTTTTTAAAGAGACTGAGGATGTTTGTGTTTTCCCAGATCTTTCAAGATAGTGCTATAGAGAGTACCTGCCATGCTTTCCTCTAGAGCATTCCTTATGCTGCTGTTAGAAGCAGAGAAATGTCCTGTCCTTGGTCCAGTGGTTCACACACCACACTTTGTAGATGAAGTGGTTATGAAGTATGCTGAGTGGTCAGAAAATGGAAATGATGTGGAGAAGTTAACCTAGCTAATGTTAGAGTTTAAATAAAATGGATAGAGGAGATAATCCAGAATTATTCTTCTTCAGTAGGGATTTCAGTAGCTCCTGCTTTTGCATTCTGTTCAGTTTGAAAATGGGAACTGACTCTCTTCTAGTGTATACAAAATAGTGATTTCTCTAGCAGTTGAAGTTGGCTGGGACAGAAGGACAGGATTTTATGTATTGTTCAATGTAGGGAGAGGTGGCGAGACAATTCGTTCTATCTGCAAGGCCTCTGGAGCCAAAATTACCTGTGACAAAGAATCAGAGGGGACATTACTACTATCAAGACTTATTAAAATCTCAGGAACACAGAAGGAAGTGGCAGCAGCCAAGGCAAGTAGCTGATAGACTTAAATCATGTCTAAGAGTGAAAAGAACCCTTTATTTCATCCTGTGTCAAAATATCTGGCCACGTAGCCATCATCCCTTCTCTTATTTTCCACAGCATCTGATACTAGAGAAAGTTTCAGAAGATGAAGAACTTCGGAAGAGAATTACTCATTCTGCAGAAACCAGAGTCCCACGCAAGCAGCCAATCAGTGTAAGAAGAGAGGAAGTGAGAGAGTCAGGTGCAGCTGGAGAGCCAGCTCTATGGAAAAACTCTGGTACTAGCAAGGAGCAGGCTTCACCACTGGCAGTTCCTCCCTGCAAAGGAGGTGGTGACATGGTTGCTATAGGGCCAGAAGAAGGTTCCTGGGAGAAACCTAATGGTGACAGCTTTCAGAAGCCTGGAGCCCAGAGCAGTCCAGAGATGTCCGTGTTTGAAAGTATGTAACAGAGGGAACCCATAGCTGTATGAGAGATAGAAGAAATACTGGCTTAGATAACCCAAAATTGAAAGCAATAAAAAATAACTTCTATTTTTTTGACTAATAAATTTCATCACAGATACACCTTTCTGGTGATATTTTACTTGCATTAGTACTGAAAATAATATATTTTTAAAATATTTTATTTAGTTATTTTTCAAGTACATTTTTTTGTCTATTTCTCCCATCCCAGCCCCCCCCGCCCCGTCTCCCCCCTCCCTCCCATTTCCCACCCCCCCCAGTCCTCATCCCTGTGTCTTTCATAGTTGTTCCTCAAAATGAAAATAATATTTTTCTGAATACAAACAAGCTAATTATGGAAAACAATATGGCACTATGCTACTTCACAGGAAACCAGCCTGTGCGTAATAATATCAAATAATTTACATTATATTCTTTCTCCTAACATACTTATTAAACAGGTAGAATACTCAGCCCAGTTTTTTTTTTTTTTTGGCTTGTCTTGTTGTTTTTAAAAGTCATCACTATTCAAGAAGAATTAAAAGGCTGTGAGCTTTCTTTTTCATGCCTAGGTATGTATGGGATAGGCAGGGGAAACCAGGGCCCCTGAGAGGTTCACAGGCTTGTCCAGAGTCACATAATGAGTCAGTGGAAGAATGAAATCTGGACAAGCCCACATCAGTCCATGTGTCTTTGCTGGTCCATGCTGCAGCTAGCATGTGGAGGATTTACCGTCATTATATTTGGTGACTGATTTGAATACCTGGCAGATGACTAAGAACGTAAACTCTCTTATTACTCAATTACATAGGAAGGTACAGAACACAGCTCAGTACCTTTCTTCAGGATGTTCTTGTGTGATTCATCCAGTTGTTCCTCCAGCCATTTTAAAAATTGTAATAGCCACTTGGTATTTTTACCTCTCACCCCCTGATGTAGTCTCCTTATTCTGACTAGAGATGATTCTGATACCATTACCATAGTAGACGGTGATAATTCTGCACCTTAACTTGGTTATCGTTGTGTTTAGTCCCCAGTCCTGACTTCAGTTTCCATGCTGATGAGTTCCTGGAAGTCTACGTCTCTGCTTCTGAACATCCTAACCACTTCTGGATTCAAATCATTGGTTCTCGAAGCCTGCAGTTGGATAAGCTTGTCAATGAGATGACCCAGCACTATGAGAATAGTCTGGTGAGGGAGAGGGCTGAATCTGATGAAAAGGGGCTTATCCTTTTCATTGTGGTGTATTCTCTTCCTTTCCTGTGGAGCAACAACTCATTCTTTCTTCCTTCTGATATTACCTGTTTATTTTTTAGCCTACTCCATTTTTTTAAAGAATTTATTTTTTTTATTTTTACAGAGGGGGGAGGGAAGGAGAAAGAGGGGAAGAGAACCATCAATGTGTGGTTGCCTCTCATGAGCTCCCTGACTGGGGACCTGGCCAGCAACCCAGGCTTTTGCCCTGGCTGGGAATCGAACGGGCAGCCTTTTGGTTTGCAGGCCCACACTCAATCCATTGAGCTACACCAGCTAGGGCTAGCCTACCCCTTTCTAACTACCATCTCCTGACTCCTTATGTGTGTAGCCTGAAGACATGACTGTGCATGTAGGAGACATTGTAGCAGCACCTTTATCTACAAATGGTTCCTGGTATCGAGCCCGGGTCCTTGGCACTTTGGAGAATGGGAACCTAGACCTCTACTTTGTTGACTTTGGAGATAATGGAGATTGCCCACTGAGGGACCTCAGGGCACTCAGGTCAGTGTGGAGGCCAGGTGAAATCAGGCTAGAGTGCCAGCTTTTTTTCTTTAAGATAGGAAGGGAGGTAGGAAGAGAGGGCAAGAAACATCACTGTGAGAGAGAAATACCAATTGGTTGCCTTCTGTACATGCCCCAGAGGACTGCATCCCAGGCATGTGCCCTGACCAGGAATCAAACTGGTGACCTTTCGGTTTGTGGGACAATGCCAACCAACTGAGCCACACTGGCCAGGGCAGGAGTACCAACTATTGACTCAACCCTGGCCACAGGGTGTTGAGTTAGCTGTTAGTGCTCATCACAAGGGGGGGTTGGGAGAGCTTATTTACATAGAACAGATTATCTCCTCCCACTGAGTTAGTCAGTGCTGTCTGGAATAATAGAAGAAGGCCCTTCTGGCACTAGGAGTCTAATTTTATTTTTTTTCACTTCAGGAGTGACTTCCTAAGTCTTCCATTTCAAGCAATAGAGTGTAGTCTGGCACGGATCGCCCCCTCAGGTAAATTGGCCACAACACGTACTGACCTTGCCTCCAAATACAATAACTTTAATATAATACATGGGAGTTCTCACATTCCAAGGCTTTTTGAGTTCAAGGGGCTCAGGTGTCTTTTCCTCACCAGAACTAGGAATCAACAGCCAGAAACTTGCCTAGCTGTCAGACATAGGTGCCTTCTGGAATAGAAAGAGGTAGTTCTAATTCCCTCCAGGGTATAATCCCTCCCCTGTCAGCATTGTCTCCTTCTTAGGCTCTCCCTACAATCTTTTGCCAGGTGAACAATGGGAAGAGGAAGCTTTGGATGAGTTTGACAGACTCACTCACTGTGCTGACTGGAAGCCTCTGGTGGCCAAGATCTCTAGCTACGTCCAGACTGGTATCTCAACTTGGCCGAAGATCTACTTATATGATACTAGCAATGGGAAGGTAAGGTTGAGGTTCAACTCATTACTCACTGGCTCTTTAGTATATTTATACCCTAATTTACTTTTTCTTTCCCAGAAACCCTATCTGATGTTATTTCTACTTCATAAGATCCTGCTTACCATCCCACCAAAGGAGTGTCAAGTATCAATCCTAGCTCTTCTGCCCTGTTTCCTCCGATATGCCCTTCCTTACAAAGAGAACATCATTCCCTTTTCATTTATCTCCTCAGAAACTTGATATTGGGTTAGAATTAGTTCGTAAAGGATATGCAATTGAGCTTCCTGAAGACGTGAAAGAAAACAGAACTGTCCCAGATGTGTTACATGATGTGGTGAGTGAGCTATTGCAGTCACTGAGGGTGTCTCTTTGGGGCAAATCTCGTGATGTAAGAGACATGAGGACTTCTAGATATGCATGACGTTTTGTAGAGTGCTGTTCTGGCTTATTAAAGGAGGCACTCTGTCTTTCTTCAGCAACAAACTCAACTGCCTAAAGCAGATCTTGTGAGCAAAATGACAGAGTGGCCACTCCTTTCCCACCAGCCAACACATTCTTTTTCTCTTGTTTACATCCTCTCAGGACACAGAAACAGATGTTTCTCTCAGCAGCATGTGCACTGAGACAAAAAAGAGCTCTGGAGAGATAGCAAATACCCTCTCCTGCCTTAGCTTATCAGGTACAAACAGCCTTTCTTCCCTTAGAGCATCTTTGGAAATTACCATTTCTCAGTCAGTCTCTCCAGACTAGGGCACTTGTTAAGGCTTGCCTCTTAAACAAGGTGACCGAGCCTCACTGGCAGTGCCCGCTAGATTAGGACAGTGTCTAACTTTCTCCTCATTTCTGCTGTGTAGAAGCTGCCTCTATGTCTGGTGATGATAACCTTGAGGATGACTACTTAATTTGAAGTCTGCTTCAGCTGCCTCAGCCATCTGCTTTGCTGTGTGAGTGGAGCTATCATCTCTCTGTAGCAACAGGAAAGGGAATGAGGGTGATAGTAGGGGCCTTGCTTTACTCTCTTCTCCATCGCCCATCTAAACAGTACTTCTCTGCAGCTGCTTTCCTGTAGCTTAACTTGCTCTCAGACTGAGCCCTTTCAAGCTTGTTTTGTCTTTGTTTTTGACAGGATTTGGTGCCTGGAGAGAGGAGCATATGACAAAGAGATCTACGCTGTTCCTCCTTTATTACACAATATGGTTTGCTGTGGACCAAATGCATTTTCTCCTTCCGTGGGATGACCAGAAAGAGTATAGGGTAGAGGGAAGTACTCCACCCCACACCAACCTTCCTTCCAGTGTTTAAATACTGCTGCATTATGTCCAGGCTGCTCAACATCTGGCTTGTTCCCCTCAGCCAGTCCGAATGCATACTCCTGCTAGGCTGTGTCATTTTTGAGGCTGGGAAGCAGCCAAGGTTTGGTCGTTGGAAGTGATGATTCTGCACACTTCTGACTCACCTTCTCAGGTGACTCTGGTGAAGGGAAGATTTTGAGTGATGAACTGAAAGACTGCAGTTGAGTCAGAAGGCAAAGGCAAAAATCAGCACATTTGTATTAAAAACCTTCAGGAAGTGGGTAAGAGAGTGCTGCCTCTCATCCTCAATTGCTGATGCTATTGGAGACAAGTCTTTTGAAAACAGTGTTCCATCTATTTTTCTGTACACTTTGGTTAAAATATAAGGGGAGAGGCAGCTCAGGAAATATTCTAAATTGCTAGCATAGCATCTGTAAAATACACACACACACACACACACACACACACACACACAGCCCCGAAGAAAGAGAATATATATAGTTGTTTAAAGTGTTTGGGAGATTCTTTGCTGAATAAAGTTCTCAAAAAATTATCTGAAACTAAATACTGGTTGAATCACAAGGTGGAAGCAGGTCTTTGGGTATCTTCTGAACCTAAGTCTCGTAAAAATTGTGAATACCTCACATAGAGGGGCCCATCTGTGAACAAGTGCTCCTCCCGTGTATTCTTTCCCTAAAGTTTCCAAGAACTACTTAGGTTCGGGCTGTGTGAATAAGACCCCACCTAAAGTTTGGAAGAAAAGGCCTGGATTAGGATTCTAGAAACCTGGGTCTGCAAATAGATCTCTGGACTTCAGGTAGCCTGCTTCTCTACAGCCTCTCTCCACTTCTGGTGGTATGGTGAGGATCTAGTGGAAACTTAAAGGTACTTGAAAGTAAATATAAATGTAATATGGGAGGTAAAACAATGGCAAATAAATATTTTTTAAAGGATCAACAAGGTAAACTGGAAAACTTGAAATTAGCACATAAGAGTACCTTTTTTAAAAATCTAGGAATGAGTGATCTAGGTCTGTCCCTACATGGCAACTCTATATTCTCATTGCAACAGTTTTCAAAATTTATTTTCTCAGAAATATCTCAGTACCAGTTAGCAGACACACCCCCATGGAAGAGCAGCTTTAATGAGCAGTCTTAGAAAAATCAATGAAGGGCTGCCATTGACCTTTCAGACCTTGGCTCCCCAGCGGAATTGGAGCCACTCTACAGCAACCCTACAGTCATGAGGGCACATAACCCCATTTCCCAGCTCCTTGGCCTTTACTGTTAAATAAAGAGGACCCATAATATAAATCATAAGACCTACTGCTGTGGAGAATGACTGCTATCTCATTCCTAGCTACATTCCTATCTCATTCCTAGTTTGCTCTGTATAAAAGTTTGTTCCTTTAATGTGGCTTTTAAGTCTTGTCAGTTTACAACCTATTCTGATGGGTTCTTTCTTCAACACAGACCCTGTACTTTTCCTACTGCCCGGAATGCTCTCTTCTGTGCTTCCTACTTGTTACTCTCCCTGAATCAAAGCCGTGGGACTCATGTGCCTTCTCTTTTCTCCACATCCAAAGAGAAGGAATTGACACTTGTATCCAATTTGAACTGAAATACATCCATGAGAGTCTCCCAGTAAGGCTCAGTTCTTGCTCCTGGCAGGTGCTCAGTAAATGGTTAGAATAAATGAGGAAATGAGTTTGGGGTGAGGGGAAGGTAAAAGGAGCTTAAAAGCCTTGGGTTTCTTTCCTCTTTGTTCAGATCCCTCTGATCTTTTCAGTCATTAAACGTTTCCTACAGTGAATTCAGCTGTGTAGGGCCCATGTTCCATTCCAGCTGATCCCACCTTCCCCCCAAGAAACTGAACACTTGAGGATTGCACTACCCTTTATTCCTAGGATAGAAGAAGGTGTCTCGAATCACATCCTGGGTCTCATTTATCAAGGCCCCCAGTCCCTCACAGAGTAGGAATAAGCATGTTCAGGGAGGTTCACTGGGCAGGTGGTCCAAGTCCCTTTCAAGGGGATACACCATAAAGATGGCATTGTTCCAGGGAGGGAGGGCAGGGTGGCCTGGTCTGACCAGCTCAAAGCCCATGTAGCTGAAGGCCCGTAGTAGGGCACCTGTGAAAGAAGAGAACAAATTGGACACTCTGAAACAATACCACTGTTCCCCCAGAGATTGGATTTTTCCATAAGGGAATGGCTGTGGGGAGAGCAGTGTAGTGCAGGCATTATCAGAATGATGTGCTTTGGAGTGAGACTTTAAGACTGTAACCCTAGCTTTAACGTTTGCTTTGCTTTGTGACATCCTATGAATTAGCCCTTCTGAACTTACTCTCTTTGTACAATGGGAACTACAGGACCTTCACAGAATTTAGACAAGATGTTTATGAAGTGTCTAACAATGATGGTGTTGTAAACTCTTCACCATCTCTTGACTTACATCCAACAGATTATCAAGTCCTTGAGAGACGAGGTTATAGTTTCTGTAACATATGGTCCAAGCATCTATTCCTGTCCTGGTCTTATGGGCTTTATGCCTAACCCTTTCATACTGTTGGTATATAATTGGAATCCTTTCTGTCCTACCAACCAAATTCCTTGAATGGATTCTGTGTCATTTCATTAGTGCTCTTCTAGTCTGGCTTCTGAAATTTATCTGCAGGGAATTCCTAATAGTCCACTTATAACTTAAACAGAATGCTATATACTTTCATTTCCTTGGTGGGGGTAACCTGAAATGCTTGAGCATGCCTTTTTCAAAAAGAGTTGCAGGGAAGAGGGTCTCTTAAAAAGGAAAGGTCACTATTAGCTGCTGCTTCAACACGAAGGGCCAAGGACAGCAGATCTTCACCTCTGTCATTCCGGTTGTTTTGGAAGTTTACAAACACGGAGTCCACATTGGTCTTTTCCTCCACATACTCCAGTGTGGCAGTCAGACTAGAAGCCAGGGAGAAAAATCATGGTTAATGAAATGTTGAGCAAACTCAGAATCCACAAGAAACCTTATTGGTAAGTTTTTGCTAACCCAAGCCATGAAATGAAGTTGCTAAACTAGTTTTGATAGACTTTTCTCTGAAGTCAAAGGGTTGCACACTATGAGACTGGATTGTATCTAGGGAGAAAGGACTACTCTATGAAGTCAACAACTGGAAAGCATGTCCTATTCAGCTGTTTACGGATCTTCTGTGTTTCTGACTCTGAATTCAGCAACCTTCCATAGACTGTTACCCCTTGAACCCCAGATCCACGCTGGCTCAGAGGCCTGTCTGCATGCCAGTTCAGTGGTTTGACTCTATCCAGCTCCTGAGTTAGCTCTCACTGGTTAGAGCATGCCCAGTATCTGATGATGTGATAAAAGAGTGAAACCCCAACTCTCTTCCCTCCCTAGTGTCCCATCCAGGCTAGGTCACCTTTCCTGGTTGCCTTGATCCAAGGCCCGATATGGGATATCCAGGAAGAGTCGATGGTCACAGAGAAGGCCGTGCCAATGAGCAGAGGTCTGGGGGGTGAGGCGGAAATGGAAGTCCAACTGCATGGGGTCCTGGTGGGGTAGGGGGTCAGGAGCCAGCACCGTCAAGTTCCCAGCCTGGAAAAGGAATACAAATGAGGGCAACAGTCTCCTGCTTTTAAGTGCAGCATGCAGCTAGTACTTACATATCAGATCTCAGGCCGATTTGGGTGTCTGAGGAAGCAAGGAGGGGCCTGATGGAGAGCCTGGGAGAACTGAAGACAAGGTCTTATTCAACTATATATCATTTAGCCCTAAGATCTAACTCCATCTCTGTCCACAGCAAACATCTGAAATCTGGATTCAGATGTCAATGCTAACCTCAGCTCAGGGTGCACTATCCCTTTAGAAAACTGACATTTACATCAGAAAGCTTATTCTTTAAATAAAGTTGTGCCATCTGTGTCTTACTGATAATACCTTTTCACTTTTTTCCATCATATGTGTTTACTGACAGTTCTCCCATTTCTCATCTAAAATGCAAAGGTCACACACAAGCAAGTTACTGCAAAATGATACAAGGGCAAGCGCAGGAGGTCTGGGTTCTAGTCCAAGTTAGCATCTGAACAGCCTTATGTCCTAGAAGTCTTATACAGTCTGCTCTTTGTTCCCACTTCCTCTTTTGCCATCCTGCTTTTCTCCACCACCTTACGATCTCTGCACCAGAATCCTTATCTATAAAGCAAGTAGGTTTTACACATGAGCTTTGAAGTCTCATCTTGCTCTTTCTATGATTTATTTTTCCAACTAGCTAATGTTCCTTCTGTACAAGGTATCATCACAGCAGGCATGCAACTGCCCGGCACCAACTCACAGTCCACTTACCGAATACAATTCTTTAAGCTGGTCTTGGTCACCCTGCTCGGTGCTTCTGCCCATCTGGGGGCCTACCAGGGACTCAGGAGCACTGAAGACAGGAACGGGGCCGGAGTGTCAAGTCCTCCCGTTCCTTATAAGTGATGCTGGTTGGGAAAAAGAGGCCCAAATTTAAGTCTTGGGGAAATGGTCATAACTTCCAGGAACACAGGACCAGGCTCTGGCACTATTTTATCTTCTCTAGACCAGTTTTGTTTCCATTTTCCCAAGCCAGCCAGTTGGAAAAATTCTTAAATTCCATGCCAGCCTTTCACCCTACTTTGCTATTATCACCTCTTGCCATTTGAGAAGATCTTTCAAATTCCTTTATATTTCCTTATATTCTACATAAACAACTACAAGTAGAGATGAAAACAAGTACCTTTTGTAACAAGGCAGCATTTTCTCCCGGAGGGTGATCCGGTATTTGTAACAGTAGAGATAATAGGCGTATGGTGACCAGATTGGGTAGAGGTAGTTCCGTGTTTTTCCCCTCTTGATATAAGAAAGGGAGTAGAAAGAGGGGCGCAACCTGTTACAAGGCAGTTTCTCAGTTCAGTGCCTCCCTGTGGCAAAGTGAGGTTCAGAGATGGGTGACAAAGGTTTAGACCACCTGGTGCCATTGTGACCCCGTGGGCATTATGACATGGACAAGGAGTCAGCCTTTATGTCATTTCAGGACTCAGCTGCCCCCCTACCTGACTCTTCCCCTTTAGCCAAGTATGCACTTTACAACTGGGCCAGTGGTAAAGAGCCCTGCCCAAGTATTTGCAGTGCCTACCCAGCCTGCCCCGCCCCCCCCAACACACACACACACCCACCTCCCCTAAGTTTCTGCAACTAAAGAGCTGGTGTCCAGGGACTGACCTGATTGTTTGGTTCCTGGCTCCTATTAGTTCTGTATTTTCATTAACATTCCTACCTTTAACAACCCATGGGTGCTACACGTTTAAACTTTCTAATTGCCTTGTAGAGTAGGAATTGCAAACTGTCTCCAGGAGTCCTAACAGCTAAAGGAAATTAGTGGAGCTGCTGGGTGGGGCTGTAGCAAAATGGAAAGCTCACACCATGTCTCAAGCCAACATAACCAGCTCCATTCATCTAGTTTCCAGGCAGGAATGCAGACTCTGTGGTGCCAGAGTGTATGATTTTCCACAAAACTGGAAAGACAGATTTTTGTGGTAAATTTCTCCAATTTTAAAAAATTGAGTTAAAAAATTAAAATGAGACTTCCGCCAAGATGGAGGCATAGGTGGATGTGCCGTGCCTTCTCACACAACCAAGTTTAGAGAAAACTAAATATTAGCAACAGAAAACACAGCCAGAACACGGAAAATTGAACTTTTCAGAAGTCCGTTAACAACAAATTCTTCAGCCTGACCGGTAAGGGGCAAAACCAGCGGCTGGCGGAGCAGGGTTGCACAGGAGGACTCGGCCAGACACACTCAGGCCCGCGGAATCCAGGTGCAGGGTTGGACCTAGTGAGCAACCGAGCGAGCGACCAGGCGAGCGACCGCGGGGAAGACAGCCAGGCCCGAGGCTGCGTGTTGACTGAGGTCGCGCATCTGTGCGCGGGTGGACAGGCGAGGGAGTGGGCGGTTGGACCGGGCTGGCAGCTCCCCACGGCAAGCGGCAGTGGAGGGCGCCGCCATTTCCCTGCTCTGACCCACCTCCACATACAGCGTCATAACCCAGTGACTCTGAGTGGCCCGGCCCAGGTGAACCACCTAAGCGCTGCTCCTCACCCAGCTGTGAGAAGGGGCAGAGGGGGTCGCCATTTCCCCGCTCTGGCCATGCCCCCACGTACAGCGTCACAACCCAGCGACCTGGGAATCCAAGGCGCCGCTTCTCACACTTAAAGGGCCAAAACAGACCAAGAATGGTGCAGGAGGATCTCAGAGCCCCAGAGCCAATAGATCTAAGCGATGAAGAAATAGCAAAACTCACAGACGCACAGTTTAAAACATTGGTGATCAGGATCCTCACAGAACTGGTCGATTATACCGACAAATTAGACAAATATATGAAGGCGAAACTAATTAAAATGAATGGAATTGCACAGGACACCAATAGCAATGAAAAGGAAAGTGGGACTCAAATCAATGGAGTGGACCAGAAGAAAGCAAATAATGGCCAAACAGAAAAGAGTCAAGAAGCAAGAATTCAAAGAAATGAGGAGAGTCTTAGGAACCTCCAGGACATCTTTAAACGCTCCAACATCCGAATTATAGGGGTACCAGAAGGGGGAAAGGCACAGCCAACAGTGGAAAACTTATTTGAACAAATAATAAAGGAGAATTTCCCCAAGATGGCAAAGGAAATAGACTTCCAGGAAATCCAGGAAGCTCAGAGAGTACCAAAGAAGTTGGACCCAAGAAGGAACACACCAAGGCACATCGTAATTACATTAGCCAACATTAAAATGAAGGAGAGAATCCTAGAAGCAGCAAGAGATAAGGGGACAGTCACCTACAAAGGAGCCCCCATCAGACTGTCAGCAGATTTCTCAAAAGAGACCTTACAGGCAAGAAGGGGCTGGAAAGAGGTATTCCAAGTCATGAAATCCAAAGACCTACAACCAAGATTGCTCTATCCAGCAAAACTTTCATTTAGAATGGAAGGACAGATAAAGTGCTTCTCAGATAAGATCAAATTCAAGGAGTTCATCATCACCAAGCCCTTATTATATGAAATGTTAAAGGGACTTATCTAAGAAAAAGAAGTTAAAGAAACATGAACAGTGAAAGGACAACAAACTCACAGTTATTAACAACCACACCTAAAACGAAAGCAAACTAAAAGGACAGCTAGATCAGGAGTGGAAACATAGAAATGAAGATCTCAAGGAGGGTCAGCAACAGAGGAGTGGGAGGAGGAGAAGGGGGGAGAAGGTACAGAAAATAAGTAGCATAGACAGTAGATAGAAAATAGATGGGGGGGGCAAGAATAGCATGGGAAATATAGAATCTAAAGGACTTGAGACACATGGTCATAAACTAAAGGGGGTAATGGTGGGGATGAGGGGTAGGGTGGAGGGGAATAGAACAACTGTAACAGCATAATCAATAAAAAAATAAAAAATAAATAAAAAATAAAAAAAATTAAAATGATTAAAAAACAAAACATTGTGAGTAAAACTTAGTTCTTGGGCCACCAATTTGAGACCTGTGCATATTCATTCATCCATTCAACAAATATTTATTGAGGGCCAACTATGAGTCAGGCACAGTAAACAAAGATCCTTGCCCTATGGACATATCTTCTAACAGTGAGAGAACTAACCTAAACAATAAGCATACAATAACTTAATATGTTAGAAGATAATATTCTATGAAGAAAAAATAGAGCAGGACAAAGGAGGATCAGGAGTGTAAAAGGGATGGGGCAGGTTGCAGTAATAAAAGGGTGACCCAAGTAAAGCCTCATTGAAAAGGTGACATTGGATCAGAGTTGAAGGAGGTGAGGGAGGGGTAAGAGCATTCCACCCAGCCTACACAACAACCAGCGCAAAACCCTAAGGAGGAAGTGTAACTGGCGTTTTCAAGAAATAGAAAGGAGGCCACTGTGGGTAGAGCAGTGTAAACTGTAGGAGAGGAGAGGGAGGTGAGGTCAGAGAGCTATCAGACCAGATCACATATGGCCTTACAGACTATTATATGGACTTGTTTTACTCTGAGTAAAGCAGGAAGTAATTTCAAAGATTTTGGCTGGAAGAGTGACAATCTGTCTTATGTTCTTAAAAAGACTCTGACTGATATAAACTGCAGAGCATTAAAGGGACATTTGTCAAGAAGGCTGTTGCAGTAATCCAGAAGAGTAGTGGCTTATTCCAGGGTGAATTAAAGCATTGGAGGTGATGGGAAATGGTAAGATTCTGCAAGCAGCTTAAAGACCAAAGCCACACAGAATTCCCTAGTGTATGAAAACAGTTGAATCCAAACACTGAAAGAATGGAATTTCCATCAACTGAGATGGTAAAGGCTCCAGGTGAGGCAGTCTGGGGCAGGGGGATAGAGACTGGTTCAGTTTGGAGCATGGAAACTTTGAAAAGTCCGTTAGACATATAAGGGCAAGACAAATAAGCAGTTGGATATTCAAGTCTGGAGTTTAGAAGTCTAGGATAGAGATAGAAATTTGGAAGTCATTGGCATATTAATAGTACTTTATACCATGAGACTGAATGAGATCATCAGGACTGTATATATTGAGAAGAGTAAAGACCCAACCACTGAGTCCTGGGGGCACTCTAAGAAGAGAGAAAAGGTGAAATCAGCAAAGGTGACTGCAGAAAACTGGTGTCCTGGAAGATCAGTAAAGAAAGTATATTAAACAGGAGGGACGGCTGATCAAAGGCCACTTATGGGTCAAATAATGTGATGCATAGGGCATCTTTCCATAATCTCCTCTGCCAAACATACCTCACTGATTCCATTTATTGGATCTTCTCTCCAGTACAGAGCGCCTCCATAGTTTCCTTTTCTCATGGCTTATCTCCCTTATGATTTAGGATTCTTTAACTATTAGCTTAAATAGCGCAGTTGCAAAAATTAAAAGACAAATCCTGCCCTGGCTGGTGTAGCTCAGTGGATTGAGCGTGGGCCTGAGAACCACACGATCAGGGTTCGATTCCCAGTTAGCGCACGTACCTGGGTTGCAGGCCAGTTCCCAGCAGGGGACACATGAGAGGCAACCACACATTGATGTTTCTCTCCTTCCCTTGCCCTCGAAAGATAAATAAATAGAATCTTAACTAAAAAAAAAAAAAAGACAAATCCTGGGGGTATCATTGTTTTCCAGCGGAATTCATCCTTTCACCACCTTTAGGTAGATTTGGAGTAAATAAAGATGAGAGCAGCAACTCCCTTCCCTCAGTATCCAGTTTATTAACTGTCAGAATTGGAAGCCACTTCAGGGAGCTACATACAGTAAAGCCAACAAGGAGACAGTGCCTTTTCCGTGTCAGTTCACCTAACAGTCATTCCATTATCTGTCAGTGCAATGGGCGTCCCTCCCCCCCAAACACAACAACAAAAAAACAGGGAGAAGGGAAGGAGGAAAACGCTGAATCGCAGAGCATCGACTCGGATGACCAAAGCCGCCGCGTTCCACCCCACGCAGAACCTGCCCCTCGCCTCCTCTGAGACACAGGCGCGCCTCGGGCACCCGGCGGGGGCCTTCCCTGCGCCGGCGCCGGTCTCCTCCGGGTCCTCTCCGTGCTCCGAAACATGGCGGCCCCCGTGGCGGCTCTGAGCCGGGCTCTGCTGCGGGTGGCTCCTGAGCGGCTGGTGCAAGGAGGAATCCGGGTGCTGCTGCGGCTACCAGTCGAAGGAAGGACCCCGGACCCAGAGCGCAACTTCAGCCTCTCTCACTGTCGGGTGAGGTCCAGGTTTGGGTGTTGGGACACTGGACTCTGGTGGGGCCCTTTACGCCCGAGTCTCATTTCTGGGGGGCGGCCGGGGGACCCAGGGGCCTCTGCGTGAAGACTCGCTCATCCTCCTTGTTTGGCCACCAGAGCACGGTCATCGTGGAGCGCTGGTGGAAGGTGCCGCTGGCCGGGGAGGGACGGAAACCGCGCTTGCACCGGCGACATCGCGTCTACAAGGTGGTGGAGGACACAAAACACCGTCCCAAAGAAAACCTAGAGCTCATCCTCACGCAGTCGGTAGAGGGTAAGGCCCCGGCACAGCTACTGCAATCTCAGGCTGGTTCTGCTTGTCACCAACTTTTTCCTGCCCTTTCCCCTCAGCCGTTTGTTGCCTTTTCTTATTTTGTGGGAAAAATCAGTTCTACATTTGAGAAGAGAAAGCCATAAAAAATACTATGATTGTGCTTCAGCCTCATATGTGGAAAATTAAGAGTGCAGGAACATCATAAAGAGTGTGTGTGTGCCCGAGAGGCCTGCATGCCACAGACAGGAAATTCTGTGATAGGACAGCGCTTCACTTTGTACAGGGAATATTAAGTTTCTAAATCAGGCCCTCAAGAAACTAATTAGAAGTCCTTTAAATGTACCTACTGAATATTAACATTTCTTCTAGGAAGAATAAGAAGTGAAAGAATGAGAGGAGCTTCTATCTTTGATCATCTTCTCTTGAGGTACTAACCCAGTGTCTGTTTGCTTTGGCAGAGCTTGGAGTCCGGGGTGACGTGGTTTCAGTGAAGAAATCAGTGGGCCGTAATCGACTGCTTCCTCAAGGACTGGCTGTATATGCATCCCCTGAAAATAAGAAGTTATTTGAAGAGGAGAAATTGGTGAGCTCAAAGAAATGCACAGGGAGGAATAAAACCTTAAGATTTTCTCAAGCAAATTCTGTCCTTTTTATATTTAATTTGAAAATGAAGTGGGGACTAGAACAGGAATTCAGAAAACCAATCTATACTTAGCATAGTAAGAGTTTATTGTTATTTATTATGGATTCACTTTTTTTTCCTTTCCATCTTTAACTTTTTTTTCTAGCAAAGACAAGAAGGAAAATTAGAAAAGATTCAGACCAAGGCAGGTGAGGCGGTGAGTACAAACATATAAAGTCTTTATTTATTATCTACAGGAGTCACCAACCTCTTCTTGAGAGGTTCATTGATTTCCTTGACGTCTCTTGATTCAGACACAAGGGTAGTGAAAGGGGGAAGATTTGTAACTTCCATAACTGGTACTGAAACCTCCTGAGAAATCCTGACCTGTTGGGTGGTCTTGAGCAATAAACTCAAGATAGTAAATAATAAGAGTGACATGGACCAAAATGGATTAGGGTGATTGGAGAGGGCTTTTTTTCCCAGATGGGATTGAATTATGCCTTGTGGGACTGGTAGGATTTTGGTTAGACTGGGAAGGTGTAAAAGGTATTCTTAGTATAAGAAAAAGTATAAGAAAATAGTTAAAACATGCTTTAACATAGGAAGTAGACTAGTCTAGCTAAAGCAGAGAGGCCTTGTATAGTATGATATTAGGAAACATGGCTGGAAAGGGGATTGGGGGCAGGATTTACAAAACATATTGAATCCTCAGCTAGTGAATTGATACTTTATTCTGTAAGCAAGGAAGAGTCATTAACAGGGTAGGGATGGAATTAAAGTGCCAAAAGTATTGGGTTAAAACAGTCTATGAAAGCCATTCCATCCCGTGGTATACGAGTGGCCCCCATCGACACAGAAACACGGCCTGTTTCTCCTTGATCAGAAACATCTACGTATAGTGGACATTCTCCTCCAAAGTGCACAAAAACATTGTCCCACAATATCAGCCTTGACATAAGAATGTCCTTTCTCTTTTTCATTCCCTTCTCTTTTCTCACCTGTCTTGGCTGTGAGGCAGAAATTGTGCCTCTTGCTAACATGATTCCAACTCTAACATAACCCCACCTTATAATTCCTCTCAGACAGTGAAATTTCTGAGAAGCTGTCACCTGGAGGTGGGGATGAAGAACAATGTCAAATGGGAGCTAAACCCTGAAATAGTTGCCCGCCACTTTCTAAAAAATGTGAGTGTTCCCATGTAGTACTGTACCACTGAGGGTGGGAGCTACCTCCCTGTGTTAGGAACAGGTGTGCATTTAGCTGGAGTTAGGGGAAGTGTTCTTGGGTGGTTTGCAGGGGTGTGGGAGGCAAATGGCTAAGAACTAACGGTGGTCACATAGAATTTGAAGACAGTAAGAAGAGATGGTATCATTTATTTCCTCTCCAGCTAGGGAAAACCTGAAGAAATGTGGCTCACTGGAGAATTTTTCTTTTGTGAATGAAGTAATTTTTTTTCTCTCACCCTTTTCCTCTTTGTGAGTCCACCTCCCTTTCTGTGAAATTAGGACTGAGTTTCTCTGCCACTATCTGTGAAGGTCTATGCCCTCCTGTAGGATCACCCAAGATAAACGTCCCAGTTTTTTTCATCTCTGGTGTGTCCTAGAACCAGCTAGTAAATGCTAGAACCCCCTTTAATGAGGTTGCCTAGAAAGGCAGACATATAAACAGAGCTCCCCTTTCTATGATTCTTTTTCCAGCTGGGTGTTGTGGTAGCCCCACATGCATTAAAGTTACCGGAAGAGCCCATCACTCGGTGGGGCGAGTATTGGTGTGAGGTGACGGTGAGTATTTGCGTACTAGCTCTTTTTTCTGGCACGGTGAAAAGCTGGGATTGGGTGCTGTTAGCTCTGATCTGCACAACTGATGTCTGGGAATTCCTATTCTTTTATGTACAGGTAAATGGCCTTGACACTGTAAGGGTACCTATGTCTGTGGTGAACTTTGAGAGGCCCAAGACCAAAAGATATAAGCACTGGTTAGCCCAGCAAGCTGCCAACAGAATGGCCTCCACCAGCTCCCAGACAGTCTGAACCTACCTACTCTCTCTCAAAAGCAGCAAAGCAGAAAGAATCTGAGGCACAGTTGGAGCAAAGGTGGGCCAGCTCTGACCAAATGATTGAATTTTAGAGAGCATAAGGGGACATTGGATGAAACTGTGTATTCATGTTGAATTTATCATCTTGCCATCTTCATCCTCTACTGTTACCACATCTAGCCTTGTTGGGGTGGTCCTGCTCAAGAAGTACCAAGCTATAGATTCAATAAACCGAATCTTAATAGACTAAAACAGTCCAGATCCTATTTCCTCTTCCTCCATTGGATTCATTGGAGCAAATGGAAGAGCTGTTATCTTTAGTATTTGGCTCATCATTATCATCAAAAGTGAACATTTATGTCTCAAGAAGAAATAAAGAGGTTTGTTCTTTTTAAGTGTTTACTGTGCTTCAGTAGACTGGGGACAGGACATCCACACGGGATGTCCTCTTGAGCCACGAAGGTTTGCTACTAAAAAGGAAGAATAGGGTACATTTCAGGCTACAGTTGCTATGGGCAAGTTACTCAATGAGCTATAATGTCGCTGGCCCTAAAACTTGCTCTCACTAGGTATATTGATACAAGTCATCAATATAAATATGCACAATGGCCCTGGCTGGTGTGGCCAGCCTGTGAACTGCAGGGCTGTTGGTTCAATTCCCAGTGAGGGCACATGCCTGGGTTTTGGGCTGGGTCCCTAGTTGGGGGCACTCGAGAGGCATCTGGTTGATGTTTCTCTCACATACCGATATTTCTCTCCCTCTCTCCCTTACCCTCTCTGAAAATAAATGATTTTTTAAAGTGGAACAGTGAATTAATGTCTCTCTTTCTCTCAAATCAGATAAAAAAATTTTTAAGTAAATAAATAAGCACAATGGATTCTACTTTTCTAAGGCAATCTAAATTAAAGCCCAAGGGTAATCGCTGGATAAGTGAAGCTGGGATGCAAGGAACTTAAGAAGGAAACGTCTGTTTTGTTTCTTGAACCAGCCACTAGGATTTCAAACCAAAGTTAAGATGGGCTGGTCATATTATGGAATGGGTGCCTTGATAAGAGATGAGAGAAGTCGTTCTGCATAAGTTTGAGGTTCATTAATGGGAAAAATACCCAGCTGTTGACAAGTGAATTATGCTAGAGTCACTCAAAATGATTCTAAATGAGGGGTCACGCAGTTTAGGAAGAATAAAGACGGGACATTGACTCTTGCTGTCCTTAACCAGAGCCTACAGAGCTTAGTTTTTGTCAGACTGAGTCAATTACACTACCACTCCCAGACAGTTAAGCACTTTCATCCACATGAAGCCATCTCAGCTAATGAGAGGTCTGTCTCAGTGGTTGCCCTGATAACCACCCAGGCTCACACTTGCCAGAATGCCATAACTCAAGTCTAGCACTGGTATTGTTTGAAATTTGCCATTTCTATGATCCCCATTCTGTTACTGAGATGGAAAGCTCACTTAGCATCTTTCCACACAACTAATTTCAAAGTGTTTAGATACTTGCCATAGGTCCCAGCTGGTGTAGCTCAGTGGTTTGAATGCTGGCCTGCGAACCAAACCCCAGCTGGTCTCTGGTTCAATTCCCAGTTAGGGCACACACCTGGGTTGTGGGCCAGGTCCCCAGTACGGGGTATGCTAGAGGCAACCACACATGATATTTCCTCCCTTCTCTCTAAAAAAATCTTTTTTTAAAAGATTTTATTTGTTTATCTTTAGAGGGGAAGGGAAGGAGACAGGGAGAGAAACATCAATGTGTGGTTGCCTTCGTGCATCCCCTGCTGGGAACTGGCCTGCAGGGAACCGGCCTGCAACCCAGGCATGTGCCCTGACTGGGAATCGAACCGCGATTGTCTGGTTCACAGGCCCACGCTCAATCCACTGAGCTACACCAGCCAGGGCTAAAAACAAAATCTTAAAAAAAAAAAAAGACAAGGTCTTCCTGTTAAAAAAAAATACTTGCCATAAGGTAGAGATTTGCATGCAGGAAGTTTATTGAGAATTTTCTGGATCAACACCTGTGTGAGAGAGAAGGAAGGACTGGGTAGAGGAAGAGTTGAGCTGATAGTGTCAACAAAGATTTCAGTCAATCCCACAAGGTCAAACTAGGGTGGATGGCTGTGCAGAAATGTGTGCCCTGGTGAAACAAATGGCCAGACCAATACACCCCAGATTGATGGGAAAGGGCCATGACCTAGAGTGAGGTGACTGCAGGCAAAGCTAGTTCCCAGAGGGGAAGTCAGATGAGAGCTATCAGTATTCTCCGCAGCTTGAGAAGTGAGCGCTTCAGTCCAGAAGGGAGGTTTCTGAGCAGCCCAGCGCAGTCTCCACTGCAGTCCGCCTCTTGCACTATTCCAGTCTATTTGCTTTTTAAGTTCTAAAATGATCTCTTCAGGATTCTGATGGGCCCTGTTTTCTGGAAAAACTTAAAAGATAAAGGGAAATACAGAATCCAAAGAACTTGAGACACGTGGTCATAAACTAAAGGGGGGGAATGGTAGGGGTGGGGATGCAGGGTGGAGGGGAATGAAGGGGGGAATAGAACAACTGTAATGGCATAATCAATAAAATAAAAATTAAAAAACAAAACAAAAAAGATAAAGGTCTGAGCCACACCACAGACAGCCTCTGCTGTTGTAGTTTGTCTTCAACCTGCAGTTGGTACTTATCATCTCCCTGCTAAACTACCCATTCTAGATTCCTACCCACAACCCCTCAACGTGCATTTCTGCTGGTCCAAATAGGTTACCTAATAAGGTAGCCAGTCATGAGGCCTCTCTCAGGCCATGACTGTAGTTGTTCATTTATCATCAAAATTAGGCAAAGGAGAAGCAATACATACCTAAGTGGATGGCCTGCATGCCAAATATTGTCCTTCCCAGTCCACATTGTGTAACAGCAGCCCTACCTCCTGATTTTCATGGTCAGTTCTGCCAAGACAGTGATTTCTTTCTTTACCTGCTTGTCTTCTTGGTAGTGATGTGAAGTAATCAAGGTGGCAGCCATAGCTTAAAGTTTAGTGACACTCTGGGTGTGTCCACTGGTAGAGATAGTTCCCTTCTGAGAATCAGTACTTATAAATCCTCAGAGCCCAGAGTTGGAATAGAAGGCAGTTTCCCCAACTGGGTCACTGGGACTGATGGTAATGGAGGACCTTGCTTATGTCCACTTGTTTCCCAGACCCATATATTTCACTTAGGAACATAGCACTATAGGATGGCCATTGATCCAGGGCATACACTGCATCCGGGAGCATGGTTCCTCATCTTTACAGGGTATCATCAAGGTGGTACCTCAGCTGTGCCTTCGTCAGTCTGCTCCATCACTCTAGGTGGTATGGTATTTGATCAGATCAATAGATCCAATGGTTATGTACCCAGTACTGGACCTCCTTGATATAATGTGGGTCTTGTGGTCCAATGCAGTGTTATACAAGATCTCATGCTAATGGATCAAATATTCTGTAAGCCTTTGGCAGACAGGAAAGACAAACTCATACCCCTAATATATATCGATTCCAGTTAAGATGGAACAGTGCCTCTTCCAGGGTGGCAGGGATTCAATATAATCAGCCACCAAGTAGCCAGATGGTTTCTTTGGGGAATTAGTGACATCAGGGGCTTAGTGTTGGTTTCTATTGCTAACAAGCTGGAAATTCACAGCAACTGTCACTTGATCAGCCTTACTGAGTCCTTGATGTTGGGCTCATGCATGGCCTTCACCATAGCTCCTCCATTCATACACCCATTTTCCCATCTTTGGGGTGCCAATGACAGAGACTGGCTAGTATCAACTGGCTAAGTCATTTAGTCTAGTTGGTGGTTTGGTGTCTCCTGTGGTGGGTGTTCTCTGGTGGGCATTAACATGCAGTGTAAAGATCATCACACTTTATACCCATTCTTAGGTAAATTAAATGCCTTTTCCTCAAACTTCCTTGTCTTCTTCAGATTTTCAATTGTTCTTCTAACAGACTCCTGAACAGCTAGCAGAGCCATTCACCATTGCCCATGAGTCTGTATTCTTTCTTCAGGCAAGTGTGCTGCCTGAAGCTCTACCTATTGGGAAGATTTCCTCTCACTGCTGTCTTTCAGGGCCACTTCTCCATGGGGCCATAGTACCTCCACAGTCTATTTTCAGCTTACTTCCACCTTATGAGACAACACATACATTAACCAAGCCCAGCCCTTTTCCTCTCTTGTCATCTGATCGTAAGGGATTGCCTCTGCTCCGTGTGGTGATAGATATGAACTGAAGGAGAAGCACTGGGACAACAGTTGTGGGTGACGGAGGCCTAGCCACCCGCTTATGCAGCTTGCTTTTGTCTTCCAGCTCTGTTTATGCCCAACTCTATATGTATCATTTTCACCTTATGAAGGACTGCTGAGGGAACCATCCACCCAAGTTTATGACATGTGAGTCTGACAGAACCCAGGTTATAATAGGCATTTCTGGCTACATGATCACATCATGTCCCATGGCCAAGCACTTTTTCTCAACTAGGACAAAGTAACATGACAGCTGCAATCTTTTGAAAGGTGTAATACTCTTTTAGATGGCATGGCCTTGTTCTAGAACCATTGGGGTCTATGTGTGACTTCATATTAAAGCTTTCTTTAAACAGCATGTGGCGTATGTTCCATCACTGACACCTTCAGCTGAACAGGCGTGCCATTTGTACCACAGTCTGGGCCTGCTGCAGAGCTGTTGCTTGCTCTGGGTCTCATTCAAAGTTGTCAATCTTTTGTGTCCCCAGTGTATGTGTCAGTGCCATATTCCCAAGTGCAGAATATGCTACCTGTAGACCTGAAAGAGGTTTACCAAGCATTGTCCTCCATTAGTAGTGAATTATGAAATTTCCCCTTTACTTTGGAGGAAATGTCATGGCATGGCCCAGACCATTGGACCTCTAAAAACTTCACTGAATACTTGGAGTTTATGTACTACCATTTGAACAATGTTTATCCTGCCAAGGCCTCCAATGTACTTGCCACTTCTTGCTCATCCTGTGCAATTAGCATGATTTCATCAATTTAGTAATGTGATATTTTATGAAAGTCCAGATGATCGAAGTTGCTTCAAATTATACTGTGACAGAGGGCAGGAGAATTTATATGGCCCAGGCACAGGACTGTAAATGTATATTATTGTTTATCTCAATAGTGAAAGCAAATTTTTAAAAAGATTTTATTTATTTATCTTTAGAGGAGAAGGAGAGAAACATTAATGTATGGTTGCCTCTCGTGCAACCCAGGCATGTGCCCTGACTGGGAATTGAACCATGATCCTTTGGTTCTCATGCCTGCACTCAATCCACTGAGCTACACCAGCCAAGCTAAAAGCAAATTTTTTAAAGGATTTTATTTATTTTTAGAGAGGGGAAGGGAAGGAGAAAGAGAGGGAGAGAAACATTAATGCATGATTGCCTCTCACATGGCCCCCACTGGGGACCTGTCCTGCAACCAGGGGTGTGCCCTGACTGGGAATCAAACCAGTGACCCTTTGGTTTGCAGTCCACACTCAATCCATTGAGCTACACCAGCCAGGCAAGAGCAAATTTTTTTATGATTCTTTCTATATTGCTCAGATTAATGGCCACCGACTATGTAACTGAGCCTGCGTTAACCTGCTCTAGCAAAGATACCACAGTTGGCACAGCAGATACAATTGAAGCTACTTGTTGATTGAGATTGCACTGTTGATTTTCCAGGAACTGTATGGTTTTAGCAGGGGCCATGGCACTATGGTGGGGACCACCATCTCTGCATCCTTTACGTCTTAAAGGGCCACTAATTTGATATTTTTATTTATTATCTTGGC